AGAAAGGCTTTATTCAAAGGCCAAAAAACAGAGAAGTGGGAGCCCTTGCTCACAAATGGGCTCCTCAACTCCAGGGGTCAGGGGGTTACAGATAGAGGAGGAGTAGTGAGGGAGAGGGAGAGGCTAAGAGAGGGAAGGAGTTCACTGTCTTTTCTGAGAATAGGCAGAGGTCTTCCAGGAACTCGGGTGCCACCTACCTCTTCCTGACTTTCACTCTGCTTTTTCCAGCCATAGTAGTTGGTACGTGTCTTTGGCCTTAATGGGGGCGTGGAGGTGGAAGCTAGGCAAATAAAATCAAGTTAACTCTATTTATTGTTCTGGACGATATATTTCTCAAATGTTCAACAGGTCTACTGCAGTGTTAAGTAAAATCTGACCCAAAAGTTAAGGCAACAAAGGAGACAGATACAATATAAAGACAGAGATGCCAAGCCTTTTGATCCCATTTCAGCCACCCATAGGACATCAGCAGGCCCAAGTGAAGAGTCAGGTTGCAAAAGCAGTCCTCAGGTCCCTGAAGAGTAACCTAGGCAACTGTTACTATCATAATCAACACGTTAGAGGTTATACCTACAAAGTTAGCGGGAGGCTAATAGTGGTGACCTCCAAAATCGGTGATTTTTAAGTAAACTAAGGGCAAGTAAAACTTAAGGGTTTATTTATGGTTTTTTATTTAAGGTTTTTCCCTAGTGATAATTTAACTTGCAGACGGTGGAATGAATTGGGTGTTWTTACCCTATGTGCATATATGATTACATGATCCCATGTAACTCTACATCATRTACCAACCAGAATGATTGTTACACTCCATATATGTATGATAGGTGAAAATGCATTCCACTGTCATGTATAACTAATTAGAACAAATAAAAAAAATTTTTAAATGATTTGACTTGCAGAAAAGTAATATATCTATCTAAAAAGAACTTCAAGAGCTAGCCCCAGATGACCCCAGGAGGCCATGGCCCCTTGTCATGTTCCAGAGAAGAAGACATGTGTCCTGAATGATGAAGACCCTGCTCAGCATGTAACCCTCCTGCCTGCCCCTCCTTCCCCTCCCTATGAAGYCGTTTGTGCTCCTGAGCCTCCCAGGATGGAGCTCTGAGATTGACAGCCACTCCATCTTCTTCAGGGCCAGACCTTGAATAAACATGACTCCTTTCTATGGACTCTCATGTTATGAGCAAGCTGTGCCATTAACATTTGTGTCTTCCACAGTGTCTGAATCTATTAAATGACAATAAATTCACAAAAGACATCATTTTCATTGGCTGCAATTCACTGGTATTTGTGGGTCACTTGGTAGCCATAAGCCAGGCCATCTCAGACTCACAAGTTCTTTTATTCCAATGTTAATTACTAATGTCTACAATACTCAAGTCACACATCATACTTCACAGGAAAAAAATTATATATATATATATATATATATACACACACACACACACACACACACACACACACACACACATATGCAGAAAGGTTAAGAAAAGGTGGTATCAGTCACAAGACAAGGCTTCAGGATGCAATGCCAAAAAAGGCAGAGAGCAGACAAACAGGAAAGAGAGTCACTGCAGGTGATCAGATAAGATCATGAAGCAGAACTAGAGCAGAACTAGCAGAGAACTTGTCCTGGACACAGTGCAGACAGCAAAGAACTTCTCTTCCAGGGTCCAGACGACAGATAGTTTGAAATGGACCACGTCAAGCAGGGAAGTCAAGCTGAGCTGAAGCCCAGGGACAAAGAGTCAGAGGTTTGTTGCCTGTTGATCTCGTGACATGTTCACCAGAAGGCCTGCTTAAGGGTCAGTGTGTGCCACCCTAACTAGTCTTGAGGTGCTTCTACTCATATGGATTACAGGTAAGGGGGTTGTATCTAGGGAGACTGATAAATGCATGGGCCTGCTTTTTCTGATATGATTTGTTATACCCATACATCCATGTACTTCTGATTTACTTCCATAAGTTAATAGGTGGTCATTTTTTTTATTAATTTGTCAGTTTGTGTCTTATGATTGTACTGTGTAAATGGGAGTTATTCCTTTTGATAAGTTCTGTGTRTCCAACATCTGGTGATTATCTATTTACCCAGACAAGYTACCAAATAACTCTTCCTTAGCACTTGTACTCAAAATGGAGTAGCTCCGGGCTAGGTTTATATGTTCCAGCTCAGAACAAGGTACAACCTGCTCCCCATACCACTCATCTCTTGAATATTGGTCTTTGAGCAGTAAGCAAAGCAGACCTTAATCCATTAATACAGGGAGACTGGGAGAAGGAACATCAGCTTCCCATTCAATAATACAAACATAAACATCAGTGTGTGTGTATACACTTATGTATTTTCATACACACACACACACACACACACACACACACACACAGAAGCTGGGCACTTAAGTCCAGCCAAGCTTTGAGAATATAGGACACTGATTCACCAGCTTAGTCTGCAGGTGAAACTTCTATTCTATTATCCTCTTTATACTTGTTGTAAACCAGAGCCTGGCCCGACTGTGATAAGAGAAGCCCTGGTGTGACAGGGCCGCTCCTCTGGGGAGTTGTCTTGGCAAAGTCATTCCCTTTGCCCTTCCCTTGCCCAAGGTTTTGCACCTCCCTATTCCTCTTACGTCATCTCCTCCCTTTTCCCCAGCATTCTAAGTTCTAGAGAGAAGCCCCACCTAAATGATTAAGGTGTTAACTGCTAAATAATCTTTAGATTTACAGAACCCAGAACATCTGATGACTTTTGACACTTTTATAAGATATACCTGGCCGACCAAGAAGGTGAATCAAGATGGGATGTTAAAGCTTGGGCTGGGTCTTCAGTGTCCAGCTTTGTGTATGTATGGAGATATAGATGCATACACACACAGTATATATACATAGTAAMTGCTCAATTAAATGAGTTTTAGTTCTAGACACCAATTAACACAAAGCCTATAAATTGCTATGGGGTTTAACTTAGAGAAAAGCAATATGTCTCTCTAAAATGAGAGACATTTTATAGAAGCTAGCCCCAGATGACCCAGGAGGCCATGGTCCATTGTCATGTTCCAGAGAAAGAAGACACATGTCCTCAATGATGAGACCCTGCTCAGCATGTAGCCTTCCTGCCCTGCTCCCCCTTCCCCTCCCTATAAAAGTCCTCTGTGGCCTGGGGTTGTAGCTCAGTGGTAGAGCACTTACCTAGCACATGTGAGGCACTGGCTTCAATCCTCAGCACAGCATAAAAATAAACAAATAAATAAATAAAATAAATAAAGGTATCGTCTCCAACTACAATTAAAAAAAAAAAAAAGCCCTTGGTGCTCCTGAGTCTCCTGATGGTGCTCCTGAGTCCCCTGATGGAGTTTCCAGGTCAGTAGCCATCCTATCTTCTTCAGGGCTGGCTATTCAGTTAACCTGACTCCCTCCGACAGCTCTTGTCTTGAATCCTGGCCTTTGAACTTGGGCAACTTGAACTAACTTATCCTGGTAACACTRGAGGGTAGAAGGGGTGCAAGGAGAGGGAGGGAAGAAGGGGAGAGATTTGTATGTATAACTATAAAGCCTAGGGTGGAGAGTGTGTCCCCCTGTCTGGTAAGATGATTGCTACCCTCCAAGTCACCTCCCTAGGTCCCAGCTTTACTTTCAGAACTAACACCACAGATTTCAATYTCCCGAAGATCACCTTCCTTAGAACTCCAGCTGGGAACAAGACTATGCACTGAGGGCACCTCCAAGATTGGAGATGCAAAGGATGTCCAGAAAGGAGCAACTTAGCCCAGCTGCACCATCACTGAGGAGACTCCATCTCCCAGCTCTTACAGGTAAATTTGGGGGAATGGGGCCCCATTCACTCTTGAAAAAACTGTAACTCACCATGACTGTAGTCTCTGAGGAGCACACCACTTGAGTTTCTGAAGGGCATTGCCACCCTGACAGGGCTGGTTTGAAAGAGCAACGGTCTTTGTCTTAAGTGCATTTCACAATCTTGAAAAACCACATCTCATTTTATCTCTTAGCCCTTGAGGTTGCAAACTCCASTACTGTACAACCCACAGGAGGAGCCATGCGACATGGAGTGAAAGGGTCCAATCCAGTTCATTGCCAGTAAAGAAGTCATCCACCAGCCAGGCCAAATCCAAATCCAGTTCCAGTCCTCATGGGATCCCACTATGGGTCCAATCCCCACTCCAGTCTCAAACCCACACAGTAAGCCTCCAGAACTTCCTCCTGTCCCCGCACTGGGGTCCTGATGTCCTCTTGATAATGCCACCCCGTGGTTCCCAGGATGGGAGTTCTCTTAGCTGTGGCTGCARAAGTGGGGCTCTAGAGGACCCCAGCTTAGGCATCACCTTGGACTTAGAGATGYAAGTTACCTGCCTGCCTCAGACCACCTGGATCTGAATCTGCATTTTAACACKATCCCCAAAGGATCCCTATTACCATTAAGGTTTTAAAAGTGCTGTTCTAGGACTGAAGACCCTCCAAGGGGCCCCTGGTCATGAACATGAATCATCACCTAGACCGKTTTTTTTCTTGTAAATACCGACAACTTTCCCTAGCTCCAGGTCACCGAATTATTATGTTAGCAGGCTCCTCCCCTTTTTTGATAACTTGCCCAAATCTCTCTGKTAGTGAAAAAGGAGAAAAAAGAAGGTGGAGGGAGACGAAACCCATATGGTGCACTAAAATATAGGCACAGAGGGCAGGAAGGAAGGAAAGGCCCGGGCTGGTGCCACAGGACCCCTGCTTCCCCATCCACTTCCCTGTTTCCTGTGCTGGAAAACCATCCAGTGGTTCCCCTCTTGGTTTTCCGCATGACTAAACTGCACGGGTCCAGTCTAATCACACCCCCGGCTGCCTGGCTGCTTCATCCCAGTTCCTCCAGCTCCCAGAGCYAGCCGGGCCTGCAGCCCCGTGCCCATCCCCACCTACCGTGGCCACACCCGTGCCAAGCAGGTTCTCACTGGGGGCCTGGCTGGGTGTGGGGCTGCTGAGTCTCCAGATGCTGCAACATGGAAGGGTCCCTCCAACTCCTGGCCTGCTTGGTACTTGCTGTCCCAGTGGGTGAGTTTGCACTTATCGTTCAGGTCCAGAGTAGACAATCTTAGCTGTGCTCTTCTCTCTTGAAGCTTGAAGGGATGCTGGGTTTGCCCAGAGCCTCCAGGTCTGCAGAGGAGAATTGTTCAAATCAGGGCTTTGCCTTAGGTTTCCTGGTGACTCGAGGCAGTCCCCTGATTTTCTGGGCCTCGGTGTCCCCCCCAGGAACAAAGGCCACCTATACCACACATTGCCCTGGGGGAATAATGGGCCTGGAATGGGGAAGACGGAGCTGAACAAATTTTGGATGTTGCTGTCATCCAAGTGTTTTATGTCCTAACGGGCACAGCCCCGAAGACAGGGGGAGGAGAGCTCGTGGCTGTTTGGGGAAGTGTGGAATAAGGAGTATGATTTTATGTGGGGAATTGGGCCAGTGATGGAGGCCACCCTGWCTCCCCAGCAGGAACACCAAGAGGTAAGTGGGAACTCCTTTGGCAGGTTGAGGTAGCAATGTCACTTAGCTCTGTAAATTGGTGTCCCTGGGAACTGCTCCTCAAAGGGTACAGGAACCCTCTACATCAGAATCCCAGGGGAGGGGCATTACTTAAAATACAGATTCTCTGGCTCCTCCCAAACCTGCAGAATCAGAATATCAGACAGCAGGGCCTGGGAATCTGCATTAGCAGCCACCTTCTTGAATGATTCTGATGCCTGCAGTTGAGGAGATAAATACAAAGGCCATTCTCGTGAGCCCCTCTCTCCACACCTAATCCTTTCCCCAGCCCCAGCCTGGGATGCCCCTCCCATCACTATGCTCCTGGACTTAGCTGTGTGCTATTGTGTGTATGGCCTGGTATTGCGATGTTCTGAGCTGTCAATCAACATTCTCAGTATGGGGTCTTGTCTCACAACTGATGATAAATTCCTAGGCCTTAAGCTCCTGTGCCTTCCTCTTTAGCATTTAACACAGTGTGGAGTCCCGTTCTGGTCTGATGTGTGATTCTTAGGAAGTACTGGGTGCTTGCTTGCTTCAGTAACTCCCATGAGCCTTGTGACCCTGCGAGAAACAAGCTATTTATGTTCCCTTTTCACAGTTGAAGAAACAAGCACAGAAAGGCTGGGTGGAGCCAGGATAGAAACCCACCCCAGGTGTGTGTGGCTCTGGGCTCCTCTCCCCACTCACACACGCTGTCACTTTCCCATGACAGGGATAGAGATAGGGAAGGGGCTCTCTTTCCCCAAGCTGACCTAACTCAGTCATCTTTCTGGGATGATTTAGGGATGGTCCCACTAAGAGGGTGGAGGTGGAGAAGGCGTCCCTGCTCACACCTGACTGGCAGACAGGAGCACTGTTAAGCACACARGTGTTGATGTCAGGCACCACTTACAATCCTGGCTCTGCCATTCAGCAGTGGTGAGTTGTGGTAGGTGGTCTAACTTTCCTGGGCCCCRTGGAATGGGGTCCCTGCCACTTCATGGTGGTGCAAGGCAGGATAACTGGATCCAGAACGAAGGCCCCACGCAGCTCCTGGGCCCAGCAGTTGCACAATGAGCAGCAGCAAAATGGGGCAGAGGCCACAGYGCAAGAGGGAGGCGGGGCTTTGGGCTCCAGTTTGGTTATTTTCCTCCTGCTGAGGGTCAGCTGCGGCGAATCAGTTAAAGACAAAAATACTTAGAGGAGGCACAGATAGGGCAGCTACGTGTTCAAGAACAAAAACCAAACCACACATCGGCTCTAGCTGTGTGGAGAGAAGAGGAGCCAGGCCAGGCCACCCACGCCCGCAGCCAGCTGGGCTGAGGAGAACCCTTTCCTCTACAGACCAGCAGCCACTGCGCTGTTAGAACCATGAGGCCAGWGAACCAGGGTGACCCGGGAACTGCATTTCTTGAAGTCCTTGTGTTGTTCACCTGTGAGCTCCCCACGTGCCTCAGCTAGAGGACACAGGCCATGTCTCCACTGCCACGTGCAAGCCACTGAGCTCCTATGCACAGGTGCCATGCTAACATGGGCCTGCTGGTCACAGTCACTGCCCTGTCCATGTCTGGGAGAGTGGGGTAGAACCTTGATGAAAGAGAAGCGGGAGGAATCCCATTTTCCATACCCTTCTCCATCCAAACACCCTAACCTTCAGGGGGCTCCCACATCGCCTCCCTTGTCTTTACCCTTCTCACTTCCACCAAATTCATTTTAGAAAACTGGAGAGGTGAGGCAGTTCAGAGTAGGGGGYAGCTGTGACCACCTCGGTGAGCTTGGAGGCCTCAGAGGTCCACAAGCCYGTGATACATGCAGGTGTGGTAGCTGCCATCCTCGGGGACCCCTTGTGCCAGGTTACTGACGAACAGCTTATTTTCTTTTTGCCATGACCTGCAAGGAGRGGAGTCTCGTTCCTGTTTCAGGGCATCTTGGCAAACCAAAGTGGCTTTGCTGGAACATCACAGCCTGAATGTGAAGGGAGTCCTTTCAGGACACACCCAGCTCCTCAAGCTATCCTGCCACCTACCTGGGAGCCGGGGTTGGATAAAGCCTGGTTCTAAGAGCTATTTACTTTACCAGTTCTGAATTAGTGCAGAAAAACAAATCAAAATGGCAAGAGAAATAGCAGCAGGCATCCAAGGACCTGGCGGYGCTTATTTGGGAGGCAGGGAAAGGTCAGGGAGAAGATGGGCTGCTGTCATGGGGCCAGGAGGAAATGGGAGGGTTGAATGAACTGAGGCTCTTCTGCTCCCAAAGCCACTGTGGGCAGGTTTGCTCAACTGCGGAGTCCTACCCGGGAGGCAGAGGAGGGAAGAAGAGCAGGGCCTCCCTTCAGAACTCTGAAGGGCAGCACTGTGGTGGCACTGGCTGCAGGACACATGGGCAGCCTGTGACTGCATCTCCATCCACTCATGTAGCAGGCCACATCCACGTCCACAACCAAATGGCTAGAGAGTCCAGAGTTCAAGGGGAGTTCAATGGCTCACCCTGGGGGCCGTCAGGACCAGCCAGGGCTTTCACTCCCACTCCCTCACACTCGGCCCTTCCTGGAACTTCCTGGGTCTGGTTTACACTGAGGGATGGAATTCCTACTTCCCCTTCCTCCTCTCTCCTCTGGTCTCTATTTCAGTCTCTATTCACCTTCTCTCCACTGATAACCTATCCTGACAGGCCATAAGCCCAGGAGAGAATCACTGAGAGCAAACTGAGGGACAGGAAGAAATAGAATGAAAGACCATATGCCCCAGGGACCCACACTGGTGAATACTGATGGTCAGGATGATCAAGGATCCTTGCCCCAAAACACTTCTCCTCGCCCTCCAGATTCTACAATGTCTGAGAAGCCACCACTAAATCTACTCCCCAGAATACCCATTGGCTGCCCAGGTAACCTCAAGAAGGATGGACACTTACAGATAGTTGAGCTTGTCATATTGGGTAAAGTCAACCGTGGGGTAGTAGCACTGAAGCACAGAAGGYTTTTGAAGGGCCTGATTCTGAGTACCAGGACATCATCTCTCCTGGAGTCACAGTCAGTGACTTCCACCTGGCCTTATCCCTCCCCTGCCCTCAAAATCCATAACTTGCTCCTTCCAGAAAACTGTGCTATAAAGCCTACCCCAGCAGACCTAATTCTTGTTATAGCACCATTCTGTGAGGACACCCACTGCTCTAGCCATTGTCCCACAGTGACCACCATGGGGCTCAATTTCCTCTCTGTGATACCCTAGGGAGGTTCTTCAATGCTAGACACTATGAAAACATCAAAAGAGCAGGGTGCCAGGTCACACACCTACTCAAGAGGCTGAGACAGGAGGATTGTAAGTTCAAGGTCAGCCTGGGCAAACTAGCAAGGCCCTGCCTCAAAATAAAAAAGACTGAGGATRTAGCTCAGTGGTAGGGCAYCCCGGGTCCAATCCCCAGTACTAAAAAGAAAAAAAAAATYAAAAGATGCATGGACATTGCCTGACTCCACTTTGCCATGAAACCAAWAAGCAGCTTCCTCTGTAGTTAATGGAAGTGTGACTACATTTGCCACCCCACAGGTGAGCCACAGAGAGGCAAATTCCTGCCTCCTTCCTCATCCAAGCACTGGTGGAAATCTTTAGTCAGCTGTGGCCTAAACCAAGGCTTCTATTTCTGATCCCTTCCAGTTGTGGCTCTCCCCCATTCCCTTTCTGTAGCTGTGTTCTTTTTTCCTCCAGAGGTGAGTTCCTTCTTACCTCTGGTGCAGGGCTCTGGGCTCTAACCAACTCTTCCCTAGGTGAATCACCATTGTGATTATGTGGGAGCTCTGTTCCTGTTTAATCAGCTGTCAGGARGAGGCACACAGGGAGCCACATGGAGTGTTTAGTTAATGGCTATGAAAGGGTGGGCGTGAGCGTGAGTGCATCTTTCTGGGCAGCTGAGTTTTCTGGCTAGCTAGTGGCTTCTTCCTTTTTTTTTTTTTTTTTTGGTACTGGAGATTGAACCTGGGGATACTTAAACACTAAGTCACATTCCCAGCCCTTTTTTGTGTTTCATTTAGAGACAGAGTCTCACTGAGTTGCTTAGGGCCTCACTAAGTTGCCTAGGCTGGCTTTGAACTCATGATCCTCCTGCCTCACAACCTCCCAAATTGGTGGGATTAGTGCCCAGCCACTAGTGGCTTATTTTTAAGTACCTAAAAGTCTTTATTTTATGTAGACATATTTCTAAAATATTTTATGTGCTTCCTTGTCATTTTATCCAGATTTGGCTTTCAGACAGATTTTTAGACTTGAAAGTTACTTTATTAAACATCTAGAAAYTTCATTGCATAAATGGGTCTTCTGAGGCAGAGGGCTACAGCAACATAGCTAAGGTCCCCAAAGACAGCTCCAGAGCCTCAGTCAAAGCCCTGACACTCCATCAAAGGGACACACAACTAAGGCAAGGCATATTGTGACAATAAACTTTCCCATAGTGACTCAGGTCATCACGTATGCACCAGTTTCAGTAGCCTTCTGCAGTGTCATAGTGACTCGGGCTCATCTCCAACAGTCCTTTGACACTGTACTTTATCATTTATGTCCCAGGCTATCTTTTCATTATTTTGACTGACCCCCCTGCTCTCTGAGTGAGTGGCAACATCCTGTCTTGCTGCCTTCAATGGTTTGGTTTGCCTCCTACAAACCAAAACCACCTTCTAGCTTCTCAGTTTCTACTTCCCTGGGCTGGAAACATAAATAAACTAGTTAGAATTGTGTATACATTAAAAACAAGCAGTGGCAGAGAGTACTGTTAACATACTAAGGCGGGCATTGCCATGGCAGCTGTATCCCCGACACCCAGCACAGTATATTTGACAATAAACTCTCAGTAAATGTGATGGAGTAGATAATTAATTGACTATATRACCAGTTTGCAGGTGAGCAGAGGATGAGGACCAGGCTGTTCACTCTAGCTGCTCTAGGACAAGGTGGGGACTGAGTCTTTGAACCCCATGCATCACCTGGGCACGTCTCTGCTTAGCAGCCCTTCCCTACTCTGTTCACACTCCTTTGAACACTCTCCAGTGAGGGAAAGGAACTAACACCCTGGCCGTGTCAGACAGACAAAGAAGGTGATCTACCCAGGTGGTTTCATTCAGTTCTTCGTCCTCTGAGGATGCTGCTATGTCCTCCACTTTGCAGCAGAGGGACCCTAACCTGGATTTCAGGAACTTGCCTAGTGATTACCCAGTACATGAAGGARCCCAGACCAGTGCCAGGCACAGATCAGGTGTTTGATAAAAGTCTGATGAAAGAATGGCCAGAGGGAGGATGGTCTCCTAGGTCYAGCTGTGCCAGAGCTGTCCTGATCCCCACCATCCCTCTGGCCCACCACAGAGCGGCAGTATTTTAGACAGCTGGGAGAATGTGGGTCTCCCGTTGACCCCTGGAGGTTGACAGACATGAGGCAGACAGATTATATGGTCCCTTACGATAAGTTTCCAAATGAATAATCCCCCCTGCCCTGTTTTAGMAGCTGGCATGAGCTGCCCAAGGCAGTGGTAAATGTCACTAGATGCTGGAGGCTTGGGTTCCTGCTAAAGCAAATGCCTCTGTTCCCCAGGCAATTCCACTGGGGCCTTTCCACCCTCTCTTCGAATCCCTGGAGCAGGCTCATCCAMAGTTCTCTGTGTAAGTGACAGCACAGGCACCGCCTCTCTGGACCCTGTGAGCAGGCAAACACCAAGCACACATCTACCAGGAGCCAAGGTCAGAACCGGTGATGAAAGGGCCTCTGTGTTCCCCTTCCACTCCTGGAGCAAAACCCAGCCAGGAGGGCGGGTCCAGGCCTGCCACATTGCAGAGTATTTTCAAACCAGGCCTTGGGCAACGGGATGCAGGGATTAAGGCAAGAACGTGAACAAGGGGACAGAGCTTCCCAGGGGCGAGCCACAGCTCTGCTACCTGTAGGTGAAATAACTTTGCCAAGTAACTCAGGCTATGAAAGCCCCAGTTCCCCCTTCTCTAAAGAGGAGCTGATCATAGCATCTCATGGGGCAGCTGTGAATTTTAAACAAGTGAGGAGCGAATCTCCCAATAATCCCCCACTCTTCAGCTGTCTGGCCTCCTTACCCGCTCCTGCCTGCAACCTCTGTGTCCCTAGGATGCCCGTGCCTTGTAGCTTTGCTTTGCTGTTCCCTTTTCCTAGAATGCCACCCCCAGGCTCAGGGACATGCCATCCTTTCTCTAGGCTCTGCAAACACACAACTCCTCTCTCATGGATTCTCCAATCCCTGCCAACCCAGTAGCTGCATACCCCTCTCCACTGCCCCACCCACTCCTTCCACCATGGCCCCCCTCCCTTCTGCTGAGTCATAGCAATTCAGTTCAGCATGGAGGACCACATGCTGGACCACAGTGACACAAACAAGACCACAGGGACATGGATCCTGCCCTTCCACAGCTTCTTGCAGGCATCACAGAGCCAGGCATGAAACATACACAGGCAATGTCTAGGCTGAGAAAGTGCCCATGCCAGCCCTGAGGCACAGGGGAAAGACACCAGAGCCAGGTCTGGGCTCAGGAAAGGTCTCCTTCTGCAGGGACAACTCAGCAAAAATTGAGGATGAGTGATAATGGGCCAGGAACCACATTCAGACAGCAGGAACATTGTTCAGGTTCACCATGGAACACCTGGCAGGCTCATGGAATTAATAACGTGCTCACAGATCTGTCTCCTTTTCTGAGCCATGAGCTCCAGCAGGCTGACAAGGTCTCTTGTTCATCTTTGGCACCGCAGCTCATATTCCAGTGCYTGACATGGAGTGGGAAAGTATTCAATAAATGTTGGCCGAATTGGCAAATGTTCGCCGAACTGACAAATGTTCAGCAAACAATACAGAGGGGATTGTGCCTGGATCCTCAATGCCTGCAAGATGCAAGAGATCAGAAGAGGCTGAGATCACAGGGAGTGGGCAGTTGATAGGGAACTGAGACAGGCCAKAGCCTTAAGACTGGGGAGACACTTTCTGCAGCAGGCACAGCCCTTTGATTATGAACCACTAAGCAAACAAGCTCTTTCTAGGGATCAATGTCAAATCCTCCACGTGGATGAAAAAATATAATTCCCCTAGTTCGGAACGAAAGAGATTAGGCCCCCAAACAGGTTCCGTGAAGAAGCACTGTGGTTGTACTTGATGGTGAGTGGGTGTGAGCCCACAGGGTTTCTTGAAGGCACAGCTCCCACAGCCTGAGGCCGCACTGTGGGGTTTACATCACTGTGCAGGTGCACAGCCCRGCAGCCACCTGGGTCAGGACACTGACTCCTTGAGGGGTAGGTGAAGGACTGGGACTTTTCCATCAGAAAAGAGAAGTCACAATGGATACAGGATGGCTGGGGTGAGATCCCAGGGGAAGATGTGCATGCTCCAAACAGCAATGGCGGCCCTGAGGGTGAATATAGATGTTGGTTCTGTGCAGGAAGAATGTCTTCACCTCTAGGTTACTCATTGGTGGGTGGTCTGCAACAAGTGGGCTGAGGAAATTCCTGACCAAGGAGTGAGTGGTGCTAAATTACATCAAAGAGCAAAGAGCACTGGGTTTGGAGTCTGAAAAACTAGGTTTCTCCCACTTGCTACCTCTGTGACTGTAACAGAATCTTCCTCCCCTTTCTCCCCCTTGGTGCTTTGAGGGTCACATGCAAGGTATATGTGAAAGAGCTGTGTAAACTGCAATGCCCAATACCACTCCTTCTAAAGGTCCCTTTTGTGTGCCACACCCCAGGGCACTAGCTGGGCAGGATTAGAATCCTCCCTCCCTCCCTCCCTCCTAACGGAGGCACCACCCCTGACCTGATCCTCAACACACAGCCCTGGGACTCTCCAGTCCTGGTTCAGCTGGGGACAGAGCTCAGCTCTACATTCTTCAGTGTTCATAAGATGGGAGGTGGGAAAACAGTCCAAAAGCACATGCATAGGGCCACGGGTCAATAGAGCAGCTGCTACTCCAGCCTCTCTGCTCCCTGCCTGGGGACTAGCCTTTTGGGAAGTCAGTCAGGGCACAGTCCACCGGGTTGACCTGAATTCCAGAGGAATACTGTCCACTGGCTCAACCCATCAAAACATTGGCAGACAAAGGAAAGAGGAGAAGGAGTGAATGAGAATCCAGAAGGGTAAATATGTCAAGGGCTGCAGTGACCTCCCAGGGAGTGTTGGTGTTCTCAGATGTTCCCCAAGCCTCTAGTGAACTACAGTGCACATTGGAGCAAGAAAGTCCCAAGTGTGAATGCCAACTTTGCTTAGCTGTGTGACCTCAGTTAACCTCTCTGTGCCTCAGTTTAACAACATGTAACAGGGATGATCATGCTTACCTCTAGGATCACTCGTGAGAACTAAAAGAGATACTACGGGGAATTTACTCCACACCGAGGGGCACAGTAAGTGCTTTTTCCTCTTATCGCCATCTTGGGGATCTTGCAACTCTGTAGTAACTTCGGAGAACCAGGACTTCCACAACAGAGCAGGTGTCAGGGAAAAGCTAAAGGGAAGAGTACAGAGGCACTGGGCCTGTAGCCSAGGTGGAGACCTCCAGGAATGAGGCAGATGATCCCAGGAAGAGGGTGGGGGTCCCTGTCATGGAAGTACAGGCTGGGGAGATTCCTCTCAAGTCAGGAAATGGGGTGCCAGGTTCCCTGGGGGAGGGGAAGGTGCTTCCTGAGTCCTGGGGTTCCAGGGCCCTGCGGATAGAGATGCTCTGGAGACTGGGGATGGGTCCCAGGCCACCCTGACGCTCCCCACGGTCCGCAGGCCCGCCAGCGCAGCGCTGGTCCATGCAGGTGCCGGCGGAGGTGAGCGCAGTGGCGGGCGATGCAGCAGTGCTGCCCTGCACCTTCACGCACCCGCACCGCCATTACGACGGGCCGCTGACCGCCATCTGGCGCGCGGGCGAGCCCTATGCGGGCCCGCAGGTGTTCCGGTGCKCGGCGGCCCGCGGCAGCGAACTCTGCCAGACAGCGCTGAGCCTGCACGGCCGCTTCCGCCTTCTGGGCAACCCACGCCACAACGACCTGTCGCTGCGCGTCGAGCGCCTCGCGCTGGCCGACGATGGCCGCTACTTCTGCCGCATCGAGTTCTCCGGGGACGTCCACGACCGCTACGAGAGCCGCCACGGGGTCTGGCTGCGCGTCTCGGGTGAGGCTGGCGGGCGGCCAGGGCCACATGGGGGCAAATGGTTTTCTCCTTCCCAGTCCGGCTGCTGCGGCGTGCACGCGGCTGCGACAGGGASGCAACAAGATCTGTCCCCGCTCATCCACCCCAGGGGCTCTCAAAACTTAGTGGCTAAGGGCGACCTGGGAACTTGTCAGAAATGCAAAATTTTGTTCGCAGAAAGGATTGAGGTGGGACCCCGGGAATAAGCAATGTAATGCAACTCAGAGAGTGAGTGTCCCCAGAAACTGGCAGACAAAGGGAAGAGAAAAAGGAAGAACCATAATCTTCACTATGACAAGGGCTGCAATGATTTGCACTGAAGGACATCGCATTCCTCCTCCCAAGAGGTGCACAGGGACCCCACCCCCACCCCCCCACCCCCGCCAAGTGCTTGGCACTTGGCTAGATTAAGATACAAAGATGCCTGAAGCAGGTCCTGGTCCCTAGATCAGTAGCTCTCCACTGTGGCACCAACCCTGCGCTAGGACAATAATGAATGACCATTTAATGAGCACTTGCTACGAGGCCAGGCCCTAGTCCAATCACGCCACAAGTATGGATTTGCTAAATCTCAACAACCCCACGAGGCAGGTTCTATTGACGATCCCCGTTTTACACAAGGACAAACTGAGGCAAAGAGAAATGGAATGGTTTGTCCAAGGCTACAGCTGTTTTGGGAGCCTGGCATCCTGGCACCCAGGAGACCACATGTCCTCCTTGAGGTCCCTGCACCTCACTCCTAGAGTACTGGCGTCCTAAGGGCACGCGGGAGGGAGGGGTGCCTCTTGCCCGCTTCTCTGTCACTGCACTAGGCTTTCTCCCTCTCCCCTGGGCCGCCGCTCCGTGACCGGTGACATCGTCCCCCTTTTCCCTTCCCCACAGGCGCACCACGAATCGTCAACATCTCGGTGCTGCCGAGCCCTACGCACGCCTTCCGTGCGCTCTGCACGGCTGAAGGGGAGCCGCCGCCTGCCCTCGCCTGGTCCGGCCCGGCCCTGGGCAACCACTCCGCGGCGGTGCCGGGACAGAGTCACGGTTACCGGGTGACTGCCGAGCTCTCCGCGCTGACCCACGACGGCCGCTACACTTGTACGGCCGCCAACAGCCTGGGCCACGCGGAGGCCAGCGTCTACTTGTTCCGCTTCCGCGGCGCCACCGGGGCCTCGGCGATCGCGCTCCTGCTGGGTGCGCTGGGCCTGAAGGCTCTGCTGCTGCTGGGCGTTCTGGCCGCTCTCGCCACCCGCCGCCGGCTAGGTGGGTGTGCCAAAGACCCGGGGAGGTGCGAGAGGGCGGGCTGGGGCTGTCCCCTCAGGCGAGATCGGCCTGCTGACCAGCCGGCTTGACACAACCAGAACGTCCATTTTGCACCTGTGCTTAGGCTCGCTTTCTTCTCCCTGCATGGAGCCCAGGAGGTGGGAGCCAGGGCGAGTCGGATTTCACAGCTAGGAAGGTTAAGTACCCTGCCTTTTACCTGGAGTCACTGATACAGAGATTCAGCCACGTCTGGCCCTGGAGTCGCYGCTTTACCACCACCTTAAACCCTTAAGCCGCAGGCTTTCCCAGAAGGCACCTTCCATTGTGTTACTACAAGCATCCTGAGAACCAGCTTTGGGGTGCATGGGGCTGGGATGCCCCCCACGGGAGACTGATGAGTCAGCACAGCTTTGCAGGGCACTGTGAGAGGGATCACTTAGATCCCACTAACGCAGAAGCCAGGGGATGGTGTTCTATTCTGGTGTGGCCAGGAGGGAAGGACTTGCCCAAGAAGTGAGGTGGGAGCCAAGCCAAAAAATCTAAATACACATGAGCTCGGAAAGCAAGGAGCAAAATGTGCACCTGGCAGAGGGGACAGCATGTGCAAAAGTCTGGCAACTTGAACTGGCAGGTCTCTAGAGAGCTGCCACACTGCTGCTGAGCTGGGTGACAAATTTGTTGTGTCCCCAGGTTCTCAGTCCTCCCAGGCTGATAGCACTAGCCTCCAAATGTAGGGAAAGAAATCCAAAATTTGCCACAGTTACCTGGCTGCTGTCCTTGCTGTGGCCATCCTGGCATTCTTGCTGGTTCTGCAAAGTCACCAAGCATTTCATGCCTATGCTGGGGGGGGGGTGCTTAGAAAGTCATCATTTTTTCTTTCTGGTGAACAGCCCCTCACTCTGTCATTTTCCTTCTTTACTTGTGATCCTCTTTCAGGTGGAGGGCTTCATGTCACCTCCCCACACCCTGCTCCTCTGCTGTCTGCCACGTGTCTCCTTGGGACCATTCTACACCGTGGGGTGTAGTGGGGGGTGGGTGTAGGCATGTAGGCTGGATGCTGCAGGCATACTTATAACTCCTTGTTCTTTCCCCCACACAGAGCACCCGGTCACCCAGGACACCCCTCCGAGGTAAGTGTGCTCATTGCCTCCCCTGTTTCACCCCACCTGGTCCCACTGGCCAGGGGGGTGCCAGCTTCTCAGACTGTAGCACAAGGAGAAAGAACAGGCTAAGGGAAGGGCCAGAGTCCCCAACCAGGGTCTGGGCCTACCTCACAGCCTGCCTCAGTAGAGCACACCATTCTTTGGATAGATCAGGGAGCTGTTCCTCTAGCCGCCCCGCCTCCCGCCTGCTGTCCATGGTGCTGAGTGACACCTCCAGGCTTTTTGGTCTTATAGTCCGCCAGGATTCTGGAACAGGCAATCCCACCATGGGGACATTTATTCTCTCAGGCCCTCTGCTGAAGGCTTCCCACACAAAATGTCATTAGAAGTTTTAGGATCTGGCTTAGATGAGAGATCTGGGAATCCCAGCTAGGAAGACATTGACCAGAGGTCATGCTGTCCTCTGTGGTGTCCACCCAAGTGAAGCCCTGTGTTGAAGGAAGAAAGAACTGAGTTCTAGCTGGGTGCAGTGGTGTATGCCTGTAATCACAGTGGCTTGGAAGGCTGAGGCAGGAGGATCTCGAGTTCAAAGCCAGCCTCAGCAACTTAGCAAGGTCCTAAGTAACTCAGTGAGACCCTATCTTTAAACAAAATATTTAAAAGGCTCAGTGGTTAAGTGCCCCTGGGTTCAGTTCCTGGTATTAAAAAAAAAAAAAACAGTTCTAGATACTGGGTACCCTGTGCTGGATGCTGGTGGGGGTAGGGTACAGTCCTTCCAGRCCCTCAGATGAGCCTAGCCCCTTCTCCAGCTGAATGCTCAAGCATCTCCTGCAGTGTTGATCTGTCACATATCCCCCCCCCYTTTTTTTTGCTAACGTACTATTGAACCAAGTCCCCTAAATTAGGAAGCCAGCTGTTGTTTAATCATTTAACAAACATCCAAGTGCCCCCTATGTAGCAAGCACTGATTTGGAAACTAAAGAGAGAAAATCCCTGAACTCACGCTCCATAATGGAGAATTTTAATAAACACATACACAAATCATGTTAGACTACAAAAAAGGGCTGTAAAAAGTGAATGAAGTGGTGAAGCTGAGCCCTTGGAGACAGGGTGACCATGGGCTGGGGATGTGGCTCTTAGGAAACCTGAAGCTGGAGGCTGGAGCCAGGAGGGCAGGGGCTGGGGCAATCTGAGGAGGGAAAAGGCGATGGGAAGGCACAGTTGGGACTCAGAAGGGAGGCAGCGAGGCCAGAGCATGGATGTGAAGTGGGCAGGTGGGGCTGGAGGTACTATTCTGGATGGTCTGGGAGAATAGTTTCAGCAGGAATGGCCCCAAYTGAACAAGGAGGGAGGAGGCCGTGTGGCTGCGTGGACAGAGGTGTCACAACTGGAGGTGGGGAGATGGAAGGTGAGGCTTGCTTGAGGACGGGGTAGCAGCATGTGATAGAGGGATCCAGGACACCCGGGGTTGGAGCTTGAGCCCAGGAATTCTTACCAAGGTGATAGGGAAGAGGAGCAGCTGGGGAGGCCTTGGAGGTTTGAGATACCTGCCAGGATATCTCCAGCAGAAGTCTGGAAAGATGAAGGGACWTGGATACAGGGTCTGGAGGTCAGGGACATGGAGCTGGTTTGTGGAGCCTCTGAWGAGATTACTTGGAGGTGGTAGAGACTGATCCTAGCTGCTAGTTGCCTCTCACTGGGTGGTCAGTTCACTTTCTCCTGTCTGCAGGCCCCAGACTCAAGAATCCAATTATGAAAATTTGAGCCAGATGAACCCCCGGGGCCCAACAGCTGCCACATGTTCCCCATGAGGAGCCCCTTGGCCACCAGCATCATTTTGCACACGAAGTGAAGGCCAGCATGAGGTTTGGTTCCCAGGCAGCCCCCACCAGGTGACCCCCAAGGTGGCCTTTACTGAACATCTTTGAGCCCCTGTGATATTTATTCTAGTGGAGCAAGCATTCTGAAAGCGTGTGTGTGTGTACATGTGAACCTCAGCAGGAAACTTCCAGAACAGCTCCCCTCATCCTTAATTATCTAGGACAGGAAACAGACCATAGGGTCTGGAGGCCCAGGCTCCATCCTGCTCTGTCGMCAAACTACTGTGTGGACCAGGGCACTTTCTTCCACTCACTGGGTCTCAACTTATCCACTGCTTAACAGGGTAAACCACAYCCCCCCCCCCCCCGAATGGTAGGTCTAGCAAGATCTGAAGAATCTGAGGAGTCCGTGTGGCTGCGTGGACAGARGTGACACAAGTGGAGGTGGGGAGATGGAAGGTGGGGCTTGCCTGAGGACAAGGCTAGATGTGATGGGACTTTGGAGAGTATGAGCCTATCTCAGGTGTGGGCCTTTGGATGTGCAGAGTTCCTGAATGAATGTGGCCCTCTCAGCAGCCTTGTGGGGAACAAAGCCCACAAGAGAAAACAAAAGATGAGGGTGTGCAAACTGTGGCCAGAGGAAGAGCAAATTCTGGAAACCTGGTAGCATGGGAAGACCTGGAGTCCTACCTTCTTCCATCTCCACTGTGACTGTCCTGCACCCTCTGCCCACCTCTTGCTACCTCGAGCTGGGACCCCAAGGAAAGGAAATCAAAGACCGTTCTCTCAAAGCATCTGAAAGCTTTTGTCTCAGGTACTGAAAGCTGGAAGCCCCAAGGAAAGCTCTGGATACCCATGAATTAAGAAGCTACAAGAGGCATTTTGTCCCGTGCTTGGAACCCCAGCCACTCCAGAGGCTGAGGCAGGACAGCAAGTTTGAGGTCTAAACCTAGTGAAACTCTTTTAAAATAAAATAATAAAATTGAAAAATGTAAAGGGCAAAAAAAAAGAAGAAAGAAAAAGAAAGAAAGAAAGAAGAAGGAAGGAAGGAAGGAAGGAAGGAAGGAAGGAAGGAAGGAAGGAAGGAAGGAAGGAAGGAAGGAAGGAAGGAAGGAAGGAAGAAGTAAAGGGCTGTGGATAGAGCTCAGTGATAGAGCAACGTACCTACCATGGTAAGGCGCTGGGTTCCATTCCCAGTACCATAAAAGGAAAAACAAAAACAAAAACCCAATTACTGATATCGCTGGTATCCACGAGTCCTGCTTCTTCACATGTTGAAGAATGACATTAGAGAACACGCGGAAGCAAACACATAAAGCAGGATTTAATGGAAAAGAGGTATCCTAGACTTCTCTGGGTTGGAGAAGGGGGACATAGCTGGTATCCTGGTATTCCACGAAGTGAGGGGTTTTACCCTTTTCATATGTCCCAGGCTTCCTTTATTCTGCTCTCTTCCCCTCATCTCTCTCCTTYCTGCTTATGGGTGACTAGGCCAGGAGGTGCTCTGTGGGATGCCAAAAAGTGAGAAGCAGATGGGCAGGGGAAGAGACCGATGGAGCAGCCCAGGACACATTAACAACTTTATAACTCCCTGTAGAGAGGGGCACTTCCTGGGGCAGGTTACCTTAGCAACAGGTTGGCCCAGGGGCAGGTTATCTTGAGAGGGTGGAGGAAGGCATTTCAGAGGGACAGTCTCCAACTTCAGGGACTCATTCAAATTGGCTTCCTTGATCCGACCTGACTCCATTTACCTACCTGAACAGATGGATGCCTGTCTAAATCTGGCTTCATGACAGTGCTGACCTCTCTCCACAGCATGTTTCCTCCTAGGATGTGGGAAGTCCAAAAGCAACGGCAATTTTGTCCCATCTGCCCCAGTTCAGCCTGGATGATTTTGTGGGGGAAGAGGGAAGGGTACTGCCTTCCCTATTTACACTACAGTGTGAATTTGTTGGTACTATTAAGAGAGCAGGAGCAGGATCCAGGTAAGCTGTCAAGAGGAAGGGCCACAGGCAAGGGAGATGGGTTGAAGGTTGAGAGCAGCATGTTACCAGGCTCCCTCTACACCAGAGCCTTCACCAGGGTCAGTGGGTGGTAGCAGCTCATGGTAACGTGGGATCCACCAAGGAGCCTCTCTTAGCTGGTAACAGGTCACAAGAGTTGGCATCTGTATCTTGTTGCTCAGAGATGCTTTTAGGCACCTCCATTGGAAAGTTCTATATCACCAGGGAAGAAGTTAGGGACAAAGGAGAGATGTGTATTAAAACATCTTCTTGGTCTTTGAAGCCAGTTTTACAACAAAGGAAAACTGACAGGAGTTATTTCTTGTGTATCTGTTTCGTGCTACGAATTGGGTAAGGTATTTAGGGATACCTTAAAAATGAAGGTGGCAGTGGGTATGGTGGTGACACCTGTATGCCAGAGGCTCAGGAGGCTGAGGCAGGAGGATCACAAGTTTGAAGCCAGCCTCAGCAACTTTAGTGAAGCTCTGCACAACTTAGTAAGACCCTGTTCCCAAAATAAAAATAAATAAATAAAAAGGGCTGGGGATGTGGCTCAGTGGCCAAGTGCCCCTGGGCTCAATACCCACTACCTAAACAAATAAACAGACACAAAGGCATCTCAGTCAGGTGGGCTAGGTTGTGCTGTGGTAACATACCCTAAAATCACAGTGGCTGGAAACATAAGGCTTTGTTTCTTGCCAAAGCTATGCATTTACCATGAACTGCCAGGTGGGCTTTGCTCCTGTGTTGCTACTCAGGGACTCAGGTCCCCTCTGATGTTGAGGACTGCTGGGTCAGAGGCAAAAAGAACCCCCTGGAGGGCCTCCCACTGGTGATCACAGTTCATTAGCCAGAACTGACTACCTTCCCAGTTCACCCTAAAGACACCAGGCAGCAGAACTCCATGTGGAACTTGGAAGGAGGACATTTGGGAACAGGATAGACTCCAGAAGCTCTCAAGCTAGTGAGTAACACAACCTCATCGTAACTCAGTGGCAGAGCACTTGCCTAGTGCTCATGAAGCCCTGAGTTCCATCCGCGGCACCACAAGGAAGAGAAGAAAGAAAATTATGTGTGGGTAGAGAGAGGGGGGGGGAGGGGTGCTGTGGGATCACGTAAACAAGGCAACTGGCCCTATCTTGGGGAAGCCTTCTCGAAAAATCTACCTGGGGACAGAACTTGTTGGCTGTGTAAATAGAAGAATGGAGGTTGGGGGTAGGAAAAAAGGACATTCTAAACAAAGGGACAGGGGCTGGGATATAGCTTGGTTGGTAGAACACTTGCCTTCTCGCATGCACAAGGCCATGGATTCAGTCCCTAGCRCACACACACACACAAAATAATAAAAATAAACAAAAGGACAGTCGSAGCAAAACCAGGAAATTGGATACCACATGGTATAAGCAGTTGGAAGTTGCCAGAGCCAGAGRGTAGGGACAGGATGTGGCCAGGGCTGAAGGGGTAGACATGAGAATAGCAGAAGGGACTCAGGGCACACAAGGGAGTGAGTGTGGCACCGAGCCCCTCGTACTACTTGCCATGGCTGCTTTCACTTTCTGACCACTGCATCTCAGAGCCTGGATGTCCTGGGCTGGGCCCTGGGCCTGGAGCAGGGTCTCCCTGGTGAGTTCCAAGGGACACCTGCATCAGGAACACCTGGGAGTTTATTCAAATGCCCAGTCTGAGCACCACCAGGACATACTGAACCACAAGCTCAGGGCAGAGTAACTAACATTTTAAACAAATTCTTCAAGTGGCTTTGCCCCATCCTTTTATTATCATTTTCAAACATACACCAACAAACTTGAAAAAGTGAGATGCTCACCCACACATCACTATTTCCGTTACTCACATTCTGTGTGGGTTCTGTGTGTTCTCTGTGTGTGTGTGTGTGTGTGTGTGTGTGTACGCTTGACTGAACCATTTGCAAATTAGCTGCAGACATCACAATCCTTTACCCTAAACACCTTTGAAGGACAAGAGCATTCTCCTCCATCTCCTCTGTACCATTACCACGCCTGAGAAAATTAACAGTAATTCAGTAATGCCACCTTACGGTCCAGATTCAGATTTCCCCAACAGTCCTCCAAATGTCGACTTGACCTTGTTATTTATAACCAGGATCCAGCTGACCCCAGGTGACTCTTAGGCAAGCAGAAGTTGGACACTTGCTCTCCGGGGCACCTGACATTGCTCACATTATTATCCCGGAGTAYAGGGGAGCTGGCTAATGATCTGGTGCCCTTGGCTGCAGGATTTCACTTGACAGCAGGACTTCTTGAGTGGAAGAAGCAGGAATGGACTCTGATGGAGTGGTTTCAGATCACCGTGGCCATGGGAAGCAGGTTCATGGACAGCTTTAACAAYCTGTACACAGTCTAAACAGCCTTTGCTTGGCCTCCTGATAAAGAAGCTGCTCTGCCCCACCCCTCAGGGACAGCACATGCCCCCCAACTCCCCTCTCCAGCCCTCTCAGGACACTCAGGCCTCTGGCAAGCAAAGCCAGAGACCTGGACAACAGGCTGGGTCAGCAGTTGGGACTCTCCACTCTCCTCTTAGAGCCACAAAGTCAAGGAAAGAAATGACCAAGATGAGTTGGTGTTCTCATGACTGGACTTCCCAGGGGGTACAGGGTACAGGCTGGAGCCTTCTGTTCCCTCAGCACAGCACCCATGAAAACAAGTCTGCTCATGAGCCGCTTTCCAACCCTTAAACCCTGTGGTTCTATCTGGAAAGCAGCCCAACTCAGAGAAGGACGTGAGACCCACCCACACCCAGAAGGTCTCATCCTTGGTTAATCCCAAATTGATGATAATCCCCGGTGGAATGTGCAGCCCCTCCCGCCCATTCTAGSCGTGTCTTACAAATCCATGAAAATTAACATTAAGGAGAAATTCCCTGGGATTCCAATACTGAAGGCCCATTTTCAGAGTAGACCCTTTTAGCAACCCCTGGGGYGCTGCCCTCTGCTGGCAGCTCCCTCCCTCACACCAGAACACCACTCAGGCAGGGGGAGCCTCAGTGCAGCTCTTAAGCCCCACCTCCTACAGAGGTTAGGCCACATTACAGACTGTGAGGGGTCTCCTGATCTCTCTGACAGTCTCTGGTCCACGCCAATTCTTTTTGAAATTAGAGGCTTCACCAGTGYAGTAAACACCACAGAGTAAAGATCTTAGCCATTACAAACTAATTTAAAATTTTTCTTCATGGATGTATGTATAAAAAGATGACCTGCCAACAAACTTGCCAAGAACAATGAGACAGGCCCACCATGGGTAAATTGACTCTGAATGTAGTTTATTTGCAGAATTTTACTTAATCAATTCTTATTTATTCCTGTTTCTCACCATGATATAAAAACTCATCTTCTGTACAAGCATGTAAAACATTGAACAAGGCATAAGAAGTGAATATTGCACATTTAATGATCAAAATAAAGTAGTGGTTTTTAAAGGCCACTTTAGACATGTGGGAAGAAAAAGTTGAACACACTGAAGTATTTGTCTCCAACTTTAGTGATTTTCAACCATAGAAAGAAAAATAAATTCTAACTCTCAGTGCTCAGTGAGAGATCACATTGGTACATTTAAAAACAAGTTATAATCAACAACATTCCTTAGCAAGTTCATTATCCCAAAATAGGATCAGTAATTTTTTTCAAGTTTTTTTCATCAGAAATCAGGAAGCTATCCAAAGTGAAGGGAACCTCAGAGACAGCTGCACAGGTCACAGGATGGTCCAGAATACGAATATCATGGTGGAGAAACAAAGTCAGTCTTAGGGCCTGACTATAGGTCAAGAGCTTTACCCAGCATGACCCAGATGCAAATGGAAGATCAAGGTAGGGGGATGTTTCTTTTGAAAGGGACACGCTTCCAACATGGAGGGTAGACAGCAGTAAAGGACTAAGCGTGGAGCACCTTGTTTGTGAGACCTGCCTCACAACCATGCAATGAGACCAGTCTTCAGCAGCAACTCATATTAAACCGAGGTATAGTTTGAACTCGCCACGAGTTTAATGTGTTTAATGTGCCAACCATACGTCACAGCTACAGCCAATGCTGCCCAAGTGTCCAGAGGAGTGAACTGCACTGCTTGACCTCAAGCATGACATGCCAGGGCAGGGGCCAGGATGAGGAGAGGGAGGCACCAAGGCAGAGAAGGCGAAGGAGCGCCCTCTCCTGGCACTGTTGATTACCAACCTCCTCAACTGTGCTCTAGGTGCCTCACCTAGTCCCATACWGTGCCCCGGGGGCAGCCCTCGGGACATCATGGTAGAAAACTAAGGATTGTGGGGCATTTAGTCTGGAAAGGACTAAGAGATGGGGCCACATGGTGTCGGAGGTGTGACGGGAAGGGAAATGTGTGCTGAGAGGGGAGCAAGAGATGGAGCCAGCCTGGACTGCGCCAGGCAGGTCCACAGCCAACCGGCAACCTCTCCAGGAGACACCTGGCTGTCAGACAGAGCAGAACCACATGTGACCCGCCAGCAGCAGCCTGCGTGGCCCTACAAGGGCTGGCCTGTGGCCACTGGCCAGGTGGGGGAGGCTGAGTATCCCACTGAGTGAGCGAGCGGTGGGCACCCGGTGTGTGAATGCTCCTTCTGACTTTTAAATTCTGATTATTCTAGACATTTACTTCCAGCTCCAGAAGAAACAACTAATTTTAGGAACAAAAACCCCACACACAAAAATGGTGTTACCACCTTTCATTCAAACACAAAGGCACAGACATGATTAACTTATACAATATGGACACACTGGTTTTCGTGACTACTCAGGAGTAACAAGGCTGTCACTTGACTGGAGGAGGTTAGATAAGTTTGCATTCTCTACAATAATTCCCTCCAGTCTCAGAGACTCAGGCTTAACCCTGGGGAGGCAGAGGTATTCACAGACTAAGCCAAGAAACTGAACAAAAACGGCCACAYGTCAGAGCTGAGGGCGAGTGTGCAGGACCTCTGAAACAGTGGGACCTAGCTCCACCTGCCAGTGTCACACTGTGCAGACACATCCAGCAGCACCTTCCTGCCTCCATGGCCCGTGGCTCCCAGCTCTCTGCCCTTCACCTGTTCTAGTCAGTAGAGCCAGGAGATGGGGGGAACAGAACTGTCTCTCTGACCACTCTACTGCAGGGCGGGTAAGGATGGGAGCAGCACTTTTCATTGGGAGCAGAACACTCTGTCTCCTCCTTCCTGCTCCCAAAAAGCATCAGACGTCCTTATCTGAGCCAGATGCCATGGCCAGCCACTGTGCAGACAAGTCCAGGGTGTGGACCTTCCACACTGTTCAGCCCACAAGCAGGCCTTGGTCTTGCCCAGTGCCAGTGCTGACATGCAGCACCTGTCACTGTCTCTCAGACTGTGGCCCTGTGTTCTGTGAAGGCTGGCTATCTTTTCAAGCAAAGACTTGTTACCTGCAAGCAGAGGGCAGGATGACCTAGGTAGGGCCTTCCGTCCCCAGAGATGACAGTAGCACTGCCATGTTCTTTAAATACCTATGAGATAAGCAAACCTTCTGACAGGAAGCATGAAGAAGTGCAAGCAGTTTTACTGACCATCTTTGCAACTCAAGTTACAAGGTCAGGTAAATATGACATTAGTTATAAAAATCTACATCAACATCAATCTCTGATATACTCTGTTAGTGAAGAAGCCCTGAAATTCAGATTCGTAGAAGCTACAACCAAAGGTCGACTTTATTTTTTAAAATCTTTACAGACTAAATATGTTTTAAATATTATAAACTTTCAAAAATTAACAGTTTGATCATAATTTTCTTTAGAATGTACATACTGTCACTCAAAAACTTCACATTTGAGGATATCAATAATTTCATTCTCCTCAAAGAAAACAGCACACAAATTATTTCCTGTCATAAAATCATTGTTGCCAAATTGGCCAATTTAACTGTCCGCAGCTTCTAAAATTTTCACATACGTAGAATAAGAAGATGACTGATTTTGAAAGCAGAGAGAAGCAAAAACAAGGAAAGCTGAGACATGTCACTGTGAGATGACTCTCTGTGGCCTACGAAACTCGAACGCTAAACAGAGATTTTCTTTATCAGAGTGCCAAGGCATGTCTGTGAGGTGGAATTGTTCTGTCCAACAAAAAAGAAAAGTTCCTACAAACTCCCAGATGCGGGGGATATGTGGGATATGGGAGGAGTTCTGCGTCTGCTCACTATATCCCTCTCTCTCTACTGAGAGCTTTTGGTGAATGTTTAGGCATTTGGGGGTATTTTTGTAGGGCTGCACAAAACCAACAAATACACATTATGAAAGCTGGGCAACAAAATCCATTTTGAGCCAAGAGTTATGTTGACAAATATTTTCAGACTAATTCCTGGGGGAAATAACATGAGCAAGAAGAAGGCACCAATGAGGCAACGTTGTAGACAGGTTTTGGTAATGAATGACTGTCAAGGGCGGCCGAAGGCACAGGGCGACTCAAAAAGACAGATTTCAGAAATTCTCCTGACCTGGCCCAGTTTCCATGGACAAGTGTTTCAGCAGGTCCACCAGCTTTATCTGAGTTTAAATATGGAGGGAAGAAGCAAGCAAGGAATGGAGAGGCGAGTCCCCAGTCCCCTGCTCAACAGTGGGGCCTTTAGGTAGCAACCTTGGTGTCCATCAAGAATTTCAAACTTCAATGTCGAGGGAGTGAGTTGAATGAGGGGACCCTAGGGCATGGAGCGACTCTGGACTCTTTGGAGAGAGTCAGCACTCTACACACCCTGCCATGTGGACCAAATAAAACACGAGTGTGCCCAGCACGCTCATCACAAAGCACCAGCCTGACACGCTGATTCAGACAGAGGCTCTTCCATGAGGATACACAGCCAGGGGGAAGCAGACACGTCACCATCTCTACTGTCCACTATAATCAGGATCAAGGTGTCAAGTTTTTCACATGGCTCACTTTAATTCAGCATTTTTATCTCCCTTCTGAGAGAAATAACATAATACCTTTAGGCTGTGTATTTCCCCACATTTGAGAAATACAGAAATCGTCAGGGTTGATTTTTTTCACACTAAAAGCACACAAATGGGGTTCAAAGTGAGGGTTATATATGACTCGCAAAGCAGTCAGATCTGGCACAGGAATCTTGACGTTTAAATAAAACAGGGGAGTCAGAGGTGGAGACATATCATGAAAATTCCCTCTGCGGGTCTTATGAGATGAGGACAGTTGGCAACTGTGAGTGGCTCTGTACCCAAGTGGAACTTAGTAAGTTTCAGTTGTGGATGAACATAAAAACTAAAAAGTCCCCAGAGAGTGAAACACACACACACACACACACACACACACACACACACACACACACACGGACACAGGGACACACGGAATCACCTAATGCCTCCCAATTGCATCTCCAGTCACCCATTCCGTGGCTAAACTGAACTCTACAATGAAAGTGAGCAAAGTTATTTGTGCAACAGCAAAGTTAAATGTAAACATAAACAGTGATGGGGTTTGTCACGGAGCCTTGTGGTTACTACCGTATATTGTCCAGATAATGCACTTCTGGGTAGAGACAGTTAACGAGAAGAGCCAGGAAGCTTTTCCCATCTTGGAGGCAATGGCCAGGATGCTTTATAAACTGGGCAGCTTGCAAAATCTGATCCTGGTATTCAACATACTGCTTACTCAGTGTCATGGATTCAAGAGCAGTCAGAGCCTAAAAGACATGAAAGACAGAGGGTTAACCCCACAGATGCACACCACCTGACTGTGACAGGTACAGCACTACYGTCAGTATTTGGTCCCACTGTGAGCCTCGAGGGAGGGAAGCCCACAGAACCAGAATAAGGAGTCCAGAAGGCAGGCGCTGACTAACACAGCCAGAGGTGGCCACAACCCAAGCTTATCCCCTATTTTGTGCTGTTATTTCACAACCCTGCCTTGCCAGGAGCCACTGCAGCAGCCGGGCCAGTCTTACTGAGGGATTCCTCACCTGCCACACCCATTTCCAGAGTAGGCCCTGTCCTCATTCTTCCCAGTCCCACCTGTGGGTTTGTCCCCACCAGATCAGCTACCCCTCTCTTCGTAGAGGCCAACCAGAACCCACAGATGCACCTTGTTAATGTGACACCTGTGTAACTTGCTGCTGGGTCTGTTCTTAGGCTACAAAATRACATATTCAACTATCTAATTGAATGAAATTCTAAGGAAACCAGCTGCTACGTGCTGCTGAGGGTAAAAGATAAGGTCATTAAATTGGTGAATAGGCATAATGCACAGGTCAAGTTTCCCCCTATTCCATCAGACAAATGACCCAAAACTGAGGAAGGAAAATGTCCCCACATCTCTTTTCAAAGGAAGAAATAAGGAAAACATTCTTCTATTCCATAATTTTAATTTTTCCTTCCTTCCTAGGAGAAAGGGAAAGAGACTGTATATGGAAAAAACAAAATATCAGAATAGTAGTTCCTGAGCATGGGGAGTTTTATTTTCCAGCTGACAAGCTGGGCCCCCCACCCCAGGGTTCTGAAGGCATCCTCTCCCAACCGGGGCACGTCCACCCCATGTTAAGTCCTCCAATTCCACCTACTCCTATGTCTGGGAACTGTGACACTAAAGAGTATCAATTAAGAGGTGATATTTGCTTGGTCCAGAAAACACGAAAAGAGAAGATTTTCTTTTTGAGGATAAGTGACTGAGAAGCTGAGAAATAAATCACCAGGTTGGCTATATAGTCTTAGTGTTGAAAATAAACTAGGGATTTTGGTACCAAGTTATGAGCTGTGTGAACAGAGTTTAAGCGACGGTCAGGAATCCAAGGGGGGCAGGAATCATTCTCTCTCCCCACTCCCCACCCTTTTTTACATCTAACCCCCAAAATGGTACAATATGACAGGTTGCCTAAAATTAATCCTTTTATAAAAAGATGACATTTTTCAAGTCTGAAAATCTTGATGGCAAGTTTGTAAGGAACATGCAGGAAGACATTGCTTTGAGTCTACTGGAAGGCAGGCAAAGGGAGCCCAGGTGACTCTCAGGAAGTTAAAGCAGCATCCCAATGCCCCAGATCTTGGGGCCACAGGAAAGGTGAAGACCCAAACACACCCTGAAATGCACCTCACTGAAATGCACTTCCCACCTTCAGAGAACTCAGCTGCCCCACTGTGCTGCTTCATGCAAAACATTAGGGATTCATTCCAACAGCAGCTCTCCAGCAGTGACAAGTATTCGGTATTTTATGAACTGGGATCCCTGTGAAGAACCTGCCAACTATACCATCTGATCCTTGTTCTTAATATCTCACATGGCATGCAGCTGGCTTAGACATGATCAAGCTGCATAAGAAGAGCAGCTAAGGGGGCTCAGCTCTTACCATGCACAGACATCCTGCAGAGTGGAGAGGGAGCAGCCTGGAGCCAGGCTAGCTGTACTGACCTGCTGAGCTTTTGGGGTCAAATGTAGTTCAGAGCCAGGCTTCAGTCGGATCTGATCTTCTGAAGGAACCTGAATTGAAAGGAAGGCAGCCATGCCTCGGGCAGCCACTCGGAACCTGAGGTGATAGGGAAAAACAAAAACATGTAAGTGACCATTAGAGTGAGCATTTAAAAATAAATACCATATTTTCTACTAAAACACAAGATAAACATATTTCCAGATCTACTGTGTAGTAAGCCTATTTAGGAAAATCTTCATTATAAAAATGTGCCCATAATTCAGATCCAAGAATAAAAGTATTGGCAAAGATATGGAATAACGGAACACTCATATATTTCTGGTGGGAATGTAAAYGATGCAGGAACTATGGAAACCATTTTGGCACTTACTTAATAAATAAAACATACACTCACCATATGACCCAGCAATTCCACTCTTAGGTATACATCCAAAAGAACTGAATACAGATGTGCTAAGAAAAATTTGTACATGACTATTCATAATAACATTATCCACAAAAGCCAAAAAAGATTGAAACAGTTCAATTACCTATCAGCTGATAAATGGATAAACAAAATGTAGTAAATCTATAAGATAGAATTATCCAGCTATATAAAGGAATGAAGAATTGACACATGAACAACACAGCTGAACCTTGAGAATGTTATGCTAAGTTAAAGAAGTTAGACACCAGAGGCTACATATTATAAAATTCCATTTTCACAAAATGGTCCTTCTTTTCTTTTTGGTACTGGGGATTGAACCCAGGGGAATTTGGCCACTGAGCTATATCCCAGCCCTTTTAATTTGTTATTTTCAGACAGGGTCTCCCTAAGTTGATTAGAGCCTTGCTTACTTGCTGAGGCTGGCCTTGAATTTGCAATCCTTCTGCCTACCCTCCAGAGTCCCTGGAATTACAGGTGTGTACCAGCATGCTTGAAGAAATGACCAGTATTTTTTAACCCAACCTCGCATACCATTAATGGCTCCMAACCAAAAAGAAATCAGTAGTGTAATCAGATTACAAAGTCAACATAGAAGAGATAACACTAAAATATACTGTCTGAACTTCAAACTGTTGCAAACAAGAAAAAATAAATATGCTTTATAAAATACCAAGATGTAATAAAGGTCTGGGTTATTGTGTTCCCCCCCCCTTTGTCTTTCTGGAAAACGTAACTTCTACATCAAAAACTCTACTCCAGAGTCCCACCCTGAAATAGGTGCCGATATCTGAGGCCTTCCAAGAAAGCAGTGGTAGGTGCATCCTCACCTGTTGGACAAGGGAGACTTCCGGCCCAGTCCAATTGCCCCCAAAATCCCAGAGCTGAGTCTCTCCTCAGCCAGGAGGTTTTGCCTGCTCTGAAGCATGAGCAGAATTCGGACAACAGATTCCGTGAGGACTGAGTCGTTCTGCTCAGTCTGAATCAGGGACAGTTGCAGGACTTGGTGCCACCATAGAAATAGTTTTGCCTCTTCCTGTGCAGAGCTGGGGAAGGTGCAAGAGGAAGTAAAATTAGAAGTGAGATTTTTTTTTCCCACTCCCATTTAACTGAATGTCCACATTTGACTTTTAAGTAAAGGAGACATTTAGTACCTTAAAACCCTAAGCTAATTGGTGTTAACAAAATGTTRATGCTACAGTTTAGTGACTACTTACTCGGTGCTAGACACTGTGTCTGGGTTTCATGCTTTCACTTAATGTTCACAACCCTGGGATGTAGGGATTTTCATAGGAAAGCTGCAGTCTGATGCTTAAAATGCTTATTTTAGGAAATTAAAAACTTGCTCAGAAAATTAAGCCATCAAGAAAAGAATCTTTTCCAAACAAGTGTCATGGTACCTTATAGCCTTGTTTGTTTTTTCTTAATTCTGTCTTCTTAAATAATTTCTTATCTAAATCCTTAAATTCTAAGTTAACCAAGTACCTTACCAGTTTTATAAAGCAGCCAGAGGCCAACACACCTTGGATACACCTGTTCCAACCACTTGCTGAGGATGAGCAGCACCTTCATTTCATTCCTTAGAGTCTGCTCACTATTCAAACACTGGAGCAGGTAGACATAAAGGGTCAGATAACTGCCAAGGGCCAGGCACTCCTGCAGAAATTCTTCTATAGTGAGCTCAGGAACTTGAAGGGACACCAGAATGGGACCCCATCCTAAATTTTGATTGAGGGAGCCTAAGGGGAAAAAAAGAGAGAAGACATCAAGACATAAAAAAGAGTCTAATTACTTACCAACTGCAACAAATTGTTTCACTTTAAGCTTCATGCCAAGGTAACATCTCTTATGTTGGCTCTATAAGCCACAGAAGCGAAATGTGCACCGAGTATGGCTCAGTGGTAGAGTGCCTGCATAGTACGTGTGAGKCCCTGGGTTTGATCCCAAGAACCACATACACACAAAGCTCAGGCCATAACTCCACACATTAATTTTTTAATAACGCAAATAAATTTCGAACAGAAGTATTAATCCTAATGATTCTCAGCTCTGCGGAGAGTGAGGGCAGGGTGCATAGTGGTGTGCATATCACCTCCACTGGTGGACATGGAATGTTGTGGGTTGTTGGGATAGGACATATGGYAGGTTATGGACACTTCTGGAACTTGCTCTGATATCCTTCTTTCTCTTCCACTGTCTAGTATCATGTATATTTGGATATCAGAGTCGAGATGGGCTGTTCTGAGCAATTCTTAATCCAGAGTCTGAAAGTTTGGAGGCAGGGAATAAGAAGGTAAGAAAGAACAGGAGAGAGTGATTTCTTCACAAAAGAGTTTATAAAGCATGACCAGAAACAAACAAACAAAAAACATTTCTAAAAAAATTCCTTTTATCAAAACTGACCCAAAAAGGGGGAAACAGAGTGGATCATTATTATATAGACTTTGGAGTACAATATTCGTTTTGAGGACCATGACTTTGCTTATGATAAAAGGGGTAGTCTGACACTCTAAAACCAATGTAAAACAAGTTAGAGCCTTTGTCCCTTGAAATAGGTGATGGCACCAACAGATATGGATGAGTGATTCATATGCTAACTGCAGATCTTTATGAAAAAAATATATTAATATAGATATATAGATATACATCAATATAGATATATCAGAACATTCATTTCCAGAGCAGAAATTAGAATGGTAGAATCTGGAAATATATTTCCTGGTGACAGAGCTTTAATCTTTCCTGAAAGACCAACAGAAGGCGTGTCCCCTAACCTTCCTTAAAGTAGGCAGAGATGCAGGCTTCTGTAGTCTCTGCCATGTGGCGGACGGATGCCAAGCTCTGGCAGGCTGCCGTTAACAGGGGCAGCACCACCAGCCCATGCACTTTTTGGCCAATCCAGGTCCGGATACTGCCCCGGAGGAACTCTGCCGTTGGAATAGTTGCATTGTTCATCATCATCAGGACTTCCATAAAGAGGCTGCTGAGGGCCATGTGGCGGGTCTGGCTGTCCATGTCTGAAGGGGAACACAGACATGCTCTCAGACTGCTGGCATAGGGACAGGAATGTGATCATGMAAACAAGAGTGCTACAATCTTAGCTGCTCTTTGGGTAGATATGATAAGGCAATTAGTAAGAGTACCCTCCACCCCTGACTCCAACTCCCAACACAGCCATTGCCAAGCTATCAATAGTCTAGAGTGATTTACATAGAATAAAGATTATTATAGCTTAAAAGCAAATATAAAAGATGGAAAAGATTCCTAACAGCAGCTCTTCTATTTCTTCTCCTCCCCCCCCCTTTACTCCCCTCCCCCCGCCTTTTTTTTTTTTTTTTAAAGAAAGAGATCTATGTTGCTCAGGCTGGCCTCAAACTCCTGGGCCTATAAGAACATGTTACCATGCCCCTATTTCTTTGTTTTTTAAATAAGAAAAGTGAACAGACTATAAAATAAACACGTTTTTCAAAGAAAACTGCAAGAAAAAGAGTAAATTCTATTTCACAAGCATGAAGGGAGGTCACTGGGGCAGCATCCTTCACCCTCAAGCATGAGAAATACATGTCACTGGGAGTTTTAAAAAGCACGATTTTTACCAATGGTTTCTAGCTCTCTTTGAGTTGAGTACTTTAAAAAAAGAAAACAAAACTTTCTTAAGGCTTTGTTGCCACAGGACTCAGTATTTGCATCCATGGGACTGGTAAAAAGTTAGACGATCTTATTCATCACACCCAACAAAACAAACTCACTACTTATGCACTGTAAAATAGACCCTACCAACTGTAACTGTAAGACCTACTTCTTATCAATCAAGAACTTAAAAACTCTTGAGAGAAAGAAAAACGGCAATGTGCCTGGGAATTTTTCTTCATATATTTCTATGGGTATAAATATTCTCAGTGACTAAGTCTTTGTCTCAATTTCAACTAAAAAGCAATTTTAATTTATCTTTTAATTATGACTCGTAGTAACAAATTACTACAATAAGCCTCATAACAGATCCTAGCCTCTCCCCTTCCTGTTCATCATCAACCGGGGCAATAAACATTTCCCTGAAAACCAGATCTGATCCTGTTACTCTTCTGATTAAAATTTTCCTAAAACACTCTTCCAGCTCTCTTCCCCGGGCAGCTATTGTTCAAACCTCAAGGCCAACTCACATATGACCAACTGTGGCACAGTTTCTCCAGCACCTACTGACTTTTCCTTTTCTTTTTTTCTTTTTTTGTAGCGGGTACAGGGGGACAATTTAACCAGTATGAATTCATATTTCAAAATCATGTGAGGGACTGGGGATGTGGATCTATGGTAGAGCACTTGCCTAGTATGCATGAGACCCTGGGTTTGAGTTTTTTTTAATTGGTTGTTCAAAACATTACAAAGCTCTTGATATATCATATTTCATACATTAGATTCAAGTGGGTTATGAACTCCCATTTTTACCCCAAATACAGATTGCAGAATCACATCRGTTACACATCCACATTTTTACATAATGCCATATTAGTGACTGTTGTATTCTGCCACCTTTCCTATCCTCTACTATCCCCCCTCCCCTCCCCTCCCCTCCCATCTTCTCTCTCTACCCCATCTACTGTAATTCATTTCTCTCCTTGTTTATTTTCCCATTCCCCTCACAACCTCTTATATGTAATTTTGTATAACAATGAGGGTCTCCCTCCATTTCCATGCAATTTCCCTTTTCTYTCCCTTTCCCTCCCACCTCATGCCTGGGTTTGATTTTAAGCACCAYAGGAGGACACAAAAAAGAAAATTTGTCCTTAACCAATATTCAAAATGGACCTCTTTCCCTGCCATATACCAAGGCCAGAACAGATAATTGTCTTTTCTCTCCTTTCACAGGAGCATGTGCATCTCTGGCTCATCTGTGCAGGAAAGATGTCACTCTGTGGCTTACAYGTGGGATCTCCTTTTAGCCTGCCAACTCGGGCAGGCCCTGTGCTTTATCACCCCTGCTATTACTCTGAGAAGGCTCAGGTGATAGCCATCTTGTTTCATCTACCTTTAAGGGTTTGTTCCCCCTTTTACTTCATTTCTGGCCTCTGAGATTTCCCAGCAGGAGAGGCAGCCAGGATGTCGTCCAGTCTACCAAACATGAAGAACAAAAATTCTCCATGTAAAGTATCTTGACAATTCTACAGGTGATTCTGAAGTGCTCTCCTACTTCCCAGTCAAACCCCTAGACATGCTGCTCGCTGGCAGGCTTCCTGCTACCTTCTAATAACTAAATCCAGAGTGTCCAGCTTGACCCCCAGTCCACTTTACCTCACACCAGCATCGCCAGGGCTAGCTCCTCCTCAAGTTCTTAACACTCTGCCTCTCTCCAGGGCTGACTAAGCAGCTCTTTGACCACTGTCTCTCTGGAAACGGGAATGGCAGGGTCCTGCCCGTTTTCCTCACCCCACAATGCCTTACTGTGACAGCAATTCATATATTATGCGAATATGTGGCTTCCCACTGGTCACTTACCAGGCGGGTTAAAGACAATGATATCATCCAAGAGCTTAGACATTTCCTGTTCTAGGACAGCAAAGGTGACTTTTCCAGTTTGTTCCAGGGTGCTGAGGAATTGAACCATCTGATGAGTGAAAGCTTGGCATTTTGGAACCACATCCTGACAAACAAGAAAAGGATCACTCAAATGAATCCAAGCAAGGAGTGTGGACTGAGGATTCCCCGGGAGCACAGCACTGCTCTGAACACTTGGGCAAGGAATGGAGAGGACAGATCAAGAAGCCACGCTAAGACCTCATCCAGGCATCCCAGGGTCCCATGTTTGGGGCTATGCAAACCTGCGGTAACTAGATTAGAACCTGCCTTCTCCCAATTCCACACAACACCCCTCCTTCTCCACTACATTCGTCATATTAACTACACATGGATTACCTACCAGGTTCTTTCCAAAAACTTTCATGCTCACTATCTAATTCAGTCCTCATAATACTTTGTGAGGTGATCCTGAGTCTGTCAGACCTCAAGCTCATACTCGTCACCCTCCCTGCCACTGATGACATTCAGAAAATRAAACCAGTGGCCCACTGCCAGCTCTCAATCCTTCTGACCTCTGGTCAACATGTGACACTGATAATAGGTCAAGACTTTGCAAAAGAGAGAAACCCAAACAAAAGGATCCAAGCAAGGGACCAATATGAATACACAATGACACTCCCCCAATCTTCTCTGCTGAGACTGTCCTCAGTGGTATTTATGCTACTTCCAGTCCCGAAGACCTTGCCCTGCCTTTTAAAGCACCCTCTCAACTTACAAGATGTTTCTGGCTGTCAGTAGGAATGGAAAGTCCTGCAGACACTTTCAGAAGCTTCACAATCAATTCAGCAGAAGATTCCTTTGCCAGGATGATGGTCGGTGGGTAGTGACTGCTGAAATAATTTAGCACACTCTGGTACGACACAATGTCCACAAGGTGCCACGAGAGCGAGCTTGTCTGTCCAAGGAGACTAAGTAAAGGCGAATCCTAAAAATGGAACAGATGGCTTTAGTTCCAGAGTCCCATCTTCTGAGAAATGTGTCATTCTAACTAGTCCATAAGAAAGCTACTAAGGTGTTCTATGAAAGCACAGAATCTCAGATATCAAGTAAGAATCTACTCATTAGGAGCATTAGTAATGGCAATAACCAAAGTCATGGCAAAAACCCACTAATGTTAAGATCTAAAAAACTATTCGGAACCAATTTTCAAAGGAACTCTGCTCTGGTGGCACATGCCAACACTGAAGCACAGAGCACAAACTAGAAAGTAGATATAAAATAAAATAAAATAAATTGATGTGTTCTAACTCAGTGAGGTTCTCTCCATGACTTAGGCAATGGATGATCCAAGAAAAGCAAGCATCTCATTAAAGGCACAGCTCATATGCCATGCACCTATTCATGCTGACAGAGGGAGGCACTAAGGAAACAACCGAAAAGCCACAACCGAGTAGAAACTGAGGAGCTACAGTGCTTCGTGTGACCACAAGCCCCCCAAACTTACTGTCTGTTCTATAAGTTGAACTTCCTTTGCCAGTAAAATCATCATGAAAAGGAGGCAGACAATCATGCTCCGGGTTTCAGGCTGGGGATTGGGGTTCCAGGCATCGGCAAGCACACTAACCCAATTGACTTCACAGAGCACGGTTCCCAAAAACAAGAAACAGCTCTTGGGGCTTCCTCGTTCCACCTTCAAGGAAATAGATGAAAATCAGTGTTTTGCTTTATGCTGTTTGACTTATCTTTAAAATGTATATAAACCAGTGTTTCATGTATTTGTTTTTAAAAACATTTTTCCCAGATTATACATACCATCCATAATCCTAACTTCCAGAGATAAACATTTGTCATATCTTTCCTTCCATGTTGTACATGCATGCATTTTTAAATTTCAATAATTCTTTGTTTTTTTTTATTGAAACAAGATTTCACTATGTTATTTAGGCTTGGTCTCTAACTCCAGGGCTCAAAGGATCCTTCTGCATGAGCCTCCTAAATGCTGGAACTACAGGTGCACACCATTGTGCCTGATGGATTCTAATAATTCCTACCAGGCAAGGAACCACCTTCCCTAACCCCAACCCTGGTGGAGATTCCTTGCCACACTGAGTCACTGGAGATACAAGAGTATGTCAGAATCTTCAGGTGTGCTGAGACAGGATGAAAATTTAATTCTACTAGTTAGTAGTTCTCAAACTTGAGTGAGCATCAGAACCACCAGGATCTTAAAACACAGATGGCTGGGCCTACCCCCAGAGCTGTTAATTTTCCACATATGGTTGGCAGCAGGAATGTGCACTGCTAACAAGTTCCCAGGTGATGCTGACGCTGATGTCCCCAGGATCATACACTGAGACCTGCTGCAATATACAATACTTAATGTAATGTTATATTTATTAAAAATATCTTCATATTATTGGTCTTTATAATTTTTGATGACTACATAGTGCTTAAATTCTTAGTAGGCTTTTTTGGGGGGATATATTCTATAAACTATATGAGTTATATTTTATAAACCTATTTCAATAATTGTAATTTGTTTAAAAACAAAACATGGCTAAGTCATAAGATTTTTCTTTCAAAATAAAGAATAAAAGCGCTTCATAAACTCATGATCAGTGATTTACACCTTCCCATTACTGTATTATATTACACTAACTACTAGTTCTCTTCCTTCTTAGAAAACAATTCATCCTCCTTTATAATCTGTTCTCCATCCTCAGCCTCATTCTTGTGTTAAAAAAAAAAAGCACACTTGATTATGCCAACAAGATATAGTAAGTAAAAAGATTCCCAGCTTCTGGGAAGGTCAAGGGCCATCTATCATCAGAATAATATCCTTAGAGATAGATGGACCTACAGCATCCCTTGCCAGATGGGTCTACTATTTAATCAGTCTTACAGTGAAGGTCATCCTCTTACTTAGTTAAAATTCCATCTTATAGTTCTTTAAAACAACTTTCTCTCATGTTCATAATGGTGATTAAACATCTATTTAGTATGTGCCTCATTTACTAAATGCAACTACAAAATCATTCTTCAGTCTTATATTTCTCTAAAACAAATACCCTCAGCTTCCCTGGAGCTCACTACACAAGAATGATGGGAAAGAGCAGCACTGGGCAGGGCTCACCACAGCACAAAAGGCTGCAGTACATTTACTAATCATAAAAAATAACTATAGATATGTATCAACTAAAGCACTTAGGGTGCCTTAATGATAAATATGACATTGAGAGTCAACACAAATTAAATGATGACTAACAATCAAATGAACCGAAACGATCATAAAAACCTAAGCTAAGATTATAAACCTAAACCTAAGATTATAAAGTGTTTTTGTGGTGTTTTTTTTTTTTTTTTTAACCAGAAACCTAGTAAGAACAACAAAAACTGTGCCAAATGCCTGACTGGTATATAAGTAACAATGCAGTACTGTTTTTTGTTAACTATTGCTTCTACTACAGACTTACACACACATTGGTACTATTTTCAGACCATTTCAGGTATTTTTTTATAATTATGATGCAGTCTCCATTGTTACACTGCATTTTATCATCTACAGTATCATCATTCACTTATTTGCTAAAAGAAACTAATGGCTTGAGTACCAATTCACATCTTCTTTAATAGAGCATTTAACAAGTTGTTCTAATGACACCATTCTAGAAAAATCATACACAGAAACACCAACCAAGATGGAGTAAGACTAAGTCATTAAACTATGTACTCACCCAACATAAAGTCTAGAAAATGACTGACATATTATAGACACAATGTTTCTCTGGGTTTTAAAAGCTGTTCTATAGATATTTTCCGATCCTCTACTAACATACATAAAGAAATTATTTCCACAGCCTGCTGCTTTCCACAAGTACCACTGAGGTGCCACCCAATGTGTGCACAGCCCTCTTTGGCACACACTGCCCCCGCACAGAACCACAGGGAAGAGGCTGCTCCCTAGCAGCAGACCACTCCATGGTGTGACACACGGGTGAAGAGCTCACTTTGAAGAAGGCCTCCATGAGCATCTGATCGGGATGCAGGTCCTTCCACTGGAGTTTCTGGTATGCACTATGAAAAGCATACAGAATGAACTCCGGCATTTTGGGTGCAGTACATGCTTCACAATAATGCATCAGGTGTAACCGAAGGGCTCCTTCATCACCTGGCAACAGCTTGTCTAGAATTGAAAAAGAAAATACAGCTAAGGACCTTTGGTATTTTTTTCTTCTTGTTTCTTTCCCTCTCTTTCTCGCTCTCTCATGTGCCCTCTCGTGCTCTCTCTCTTTTAAACTGGGGAATGAACCCAGGAGCACTTTACCACTGAGCCTCATTCCCCAGCCCATTTTATTTTTTATTTTGAGAGATGGTCTCACTAAGTTGCTGAGGCTGGTCCTGAACTTGCAATTCTCCTGCCCTAACCTCCCCAGTCACTGGGATTCTAGGCATATGCCACTGCTTCTGGTTGGTTTATCTTTCAAAAAAAAAAAATTAGAAAACATGAATTTGAACCAAAAATYTAAAATCTAAAGTTCTCAATGTGTATCCAATTTCAAAGATTTTCATGTGTAGGAGGGGGAACACTGGCAGATAATAATAAGGACTGGTATTTTAATTACTAGGGTAACTGACATAGTGGCCTTTTAACTCTAATATACTTTTACAGTCTGTTGCCCTCAGCATGTATTCATTTAGTCTCATTATTTAGTGCCTCATTCACCTGGCACCTTGGAGGAATTCAATATTCCTCAAAAGAAATGTTCCACACATTTCTTAGAAAATAGAAAAAACACATACAAATGACCAGTAGCTCATATCATTTATCATTATAGAAATGCAATGAAACCATTAAATCCACAAGGAAACGTCACATCACACCTGTTAGATTGCCTTTTATCAAAAAGACAGAAGATGAGTGCTGGAGAGGATATGGAGAAAGAAGCTCCTCTAAATAGTTGGTGGGAATGTAAATTAGTACAACCATTAAGAAAAAAGATGGGGGAGGTCTTCAAAATATTAGCAACAGGCAACATCTGAAGAGGGGATGGCTGCAAATTTTCCAGCAAATGACAAACTCAGAGCAACCTCACACAAAAAGAAGTCCAAACTTAACATTACATAATAGTTATTAGTGGCCTTTCTTCTGTCCCAGCTGACTRCCCATCAATTAAAATAAAATACAGTAAGAAGGCAGAGGCAAAAGCATGACTGAATAACTTGGGGAAAAAGTGAGCCCTAACCAGACATCCAGGCTCCCTCCCTACCTTTAAAACTCTCATGCAGTAAATCCACACAGTCAGTGAACAACTGCACAATGTCTGAGGCCACCACAGCATCACTTTCCAGCCAGGGGTAATGTCGCTGTTGGGTGCTTTAAAGAAAAGAAACACAAGCTTAGGAAGGAAAGTGCCCTTGATCAAATTACCCTAATTCCCAGAGTCTAGGGTTGGCCAGGTCCTAGAAAATCCTGCATTACGTACCCCTAACACATATCTCAACCACTTCCATGGCTGTGAATTCCTGGCAGCAAATTGTAGAGAGTAACATCAACCACATAAGTTTACTTCCTCTCCTTCTGACCCTTTATTCTGGTACAATTAAAAGTTCAGATGTTGATATCTAATCCTTAAATTAATATCGTTTGYATCCAATTTCAAACAGTTTAGAAAAATACCTTAAGGTGGGTTTTAACAAAAAATTTTCTCTACCTGAAGCATGAAAAAATAAAGTAAAATCCATGTAACAAAAAAAGGCCAAAAATTAACAGACAGGAAATGGCCAAAGAATTCTTTGTATGAAAATTTTAATTTTTGAATCTGGTCTAGAAAGTTCACTATCAAAATAAATTCTATTAATTCATCTCAAAGATAAAACAGGCAGCCTTTCACTATAGCCAGTCTATGTACAGTCAATACAAAATCCTGAAGCTTTCACATCAGTCAAAGATAAAATCTAGAATCTTTCATGTTTCCCCTAAGGGGCTCTTGAAGCAGCACTGGAAATAGGAGTCAAAGACCTGAGCTCCAGCTCCAACTTTTAACACAACCAACTGACAGGAGATCTGAGTTAAAACATTCAGGTTCTGAGCCTCAAGATCAAATTAATGCTTCAAAAGGGGGAAGAAAACACACACACACACACACACACACACACACACACACACACACAACCCACTCATCCCTGTATTTGGACAGCTATATAACTCTAAGTATTTTTAATAATCATGAAATAATGCTTTCACATCTAACAGCAGATTTCCATGTTTTAAAGGATAATCCTACCCAATAATTTAATAATCAACTTAGTTCCAAAAAATAATTCAGGTAATAAAGAAAATTAAGAAAGTCCCATCTTTTGTAGTGCTGTTATCAAAACCTAAGAGGAACCTCAGGAGAACAGAATCTTTTTATTTTTAAATCAAGTACCAAAATGCATTCAACTTCTTTGTTGTAGAAAATTGGAAATGATTTTCCTACTCTATTCCAAAATTAATATCAAGACAACATCTCTGATCACACAGACTAATTTTCATAAACTTTTAAGTCTTAAGTTTTATTTTAAAAAATTCTAAATTTAAATATAGTCCAATACTTCATCATCACCTTTATCAAAAACCTTTAATTACTTACTGGAAGTAAATAAGTCCCCCAAAATTTTGAATATCTGAAAAAGTATTTACCTTTCACTGTCCTCTAAAACCAAGATCCATGGCTTAAAGAGCTGGATGGTTACTGAATGTAGGGATCTCAGTACTGAAATAGCAAACATTTAAGAGATAATACTTTGTCAATATCATTGGTAACATTTTATAGAAAATCTAGTTCTTAGTATATGTACACTCAATAAGCCTATGTTGATATATAAGCAACATGCTTAGTACAACTAAATATGTTTGATACGTTTGCTTCGTTTATTGCAATGAATTTGAGTTGAAGATTTTTTATTATAACACATGGCTAATTTTTAAACATACATTTTTTTCCAGGAAAATACTTAATATTCAGAATCTGTCCTTAGCTACATAAACAATAGAAAGAAGGAAGTAGAGATAGAAACCCATCTCTTGGCACCACACCCTGCAAAGGATTAGAGACGAGCTGCAGCAAGCCACCTATATTCAATGTGTAATGAATACAGCGTGACACAGATACAGGGTGTACTTGTACTATATACTTTCTATCTCCTCTCCTTGACAGCCAATATAAATCTCCTAATGTAGCTATTCAAATCTCTTGTAATGGAAGGGCAGAACATCTTACTCCACATTGCACTAAAGACATGTTACCTGTTTTGCTGCTGGCAGATGGGTCTTGGGCCAAGGAGGCCATTTCTGAGTCAATCAGCCTTTTCACAAGATAGCCCAAAAGTATCTTCACATCAGCCATGTACGGATTCCATTTTGAAAATAAACCAAAGCTTTTAAAGTCCAACTTGGATAACCGAAGCTTATAAAAAAAGTCTGAAAGCCACTGTATGGTCTCCACTACCTGGAAAAAAATGACCAATCAAAATGCTTACGAAATATCTGCTTTTAGAAGAGTATTATATGTCTGACTGGGATAAGCACACTGAAGGTCTTTGACTTTTTAATAGAGTTTCAAAGAGACAGAAAACATGAAAATAARTCAGTGGGTTTCAAATTCATTCTCTAATGTAATGGAACCTTCTTTCAAATAAATTCTTACATGAACCCACATGCAATGAAACTGGTAAAACCCAAGACTCTGTGAGACACTGTATGAAAACCCACCCAGTGGCCTCAGAGTTGAGTCAGATGGGCTAAGGCAGGTAGGAAAGCATCTGGCCTCATCTGGAACAGACAGAAACTGGACTCAGAAGTATGACAGAAAAAAACATGCAGACAAAGGGGACAAGAAGGTAGTAAAGGAACAACAAAGAAAAACATAGCGTTCTGAAAGATAGAGCACAAAAACCAGCTTTTTAGATGTTATCCAAAAGTATCTTAGATACTTTTAAATATGCTCCAATTGTTAAAAAAAAACAGCAAGGGAAATGAAAATGAAATACACAAACACCTCAGCCACCAAAAGCTACACACCTGCTTATCTGACAAGAGAACATTTGAAGAGCTGTGCAGCACAGTGCCCTCTGCAGAAGCTGCCCCCTGATGGCAGCTAGGGGCAGTGCAGCCCAGGGCTCGCAGAGTGGCTTTCCAACACTCAGGGCTCAGCAACTGCTCTGAAGAGCCTGGGGAGCAGGCAGAGAGAACAAGTCAGTATCCTTCCAAAACTCACTTTTCACCTTTAATCAAAGAATACATGATTAGATGTTTTCAGTTTAACCAAAGCAATAATAATTAAATAAAAATCCAAACGAAATTCATAGGAATATCTGAGATAAAGAGACCAAAGTAAAGAAAATTTACTGAAAAAACTGATAGCTGAACATTCGACTTTTCTTGTTCCTGGTAACCCAGATAGAAGTGAGCTCTGCAAAGCCATTAGAGCTGGAATGAGATGGGAATCCCAGCCTACAACCCAGCTGGAGAATGGTAAAGGTTCCACTGTCCTGGCCGGAGGGTGACAGCTATCTATGGGTGTAAAACAAACAAGAGTGATAGGACAAGGGTCACTGGATGCAGAATGCAACTCCAGAATCTAGCCTCCTGGGAAAGAGTCCATCCAGCCCTAAAATTCTACTCCTACAATGGGTAAAACCTAAACCAAGACCTAAAGGCAGCACATGGAGAACACCAGCCAGTATTCCCAACTAGTTCCCATTCTACAGGATAGAACAATACCTCCCTAACCCTAAACCTAATCAAACAGGTTCATAGAAGTTCACAGGAAAGTCTGAGGGGAAAGATGAGAAGTTGGCTGCAATATGTGAAGTGGAGGCATCAAGGGGACAGCGAGGTACCCCAGGGTTCCTACAGTCTGGATCCTAGGACAGAGGCCTGGAATCAATGTACTGGTATGAGAGTTGTGCAGACCTAGAAGATGGCAATGAAGCCATCAATAGYTCATCTATGAATAATGAACAGGTGGAAGGGCAAAGGCTGGAACCCTGGAAACACTTCTCTGGCAACTGGGAAGGGAAAGGAAATCAGGAGGCCATAGGTCATGGAATCAGAGTAATTCAGGTAAAGGTAAGTAGAAATTCATGATAAGTAAAAATTTTCTGCTAAATATGACTCAGTGGTAGCCTGTATATATTTCACAATCTCTTTGAGAGTTTTCAGGGGAAAACCCAGAATACAAACTTGATCAAATTTTAAAATATGTAATAAATATTAGCTATGTACATATTCATTAAAATTTGTACAAATGTATTTCCATTCACCATCCACTCTGCAACTTGCCTCTCTAGCTTAATGCTTTGAAAATGAGAGATTATACATTTAAGGATCCTTCAAAACAATGAATCATTACAATGAATCAATACAATGAATCATTAACTTGTCCATTAAACAAATTCTCTTAAGCAACACAAAGATTTGGTAAAGAGAAAAACTAAGTTTTGTCTTATATTTATAAACAATATGCCATATGAACGAAAAATAATGTTATCTCATTGACTGAAGTTCAATAAAATTACTCCCTAGTGAAATTTCAAAATAAAAAAGCCTAGACCCTTTATTTTAAATGTATTTTGTTTCAGTTGTAGTTGGATACAATACCTTTATTTTATTTTTATGTGGTGCTAAGAATTGAACCCAGAGCCTCGAACATGCTAGGCAAGCGCTCCACCACTGGGCCACAACCCCAGCCCAAGCCTAGACCCTTTTATTTTTCCTTTAATCTCTAACACTTCTCTGGAAAATTACAGGAAAGAGAGGATAGAAATGGTGGGAATGTGGCAAATTTAATGTTCTTTTTCTTGGCAAATATAAGTACAGCCTGCCATTCAAGAATAGAAGGCAGGAGTAAAAAATAAGTCAAAATAATAGGTGGGGTGGGATGACCCACTACTTGGAAACACAGAGAAACCAAATAGCATATGAAACACATGCTCCCTTCCTTGCCAAATGTGTTGTCTTCAGGGTAAATAGCTCCTCTCCCACCTCACCCTACCCCAGGACAGCAGCAAAGGTAAAAAGTGACTGTGTGACTGGGGACACCAACACCAAAGCCTGAGAGCTGCCTTGCCCAGGCTGGGCCCACTCCAGCGCTCAGGAAAGTGGCTGACCATTCTTACAGATACCAACTTTGTGGCACTGTTAGTTGAGTGCTTTCATTGATGATTAGTAATTTTCAAATTCTGTGTTTACATTACTCTTACATTTCTGGATGCTATCTGGTAAATGTGGCATTAAATATATGCAGAGATCTAATTAATCACAATTAAATGAAGATACTTACTTTGCATCAGCAGCCTGAGAACATCACTGTACTGGTCAGGGAACTGGTAGAGAAGAAGGTAAGTCCAGTGCTTACAGAAAAGATTAAATGGCATCAAAATATCTTCATCTGGTTCAAGGCCCCAGGCAGTAAGTGCCAAATGAATGGACTCCAGAAGCCTGGTACGATCAGACAGAGGAGGTTTAGTGGCGTTTAACCATTGCTTAAGATCGAACTAAAAAGAAAAAGAAACAAGAAGCAAATTTATTTACACGAGAAAATTAAATGAAGTACAGAGAGGTCTTTGCAAATTTAGTTTAAAAGTCACATTTGTCTTTTTATAAAAATAGAAAATAAATGTACACACAGGCAAATGAAAGAATGTATAAGAAGTTCACTCACTGGTACCATTATGCAACCATCTCTACCTTGCTCTGAAATTTCAGAGGCAGACTTTTCTTAACAACAGGCTTGTTTTGTTATATGAATATCTTCTTGACCATTATTATTTATAATTTTATTTTGTTCCTGAAAATCCACACATTTCCATCTGACTTTATTATAATAAGGTTCCTCCCTAAGACCAGGATCAGAAGTTCTCCTTCACTGGTTCCAGTACCACAGCCAAGCAGTCACTTTATGGAACTGTCTTAACAGCCATGTTTCTGAGCTGTATGTTACCTACCTCAGTGAATAAAAATTCAGACTGTTGGTATTACCTTCCAGAATTCCACACTTAAAAAACATGTTCTCCTCTACTATAGATTGAGATCAGTCTCTGGGCTCTAAAAAAATGCCAAGTTTTACTGCTTCACAAATGTCAGAGAATTGTACAAAAATGAAGGCAAAATAGTGAAGCTCTGAAATTCTCAACGAGTTAAGTAAATTCATCCCTTAGTCTCACAGAGTAAATAGTCTATTCCAAATGAGGACAAAGAAAATTTGTTTAGAGCTGAATTAATCTAAATACAAGAGACTTCACATATTACAACTCACTTATCAAACAAAATTTAGGCCCAAATTCAGGAAAATTTAAAAGGAGGATCTATTAAACTACCATTATGAATATTTTCAAAACTATACTGTTTTTAAAAAGGGCTTGGGAAGGAGATTCTTTTAATACTATGTGGAATGAGAGTCCTACATAACACAACCAGTGTGCTGTTCCCCAAAGAGAAACTCGTGGGGTCAGATTGCTAAAAGGGGCTCTTATCCTCTGGTTACTGAGATCAAACCTCCAAGGGTCCTTCCATTTCTATGGACTGGGAAGCAATGATCACTTCTCAGTTTCACAGTATCAGGAATGAATCACCTCGCACCTTGGTTAGCAGCATGAAAATCATATCACTGTTGTCTTCACTCAGAAACTTCACCACTTTCTCATACAGTTGTATGAATTCTGCAGGCGCAGCATTGGGAGTGAAGAAAGGCGACAGAAGAGAGCAGAGCCTTCTATTCTTCAGAATGGTCTGAAGTACCTTTTTGCATTCTGATGTAGTACCACTGATGAACACCTTAAAAAAATAACAAGGAAAATGTCACCAAATCCTCCCCTCCCCCACTTTTATTTAAGCAACCAACTTTTAAGGGGTATTAAATAAGGCAAAAATAATTTTCCAAAATGAAAAAGGTACCTAAAATCAACATAGATAAGCCTATCATTTCCAATGGAGTTGATACTGAGGTATCTGAACCCAAAAGTCTGTAATGTGCCTAGTGTTGTTACAAGAATCCATGGTGGTCCTGCACAACATAAAGAAAATAAAACTTTTATGTTATAGATTTTATTGAGATGTTCCTTTAATACATTTAAAAAATTAACTTTCACAAAATATAATCAAGATAAAAGTAATCTCAGGGTCAAAAAGGCTTTGATGAGGCAGAAATTTTTAAAAAGACTGATAAGTCTGAACAGATACATGCAAATGTTAATTTCTATAAGGCAAAAGGAATCATAAAATGAAAGAAAAATAACAAATTAGAAAAACATATTTGTAACACATTCTAGGTATCAGGCTAATCGTTTGAGGAACTCTTTCAAAGAATCAAAAAGCAAGAAATTGGGGCTTCAGATGTGGCTCAGGGATAAAGTATTTGCCTGGCATGCATGAGGCCCTGGGTTCAATCCTCAGGACCACAAAACAGTGAGGGCAGGGGCAGAGAGGGGTGGCAAGATATTCCAACAGAAAATGTGCTAATGACAACAGCTAGCAATTCACTATGTATGTTTCATATATATATGAAACATATATAGTGAACATATATAAAATACACATATATAACATAACTTTAAAGTACTTCAAGAATTATAAGTTTTGAAAATGATATACCACTTCCCTTATCAGATTATCAATACTTATAAAAGAATGATAACTCCTAACATTGTTTAAGATACAGAGAATAAACTCCAACATTGCTACAATAGTGTAAATAAGTGAAAATTTCCCAGATCAATTAAGTAAGAACATCAAATGYTACACAATACATGTCAAATATATAATATACATCAAATCCTTCTAATAGCAATCATACTGCGAGGAAATTATTCTAAAGAAAATAGTTCCAGAAGTCACAAAGATATAAGAGATTATTTATGTCAACCTTATTGTAGCAAAACAAATCACCTAAATATCCATCTAGAACATTAGCTCAACATATTATAATACATCTGTATCATAAAACACTATGCAGACATTCAAATTCTATGTGATGATACAGGTCTGTATTTATTAACATGGAATAATATCTAAAAATATGTTGAAATGAAAAGAAATTACAAAATAGTATGTGCCCCTTTGTAAGTGTGTATCTCTACATATACCTATATAGGTAGAAATGACATACTGTGTTTACATATACACAAGACAAACAATAATGAACTTTAGCTATACAACTAGTACTTCCAGCTGATCAGGATTATGAGAAATTTTTCTTCTTTATACTTTCTATACTGTCTATATGGCTTACCATAAGCATACAATAACTTGAAGATCAGGAAAAAAAACTTAGAAAAAAATGGATTGTAATATCTATTCTATGTCACTTCCTTTTAAGTATCCAATAAAGAAGTAGTCATTCAATTAAATTTCAATGAGAGTACATGGTTTATCAAACAATGGCTTTCCTTTCTTTTATGACACATTTTCACAAATCTGCATGCATAGTTTGCCCTTGCCTCGTTAAATATCCATATATTTAACTGTAAGCCAAATAGATAGATAAATAGTGGCCAAAACAGCAACTGGGAGGCAGCTGTGGTAAGGTGGAACAAGTACTGACACTCTGAGCCTTAAGGATCCCATCAGCCTCAGTACTCCAAATGCATTCTTTAGGCCAGTCACTTAGCCTTTTAGAGTCCAGTTTTCTCTTCTTTAGGACAGGAATGAGATCAATCACACAAAGTCACCTTGATGATCAAATAAAATAATGAACTAGACAGTATTTTCCAAACAATAAAGAGTTTCAGTAATATTACTGCTAATATCAATAACACAGAATCTGATTTCTCTCAACTTTTAAACATAATTTAATCTCTTATTTGCCAACAATTCTTTTTTTAAAAAAATATTTTTAGTTGTAAATGGACATAATACCTTTATTTACTTACTTACTTACTTATTTATTTATGTGGTGCTAAGAATCGAGTCCAGTGCCTCATCCATGTGAGCAAAGGGCTCTACTACTAAGCTACAACCCCAGCCCCTTATTTACCAATAATTCTAATCACATTTTGGAGGCCAACATCCCCAAAGGGTTTCTGAATCAGGTAAGAATGAACCTGCAATAAAGCCTGAAGCTGATGGTGACTGTATGCAATGAAGACACTGCAGGGACTCAGTTTATCTGAACAAGGCAAATAACATAGTAATCTTACCTGTCCCAAGATCTCAATGCATGAAGTGAAGAACTGTCTTGTGGGGGGGTGGCGCTGCGTCTCATCGCTTACATAATCCACAATAGTAAAGAAAAGGCTAATGCCAACCTTCTGAAACCCAGGTGTTGGTTGCAACTTGTAGGCATTCACTAAGGTCCTGTGGGAAAACATGGACACAGTTCTGGTCTATAATAATTGAATCTATATTCGCCAGTATTTTTTTCATATTCTACATTTATCTGACAATATTCATCACAGTCCTGAGAGCCTCACGCAAATGCCACTTTAGAAACATGTGATAAATGTGGTACTTCCACCTTTACCCAATTCAACTTTAAAACACAGCTATGACTTTATGCTTCCCAGGGAAAACAAAGATCAGCTGCATTATAAGGACCAATTAACATTCTCACACTCATTAAAGTTTGTCATAGTTATTTAACTTTTTTGCATTCCTTATATAACACATATTTTAAACACCAAAACGCTGGTTTCCCTAAATTTTAGAATCTAAGCACAGACTGAAGTGGAAGAAAAGATTTTGATATACAATAAGACCTAAAATAAAGATGTTCCTTCTAATTCCCACACTTTTTTTTAGTGCCTACCCAGTGACAAAAATATCAACTTCTGCTTCACCTGATATCCTCCTCCTTCCCGGTTCCCCAAACACACTCCACCCCAATCTACTAAGGAGAGTGTCTACTGCTACCAGATGTGGAGTCACATGACAGTAAAAGACAGAGAGTCAACTTCCCCTGTCCCAAGCTATGTCCTGGTAGCTTTGGGAAAAAAAGAAGATGGTGGAAGAAACTTAAGAGTTCCAAGAGAAAAAACTACATGGCCACTCAATTTAATAGCTACACTTGAGAGCCCTAATTCCCCTAAGAAATTACACAGGAAACTATTCAAAAACCTGAGTTGACAATGGTGACTTACTGGGTAAAGATGACTTTGATATCAAACTTAAGCACTAAGTCCCTCCATCATTAAATTTCAATGCACATCTCATAATTCAGGGGTCTGCTAACTCTTTCTGCCTAGGGCCAGATAGTAAATATTTTATGTTTTCTGGGCCTTAAAGTCTATCTGTTGCAGCTCAAAAGACATAGATATTACAAATAATGTAGACAGCTGTGTTCCAATAAAATTTTTATTTATAAAAATAGGCATGAGATCAGATTTGGCCCAAAGGCCACAGTTTGCTAATTTCTCTATTAACTTAATTACTGGGGTGTCTAAGGTAGTAGGTGGGTGTAATATGTATAATTACTATTAATAAGAACAAAACAGTATTTTAAATTTTGAGGTTGCCAGAACTTACGTAATTAGGTTCTCTGCATGTACAGCAGCTTCCACAATACTCAGTGCAGGTGGTTTAGCAGCTTCTGCTTGCAACTGTTTCACTTCTTTTCGCAAAATATGAAGCTGTTGGCTCACTGCTTCATTCTTATACATGCCTTCAAACTAACAAAAATTAAAGCAGTCAATGGGCTTCTTTTCCCCTATGTGCTTCTAGAACATATATTTTGCTATAAATACATTGGCATATGATAAAGAGAGTATTATTACAATTAATACTATAATTTAACACAAAACACTCAGTTGATCCTGAAAAGGATGAGAAAAAAAATTGTCAAAAAACTTAACCCTGACAGGCTGGGCAAAGTGGCTCGGGAGGCTGAGACAGGAGGATTGTGAGTTCAAAGCCAGCATCAGCAAAAGTGAGGCACTAAGCAACTCAATGAGACCCTATTTCTAAATAAAATACAAAATAGGGCTGGGGATGTGGCTCAGGGGTCAATGCCCGGAGTTCAATTCCTGGTTACCCCCACTCAAAAAAAAAAAAAAAAACACAAGGGTTAAGGCGGGGGTTGGGTGCAGTGGGGTGTGATCAACAGAAGAGACCTCAATGTGCAAAGGGTTTGGATGTAGCTCATTGGTACAGCTTTTGCCTAGCATGCATGAGTCCCTGAGTTCAATTCCTAGTACCACCAAAAACAAACAAAAAAACTATTCAAGATTCTCAGRTTTTCTATGAAGAATCAAACTTATTATTTTCTTCTAAAAAAAAGTCAAAATTTTTATTTTATGATTTAGATATAAAGTGTCCCCCAAAAGCTCATGTGAGACAACACATGAAGGTTTAGAGGTAAAATTATAGGGCGATAAGAGTTTTAAACTAATCAGTGCATCAATCCCCTGATAGTAATTTAGTGGTTGGTAACTGTAGGCAAATAGGGTGGGTCATTGGGAGGGGGCATGTCTTCGGGTTATATATTTTGTTCTTGGTGAGAGAAGTCTCTCTCTGAATCCTGGTTCGATGTCCTGAGTTGCTTTCCTGTGCCACACCCTTCTGCCAAGATGTTCTACCATACCTCAGGCATAAAGCAATGGAATCAGTCATCTATGGACTGAGACCTCTGAAACCAAGAGCCCCTAAATAAACTTTTCTTCCTCTAATAGTTCTTGTTGGGTCTTTTGGTTACAGCAGCAAAAAAACTGACTAAAACAATATCTATATAAATAATTACCTTATAAGTTGATATGATCTTAAATTAATATATCAATGGTTTAAATTCTTTTGTAGGATACATTCTATTTCACTTATGTTTYGACTGCTCAAATCCTCAACAGAAACAGTCTCAATGCTTCCACCATTGAGGCTTTCCCTGTGGCACATGGAGTTCTCCTCTGTTGATCACACCTCACTGCACCGCCTCCCCTGTCCCCACCTTAACCTGTGTTCTCTCCACCCAGCACACACACACAATTCAACTTCAAACATGTGTGACACAGATGCTGTTAACAAAACAACTGCCATTTTTAAAGGAAATATATATAATTACTGAACAACAAAATAAGGTAAAATATGGAAAGATGTCCAAATCAATTGCATGCCAAAGAAGGAACAACAGGCCAATTCAGTGATTCCTGAAAGCTTGTCTCTGATAAAATTTATACTGATTCTCAGTGAAGAAAAACTAAATTTATTTCAATTTAGTCTAAAGACTGTTTTTTAAGATTATGTCTTTCCTACTTGAAGGAGGTATCGCCACGCTTTCTCTAGCTGATGGTGACCCCCCATGATGATTGGTTGTGTTTGTGCATTTGTCATTTCCTTTTGTGGATGTGGATAGACACAGAGGACTTCTTAGGCCCACATGGCACACAAAGACAGAACCACTGTGGAGTCTTCTTCCTGATGTGGTAGCTTCTGTCTTAGAGACTGCTGATAGCAAGATGTCATGAGGAAATGCCAAAATTGGGCACACTGCCCCAAGTTCAAAGTCACAGTTGTTATGCCACATGGTCAGCTCAAAGATATCGGCCTATCTGGACTACAAAGGGAATTACGTTATGTTCTTCTATATTCCTCTTGATTTCATTTTTAAGAATCCAACAGGGATCCCTGCTTTCAGTGATAGAGTTTAGAATTTTAAGACACTCAACTGCCAAGAGATTGCTTCTGTAGATTCTCACTGTCATCTGGTGTGAATCAACATACCCAAGAAACAAGGAAGACTGCGACCCATGAACATTCCCTTGGTATCACACCCCAAGCATATCATTGCTCAGAAATATGGGGTCTCAAAGGCTGAGGAAGGCATCTCATCCAGGGRCCTCTTTATCATTAGTGATAAATATATCCCTCAACTGTAGGTGACCTTCCTACTGGCTGCTCTGTGCATGAGACTCAGACTAGTGGAAGCCTCCCAGTTCACTGACAAACATGAGGAAGTGTGTCCAGCTGGCTGGAAGCCTGGCAAGTAATACCAACAGGCCTGGTGTCCAAGAGAGCAAAGAACGATGAACAGTGGGCCATTTTAGTGCCAGGCTGCTGTGGACAGCCATGAGAACAAAATATCTTTTTTTATTTTTTATCTACTAAATTTGAACTTAGGGGAAAAAAAAAGAACCATTGTGATAGTGACAGTTGTGAGGGTCGAGGAGTTGAGGGAAACAAAGGGACAAAAAGGAGAAGCCATGGGCTGCAGCCAGGGGTTGAGGCTGAAGAATGCAATAGAGTCAGACTAGGCAGCAGGAGGAGCTGTCCTGGGGAGGCCCTGATTAGCAGCTACCAGGAGGTTTGAACTTATATTATATGCACAGCAAAGAACGCTTAAGAGCCAGAATATTCAGAATGCAGGAGTTTAAAATCCTTATTCTCCTCTGATGGTCTTCCAAACACGTGGGTAAGCAGTGGGTTTACATTTTCTCTATACACAGCTACCCAAACCTAGTATCCAGACCCACTACATGATTACAGGTATCTGTTGTCTGTAACAGTGTACATATTTAATTCACCAAATTATTTCAATGAWTCCCTGTTTCCCTGTCAAAGGTACTCTCATAAGAGCTAGGGATATGGCTCAGTGGTACAGAACTTGCCTAGTATGCACAAAGCCCTGGGGTCTGTCTCCCAACACTATTTAAAAAAAAAAAAAAAAAGTGACTTTCATGAATTCTTTAACAAGAGTTCCTGGAAGGCAATGGCAATACACAGAACCCAGCAGGGCACAGCTCTTGACAGTCCACTGAGCACACCTATTTTCAATGATCATGAAAATAATGAAGACTCGTTTCTATAAATCTCACCAATGTTATATTAGAAGTCTTTACTTTCCCACCACTGTTCAACATTTTCTTTGCTTATTAGAACAAAGGTATAAAAGACTGACTCACAGTTCATAATGACAAGAAGTTGGAGACAATAGAACAAAGCAGCATGGTGGAAGCCCCTCCACTTGGGACATTTTAAGTAGACAAAGAAATTGAAGATTTGGACAAAGTACATTCCTCAGCAAGTTTCTACAATAATGGGAGGCCCTCAGTGGGTCTTTTCCATCTTTCATTTGTAGGAATGGATAAATTTTTCACATGATAATAAATCAATCCTGGGTCTAACAAGTATGCCCCACAATACCAAAATATGGCCAAAGGAACCCAATAATAAATCACACCACTTCCTCAGGGAATATCTCTGGAGTATTAAAAGCTTCCATTGGGAAGGGTGACCACAGAAAAGGCACGTCTCACTTCTCATAAAATACACTTGGCTTTTTGTATACCCAAAACAAGCTATACATAGTTCAAAGACCTGCAGAGTGCTGGAAATTTCCAGAATTTTCCTTTTCAGAAGAATTCTATTAAGCAATCTAATGATTGAATCTAATGATGTGAAATCTTGATAAATAAGCTATTAAAATTACATTTTATTTGTAAAATCATCTCCTGTGAAGCTACTTTTAAAAAACTGATCTTGGGACTGGGTTTGTGGCTCAGTGGTAGAGCACTTGTCTAGCATGTGTGAGGCACTGGGTTCGATTCTCAGCACCACATATAAATAAGTAAATAAAATAAAGGTCCATCAACAACTTAAAAAAAAAAAMCTGATCTAATCCAAAGTGTTTGGCTAAGGTCATATATTCTCTAATCAAAAAGAGAAAGAAAATGGTACTCATCTTCATTTAAATAATATGTGACTATCATGATCAGCTAACTCAGAATCACAGTGCCAGTTTTCAGAAAGTGAAGCAGCATCTGAAGTAAAATGGCCTGGTGACATTTAATGGGAAAAGCATGGGTCTGGAATTTAGAAGGAATGCAAGTTGGAATTCTAACTGAACYAACTATCAACTATGTGACTGGCAGGTCTCTTAAGTGTCTTTGAATCTGTTTCTCTGAAATCAAGCTAATTTTTTGAAAAGTAAGGTAATGTAAGCAAAACACCTAACATAATACCTGRGTGACAATGACTCAGTGACTAAGCAAGTGATAGGAAAGACTCTGAACAGGCCTGGAAAAGGCAGTGGTGTGCAGTAGTAAGACCATCCTTACTGCTTTCCAAGATCCAATGCTTGGAAGATTCTTGAATTGAGTAAAAATGTTAAGTGAGGGGCTGGGGTTGTGACTCAGTGCTAGAGCACTTGACTAGTGTGTGTGAGGCACTGGGTTTGATCCTCAGCACCACATAAAAATAAATAAAGGAAAAAATAAATAAGTCAAGTGAGCAATGTATAGTAATATTTAGGCTGAGATTTGTATAAAAAGCATGATGCTATATAAATAGGCCAGAGGTAAGTGCAAGCAAAGAATGATTGCTAAATTCTACTAAGAAAAATGTCTTTCTTTCACAGTCAAATAATATCTACAAAGTTCTAGTTTAAATAAAGAAACTTATTGCAAAAGATATAAATCTATAGCTGTCCTATATGTGTTCTTCAAACACATCCAAATGGTGGCACTACGTGAGGCACTGACAATACAAACACAATCGAGACAAGGGCCCTCACCTCATAGAACTCAAAATCTAGCAACAGTTGTAACTAATCATAATATATAACTAGCTATCACACAACCTAAATCAGTGTGTGGTGACTTTCACTGAGTAATTCAAGAAATGTTACAAGGCACCTACTATGTGCCAGGACCATGCCAGATGGTAGAAATATTCAAATGAGTGATCATGGAAACCCTATTCCCAAAGAGTTTGGTCAGGCAGGGGAAGAAAAAAGAGCAAGAGACTGCAAGAGCACTATGGCACACGCTGCCATGCATGGAGGGAACATCTCAACCCAACAGAGGACTCAGGAAGACCTCAAGGGTTTGCACCAAGTACTCAAGGCTGAGCAGGAGGTCGGGAACATGAGGTAGGAGGGGGACAGAGACAGCTTATGCATAAGGACAATATTTATCATGTTTGAAGAATGGAGAAGGCCTAAGTGGGTAGAAAATAGAATGTCTGGGAAGTAAACATAGAGCCACAGCAAAAGATCAAGAACCAGTTATGAAGGGCTCTGCAGTCTTGATCCTGCTAGATACTGGACAGCCAATGGGGGGCTTTGGCCTGGAAATGTGATCATATCTGTGTTTAAAGAGTTGAATGGGAAAGGGAGATGAGGAGAGGCTCTGGGCCAGGAGCCTGATGCAACAATGCAGGGGAGAAGTGAGGTGGGCCTAGCATGAGGCAATGGCAATGGCCATGACGAAAAGGGAATCAATTTAAATCCACATCAAAAGCCGAAGTAATATATTTTGGGAAGCAACTAGATGATACTAAAGCTGGGTCTCCATCTGGGAGATCAGGTAGGCAAAGTTACAGGAAGAACAGGTTTGGAGAGTAAAGATGTGATCAAGATCCGTGAGGGACCTATGGAATTTGAGGTATCCATAGAAAGTTCAGGTAGACTGTAAGTAGGCAGGTGGAAATCAAGATCTGGAACTCAGAAGAGAATTCTGGGGKAGGATCATCAATATATGGCAACTGATCTTTAATCTCTGAGGGTCATGCACTACTCAGGATCTATGAATTCTCCAAAAAAAAAAAAAATTCACTTTCAGGAACTGCACCAAATCTCTACARACCATTCACAGACCTCAGATTAAGACTAGCACAGGGGTGGGGGTTGTGGCTCAGTGGTAGAGCACTTGCCTAGCTTGTGTGGGGCACTGGGTTCAATCTCCAGCACCACATAAAAATAAACAAATAAAAAATAAAGTACTGTGTCCATCTACAACTAAAAAAAAAAAAAAAAAAGCACAGTTAATGAAAGTAGATGATGGCATATGAAGAACGGTATCAGGAGTAGAACCAAGCACAACTGGCAACCTAAGGGCTGAACTGAGGAAGATAATCCCTGGAAAATGAGATGTGATTTAAGAGGACTCGAAGAGACCTCATGAAGTTCATTATCACCAGATGATAGATATTAAACAGAATCAAACACTGAATATAGCTATGAAGTGGACACTGGACACAAACGTGTACATAGAGGGATAAACTTTTATATATAAAAATATCAAAATCCATCTTTTATAGAACATGATAGTTTCATCATGAGTTGTAAACATTCATAATTCACCCTCCCCGTTCTCCACTAACACCTTGCTTCCCTAAACTAAGTTATCCACAACCAAAGTTATCCATTTGGGTAATGGGTGGCTTTAGGTCTGAGTACAATCTCTGACCAAAATTAGAGTAACACCAATTGACTTGCAAAGATAATGCCCAACCTTCATGGCTAGGCGTTCAACTTTTCTTCTACCTTGCTCTTAGGTATTAGTGAATACACAAAATAATAATTTTATCTTCAATTCATAGAAGTATCAGTCAGCAACACTGTCCAAGACAGCCAGGACAGCCTCAATTAGCAATTACTTCATAACTTTCTAGAGACATCTTTTTTTTTCTTCCTCGTTGGTACTGGGGACTGAACCCAGAGGTACTCTACTTCTGAACTACAWCCCTAGCCTTTTTTATTTTGAGACAGAATCTCACTAAGTTGTCTAGGCTGGCCACAAGTAGCTGGAGTATGTGCCACTGCAACCAGTTAATAAAAATCTTTTTTAAGTCTAAGATATAAAAGCTATTTACTGTCTTCAAGTTTTTAATTCCTCTGGCATATCTGCATTATTGGACAATGTATTTCTTAACTTTAGATGCATACTACTATTGTTGACACTGAACTCCTAGGGTCCATCAGTGAAGGTTATCAAGCTTCTGGATCTTTCCAAACTGAAGTCAATGTCAGAGTTCTGAGCAAAAAAGTAAGGATACCAGAAAACTAAAACTTGCTTTAAAAAAACTTGAATATCTATAATGGTTTATGACCACAAACCATAGCAAAATTTTTTGAATTATTTCAAATTAAAACAAATAAACAAACAAACAAAAACAAACAAACAAAAAAACCCTCCTTATCCCTCTTGTCCTTTTTACGTTTTTCTCACCTCTTTTTACAAGCAATATTAGCAACTGCCAATTATTCTTTCTAGAACAGAAAACACAAGTATTTCAGTGTGTCTGTAAAAACAGACAAGGCAAGTCACCGGTAGGCCTGGGGATATAGCTCCTTGGCCTGCCTGGTAGTATTTTCCACTGTATACCCTGAAAACCAACAGCTAGACCGATATTCTTCTTTGACTGGGGCAGCAAATATTTACAACTCTTCAGAGCAAGTTATCAACCAGAATTAGTACTTATCTTACTAGTCACTGAAAAAATACATTTTAGGAGAATTCCCTTCTCTATCTGGAACTAAAATCCTGGCAAAGATACAGTATGCAGTTTTAAAACATGGAAAAACACTGTATTTGTGAAGACATGGATTGATAATAAGATCCTCCCCTTGTGTTATAACCATATCTTCAGTTTTTCCCTCCAGCTCAAACTGCATTCTAAGTTGACAGACTTTTCTTCCAGTTTTATTAGTTTAGCAAGTGATCCTTCCTAAATACCTCTACCTTGGTCTTACCACAGTATTAGAAACCGGGAAAAATTACACTCAAAGAAAACTAGCTTTACAAAGCACCTGGCCAAAGAGAACTTAATTTCAAGAGCCTCACGTGTTTATAATAAAATGCAGAAAAATAAGCTGGACTCATCTTTCCTGCCAGGTCAAATTTCTTAACTTTAAATGCATAAAACTGTGATTTAAAAAAAAATCAGGTAATAACAAATACAGTAAGCATAAGAGATTATTTCAGAAAAAAACATTTTAGAGAAAACAGTCTCCCATGGAAATTGATGCAAGGTAAACAACAGGTAAAATGCAGATCTAATAAAAAGGTAAGCAAAACAAACTGCCCTTGATTTCCAAAAATAAACAAAGAAGAGATATTTTGTGTTAATAGGGTTCAGGCAGCAGGCAGTGTCTATCTCTAAATATTTCTTTTCCAGCTCAGAAAATACTGAATTCATTTTTAGCATCAATGAAAGATGAGCAAGAAGTGCAAGAAGTGCAAGAAGGCAAATGAAACATATAGTTTATAAAGTCACATGTCTGTCTCTCACGGCCTGTTGGCAAGCTACACCCAACTGACTTGCTGGCTCTGTCCTTCCCATATTGGTCCTCAGGAGTTCCCTACTGTCTTTGGTATCAGCCACAGAGCTGTCATAGCTCACACCAACCTTTCCACTATTCCACAAAACAGGTGGAATGGACTGATCTACTAATACACTGATCTAGTCACTGGCCTCTAGTGACTTCATGGCAATTCCATCCCCATATTTTCTAACTGAATCCAAACTAGCATCATTGAAATATTTTGAGGATCAGTTTAAGCCCATCTTCACAATGATTCTACATTTCTATGAATTCATATTTGAATATCCTATAGTACTCATGTACTCAAAGAAATGTGTGTGATTAGCTCTGTGTGTTCTCACTCCCCCTAAAACTATGAAATGTTTCAGGCGCAAATCATACACTATTGTTCTTTCAATTTTTTCAACAATGTATCAATATTGGCAATTCAATTAAAATTCTCTATATTACAAAGAATATAAACAATCCTACCTGAACTGTTACAACTGCTGCTCCCTGGCATTTCTTACCACTGCTGCCTCTACACTCCAAATGCAGTGTGGTCTGTTCTTCTCGATTCATGTACTGTTTGGGCATTATATCCAACAGCTCACCATCCAGGGCAACCTGCTGAGACTCCCGAAGAGCTGCAGTTCTAAAAAATACCACCAGAAGGTAAAAGAAAGTCTTCGGGAAGGTTCTATGAAAAGTGATAAAGGCTTCCAGCTACCCCAGCTGGTACTATAACATAAAACAATTAACAAGAAGACAAAAGGTATATGTGCCATGGCTTGGCCAAACCAACTCCTAGCAGACCAACTGACCAGAAAGATAAGAAACAAGAGAAAAAAAGAAAAAGCATTCTGGTAAAGTGGCACAACTTTTTACTCAAACAAATCTCCAGTTAGAATATGTTGTATATTGATATGGCTTTTAAAATAGACCCTGAAATATACAAGAACAAAGAAGACCTCTAATTTATTCATGCTAAAGGAGTGCCTTTGGGCTGGGGCTATAGCTCAGTGGCAGAGCACTTGCCTAGCGTGTGTGAGGCACTGGGTTCAATCCTTAGCATCACATAAAAATAAACAAAAATAATCAAGGCATTCTGTCCATCTACAACTAGAAAAAAAACTTTTTTAAAAAAGAATGCCTTAATTTTAAGTAAAATAACATTGTTATTAGCAATTCAAACTGAAATATCAAAGACTTAAAAAAGCAAACTATGTATAGGGGATGTCAATACTGTTCTAACTGTATTTATTATTATGTTAATGGGCAGATGCACAAGTGTGCACACAACATTGGGATTAAAGTGTGCACAATAAATATTGGGATCAAATGGAGGCAAGAAAAAAAAATCAATAAAAAATTGATTTATATGGGATTTGTAAAAATAAGGCTTATTTAGAAAGATGCTAGGAGAATGAAATTGACCAAATTATACTGTAATATTTATGTGCATATACAAATATATAAMAATGAATCTTACTGTTGTGTATAATTTGCCAATAAAAAGGAAGAAAAGATCCACAAAAACAAAAATAAGGCTCATTTACTATTAATAAAAGAGACTTCTCCACATACGCTCCTTACAAGAATGTAAGCTAGCATCAAAACCTTGAACAGTGTATTCCGTGTCTACCATGTGAACTAAAAACACTGAAGGGCTTTCTCATGCGTCAACCAAGTGACTATGTCAATTTTCTAAAGAACAAAGAGTTCATAGAGCAAAGCGGTGACAAAAGAAAGCAAAACTCTTTTCATCCCCACTTCCAACACCATTTTCCAGTATCAGAAAGTCTCCTCAGGGAAGCATAAGAAAATCTTGGCCAATACTGCTGTCACTCAGAAGTGCCCCCACAGAAAATAAGTCAGATTGGCAGTCCACAAGAAAAGCAAACATAATTTCAACATGAAATTCAAAGACTTGTCAAGGCTCAGTTCACCAAGTGAACTGCCTGGGCCAGTCTGGTCAAATTACCTCACGGTGAGAATGCCCATGAGGACACCAGTCAGGTACTAAATCATCCAGGCTGGCAAGACAGCCAAGCCCGGGAGCATGACCCCAGAGGGCACGTGGTCTTACCTGGCCTGCTGTTGCAGCACATTCAGGTCTGTGCACACCAGTTGGGTAGTTTCCTTGTGACTCAGCAGGACGGTGGAGGAAATAACTGGCACAGGAGGCCTCATGGGATGCAGAACAAGGGGAGGTTGGGGAGCCTCGTGTTTCCGCAAGTTACTTAAGATCCTTTCTTTGGCTAAAAGAAAAAATATATTTACAAGGTAATGGGTACTAGTAAGTAGTACTATACCAAATGGTACAAAGCTGTGCTCTGTTACTTTATAAAGAATGCTAGAGATCCTCAGATTGGTTCCTTAAACCACAAGGAGCCATAAAAATCATTATTTTCTGGTTCTTGTGAGTTTTGAGTAAGCACACATGGGTCTAGTAACATTTTTGCGCCCCCCCCCCCGCAAAAAAAAAAAAAAAAGCTTAATGCCACCATCCAAAGACACTTTGCAGGACAGGAGAAGAAGGAGTGAGCATTATGGAATAAAAACTAAGTGAAAAATCTAAAACTAATTCAAGATTTGAACARCAGGGCTAGAAGTATAAAAGATAAAATGAAGGAAGACATGGGCATAAAATCCAAAAGCACCCATGTTTATGCAGTCACAGAGTCAGTTTGTCACTTATTCATTCACTCACTCAGCAAATGCTCTGATAGTCCAAATAAGCTGCCCAGTTCCATACAAAAGAAATAAAGGTGAATCCATACCAAGCAGTTCTGCACTAGATCATACATGGTCCCAGACTGATTAATAAAATTCAAAAATCTGATATTTCTTGCACTTAATATGGAATAGTATCTATAGTATGTGTCTAATAAATTTACCTCCTCTCCCTCTCTGCACCTTGCTATATACATACCAACAGCAGGTGGAACTGAGAACACTAGGAAAACTGCTGTTATAAACCAGTTTGGGGATAAAAACTGTAATAGTAAAGTTATCAGAGGAGAGAGGTCAAGGAAACTTCAGATCAGTAAGTCAACAGTAGTTAAGCAACGTCTGTGGATTTCCAATCTCATTCCAGATGTAACATTCAACTTTCTATTCTTTTTTTTTCTTTTTTTTATTGGTTGTTCAAAACATTACAAAGCTCTTGACATATCATATTTCATACATTAGATTCAAGTTGGTTATGAACTCCCAATTTTACCCCAAATACAGATTGCAGAATCACATCAACTTTCTATTCTTGTTGAGAAAAATCAAGGAAAATTTAATGGCCATAATTTTACTTGGCAGAAGGAGACTTGTATTGTTTATACCCCAAACAGATGAAAGTTAACATTCCAAAAGGATCAAGCACAGCACTGTCCTTTGTAACTGGTGTTTTTCCACTAGAACCACCACTCTTTGCACAGATGTGACAAAGCTGGACAGTCATCATTGGATAAGACTTGTGACCATCTGTGTTAGAGTTTCTTTCAAACAACATTACAGGTCATGACTCTAAAAGACAAATTGGGGGCCCTTTCAACCCAATAAAACTTACCATGAAAGAAAAATTAAGGAAATATTTTAAATACAAAATAAAAGAGAAAAAAATTAAAATTCAGGGTATATGTTGGACCACAACTGAAAAAATTTTCAATCCAAGAAAATAGGTCAAGAAATATAAATCAGTGTCATAAGTATGCTCGTCAAATTTTTCCTACAACCATAACCACAAGTTCAATCATTGATATAATCATCACCTAATCTGCTCTCCTTTGAAAAAAACCTGAAAGTTATTATTCAGAAACACAGGCCCCAATTTTGTTTAGAACTTCAACCTGTACTGATGGTCAGAAACAAGAAGTAGGAATATTATTAAGTGGTGAACAGAAAGGTCTCAGGAGCCAGACAGCTATCAGAATTCCTAGATGTGGCCCATGTAGGCAAGTTACCCAACAACCATCCTACACTTGGGTTGTTTCTCTGCTTAACAAGGAACACTCAAACTGGACTAATATGAGGACTGAGTTAATACACATAAAGTACTAGGACGGTGGCCAAAACCAACTAACTTATTGTATTAACTCTAGAAAAGACAATTAGCCTTTTAGGGCAGTATTGGGGTACCAATGAAAGCATTACAGACACACAGGCATGAACAGAGAGCATTTACTAGTTTCCAGATCTAAACACATGTTCATTCTTCTCATCTAACTTTCAGGAGTAGAAAATGAAAATCTGAATAGTTAGGTGGAAGGCCATTTTCAAACCTTCCTCTATATATCTTCCTATACTGCTTTTCTTTTCTCCCTCCCCCTCCCCCTCTCCCTCTCCCACTCTCTTTGGTACCAGGGAAACCCAGGGGTGCTTTACCACTGAGATACATCCCTAAGCCCTTTTTAAATTTTTTTGTAGGGGCGCGAGTAACCAAGGATTGAACTCAGGGGCAGTTGGCGGCTGAGTTACATCCCTAGCCCTTTTTTGTATTTTATTTAGGGACAGGTCTTGCTGAGTTGCTTAGCACCTCACTTTTGCTGAAGTTGGCTCTGAACTCTCAATCCTCCTGTCTCAGCCTCCTGAGCCACTGGAATTACAGGTGTACACCACCTTAATTTATTTGAGATAGGGTATCACTAAGATGCTGAGGGCCTCAATAAGGTGTTAAGGCTGGCCTTGAACTTGCAATCCTCGTGTCTCAGCTTCCCAAGTTGCTGGGATTACAGACATGTACCACTATGTCTGGCTTGCTTTTTTGTTTTTTGTTTTTTTTTTTTCCAATGAGCACATAACTGTTATAAGCAGAAAAAAATTATTATTATTACTATTATTATTATTATTATTATTATTATTATTATTTCAGGGAAAAAAGCAAAGGAAAAAGATGTTGGAGAGAAATTTTTTGAAGTATTAGATAAGACTGTCAGCACCTTCATTTTGCAAAGCTTAAGCCCAGAGAGGTTCTATTTTTGCTTTTCACACACCTAACAAGCTGTTTGAAGCAGAGCTGAAATAAGAGGAATAAGAGAGGTTTTTTGTTTATTTTCTTTTGCCTTTTTCTGAATCACTTCAGTATTCTATTATACTATATATTATAATATTTTGGGCAACAATTGTATTTACAATTTTACTTTTATGTTCTATATTTTAAAAACATTCAGCAATTAACATTAACGTGTAAGTCAACTATAATCTTCTATAATTTTGTTAATGAAATACATCAACAACTTTATAAGTTAAATAGGCTTTTGGTAGCCCAGCATAGAAAACTGATAACTTATAACATCCTCTAGAAACAATAGTAGACAATTCTGGAAATGTGTGGTCTATTTGAATGGTATAGGTTCTGGGTTCAGAAAAAAAGTATAAAAGAAAAACAGACTTTTGAATACTAAAACTATAAACCTACAATAATTACATTTGAAGTTGCATTTTACACATAGTTTCCTAAGTAAATTGAAATTTCTTTTTAAAGCATCAAAAAAGAAATGAATCATGAGCATCCCAGCTTCCTTTCCAGCTAAGTTCAGCCCTGTGTCTCAGTTTGGGGCAATGAGATATAACTGGAAAGTCTGAGATTCTTGAAAGAGTTTTTTTAAGAAAGATTTCCCGTTCTGCTGATTGGAATGTGAATGTGAAGCGGACAGTTAAGCATAAACAGCCATCCTGAACTGGAAGTGGATGCCATCTGTGCAAACAGTGGGATAGCAGGTCCTTGAAAGCTTGCAGGGGTCATGAGCCCACCCTACTGCTCTCAACTGCCTGCCTCCAAACTTCTTCTATGTGAGAGAAATGAAAATCTCTACCCAAAGAGATTTAAGTAATTTCTGGTTTGGATTCTCATTTGCAGCCTAACCTAGTCCTTAGTGGTCCTAAGTTAACATTAAACTCAAAAGCAATTCTCACCAGAGGGATAAAAGTATGGAAAAGGTAATCCTCAATGACTCTGATGCAATCATTCATTCAGTCAGTCAGTCAGTCTTTAAAGGGGCTGATGATAATAAAACTCACCCAACAAAGGATCAGTGAAGTCCAGCTGTGCCGACAAGCTGCAGGGTATGGAATGGGATTCGAGCTTGGCCTGCATCCACACACCAACAGTTTCCTGGAACTCATGATAGATACGTTCCATGTTCAAATACTCCATCCACAGATCCTGGAATAAAACCATAGTACTTGAATTCTGACAAACTATTATTCACATATAAAACTATACATTTAACTATAAAGTGAACCAGTAAGTTTCAATATGAGATGGTCAACTTCAAATTCTCTAGCATTAGGATAGACTKCATTTTAAATGGTCTCTAATAATGTTAGCAATATTTGCAACTTCTTTTTTTAAATTGTACCAAGATTAAAAAAATAACTTTTTGCCAGGGGTGATAGTGCATGATTGCAATCCCAATGACTCAGGAGGCCAAGGCAGGAGGACTGCAAGTTCAATGTGAGCCTTGACAATTTAGCAAGACCCTGTCTCAAATTATAAAACATAACTGGGGGTATAGCTCAGTGACACAATGCCCCTGGTTTCAATCCTCAGTACCACAGGGGGGTGGAAAAAAAGACCAGGTATATAGGTTGGTGCCAGAGTGCCACTGCAACCAATCCCCAGCACCAAAAAATAAATTTTAAAATTTTTATCACATTGAGGTAAGAAAAAGTTTGAACAGATAGATGACTAGATATTTGATAGTAAGAAATTATTAATATTTTCTAGACATAAATGCTATTGGGTTATTTTATCTTTATCTTTTAAAAAAAACCTTTATGTATCAAATGACCTCTAAGTTTACCTCCAAGATAATATGGTAGAGAGAGTAGATGGGCTATAGAGAAAACTAGACACATGAAGGGAGGGGGAAAAGGGCATATCTATTACGTTATTCTATTTTTCTTGATGGCAGAATTTACTCATAAAAAAAATAAAATAAATAAGTAGATAAAATGAGAAAAAACAGACTCTAGTATTTTCTTTCCATATTTCAGTGGGCTATCTTGCATATTCTGAACTATATTTCTTTACTTTGGGGATCGTCACATATTAGAATGGTGGGCTACCCTGAACAACAATAAAAATGTCAGATAATAATACACACTAATGATGACTTCAAACAGCATAGCAAGTAATCAAACATGATATGGTTTTGTAGACAATGATCTCCTTGCCCCCCTCATTAAGTGTTCCACAGTCCCAAGGATCCCTCTAATCCTAAAAATGTACTGGCTTCTTAATAAGCCACTGTTATCAAATACTAAATCATTATTTCTAAACTAAGCACAGGACAAGGCATTCCAGGATCAGAGAAGAAGCTCCAAAGTAATCCTGCACCCAATCAAGTCCTGTCTGCACCTGGACTGTTGCAGATCCTCCTGCTATGTAGACAACGCATCTCCTATCAATACCATCACCAGGTCACCCTGTCCATCTCTGCACTAAATAACTGTTGACAGAGACCGAAAGATTAAAGCAAATACTGGGAGTTACTGATGGGTAAACAAAAGACAATTCCAGGAATTTTAGTTACAGATTTAAAAAAACAAAAAAAGTTGCATATTAAATGGTAAGCAAAAACTAAAAAAAAAGAAAAGCAACTGATTGCAAATGCTAAGGAATAAGAATAAATGGGAAAGAACCAAGAAAGCTATGGTAAATTTTTTTWAAAAAATTAAAGCACCTATATTGTGCAAAGGTCTGGATAAGGACTTTGGATGTAGAATGTAAAGAAGAGATGAGCATGGAACAGCACTAAAAGGATTTGAGGCCACCATGATCTCAAATTTACTTTTCCTCTATCCCCAGCCTTATTTCTCTGGGCCCTTACATGTTATTTCTCAGAATTCCACCTGCAGTCCTCTGCTTAATCTAAACATTCTATCACTCTTAAACCCACGTTTCCCACCCAGGCTCATTCCTGAATTCTAGATCTGTATCTCCCCTCCAGGCCAAGTGCTTGTAATACAGCAGAATAAGAAGCTCTCTGAAGCTCTCTGAAGCTTCCTCTTACTACATTCCCTAACTTGGTAAATAGCATTTCTAACTGCCCAAGCTAGAAATTTTGGAGTTCTTGGGTAATTAACCCATCATAAAATCTACTGATTTTCCTCAATATATTTTTAATTCATCCATTTAATCACTGATGGGTTATTTCGATAGCTCTCCAAATAAATACTTCAGAAGAAGGCTGCTGAAGTGGCTCAGCAGGAGAGCTCTTGCCTAGCCTGCAAGAGACCCATCTATCCCCAGGGCTCATTTCATAGGTCTCCCACCACTGCAGCCCCTCTCTGCTTCCACAGCACCCTGCATTCCACTCCCAGTCTTGATCACAGACGTGATAAATGTTTAGGCCCCCATTTGACAAGAAGCTCCTTGTAAGCAGAGAGTATATCACATCTCTTTGTATCTTTGACATTAAACTTTTGGAATGTAGAAGGCATTCAGTAAGTACTCCTGGGAGAAAGGGAAGRAAAATAAAACAGCAGAAGCAACAGGAGAGGAAGTATTACACATTATGTGGAAGTGGGTAGGCTTAAGGGTCCAATGGCAAGCCTCTCAAATCTTAGAGGTTCTCAAATCACATTCCAACATTGGGGTCAATGCCCAATACAGTTCAGGCTCTAGAAGAAAGGATCCAGAATAGGTCAGACATGTCTCCCCCAACCTCAGCCCTATCTCAAGCTGGCCACAGAAGCTTCAAGAAACCAGAGATTAGAGGTTTGGTTCTGAAAAAGGATCAAAGACATCTTTGGGTGCCAGAAAGAAAACAGCTTAGGACACACAGAGACTAGAATCAAGTGGTTCTAGAAAGGACACCAAGAAATAAACCTCTTCAAAGACAAAGGTGAGCTCCTCATCTCCTCCCTGCAACTGATCGCCTGTGTAACTTATGAATGCTTAAAATTCTTTCCACTAATGGCTGGGCATATAGCTTGATGGTAGAATATTTGCCAAGTATGCATAAGGTCCTGGGCTCAATCCTGAACTGCAAAAAATAAAAATATTTTTAAACTTTCCCTGAGCTTTTTTATGGTAGAGATGATTGCTTAAAAGTGTTCTGCTGCTGACAATTTAAAATAAAAAAGAATACAAACAGTCAAAGAAAGATATGTAGAAGTTGTAAAAAGCTCAAAAATGAGTTTAGGCCTCCAGGTGAAGTCACAGTGGGGCTACAGATTCAAAAGGGAATATCCTCTCAACACAATCACTTATACATTGAGAAAACCTACAGAAATAATGACCATTCCCATGACCACCCACTTCCATATCAATAAGTGGTTTCACCCTGAGATTGTAACTATGACTGGTTCAAATGACATTCAGAAATGCTCAACAAGACAATGCCATAGTTTCACCTGCTGATTCTGCATCACTTTTGCTAGCCTGTGAATATCATAATGCTTTGGTAGAGAAGGGATATAGGTATCTCCTTTTTGAAAATTTTCATCTTCTAGCCATAATATATATACATTGAAGAGCCTAAAAGATAAAAACATAAGTTATGTGAGTTTTTAAATGTTCAGATGAAGTTTGTTACATTGCTAAGACCTCTGGCACAAGTCTATCAGGGTAAAGAAAGCCCACAATCCAGAAAATATACCAAACAACCACCACCCCTCCCAAAAAACTCATGGTCCAGCAGTAGAGAACGTCCCCTATCATTAAAATCTGATGCAATAATTGCTAAAAAAAAAAAAAAAAAAAAAAAAAAAAAGGTCTAAAGGGGGGTCTTTGGGGTTAAACACAGTATACAGTATACAGAAAAAGTAACTGAAGGAGATGATTATACCACAGCCCTAGAATCTGAATTTGCAGCTTTGCTTTCCTGAACAATTCAGTCACAGTAAGCCCTAGTGTTTGGAAAAGTGAAAATAATATTCAAATGATCAAATTTTCTCTTTCAGAGAACTTTTGCATTGAAAGAACTTGCCAGCCAGAGACTCCATGGCCAGCTCCTGACTTGAGGAATTATAAATCAAACTCACTGCCATGTGTGCACCCTGTTCCCATTAAGAAGGAATAAACAAAGTCAGGCTTTAAAAAAATTTTTTTWAAAAAAACAACAACTTGATTTTCCAGTAAAAACTTTTTTAAAAATATAATTATGTTTCCTTTATTTTTGTTTTTACAAGGCACAAAGTCCACTAGCTAAGGTCACTGATATTCTGAGCAGTTGTTTCCATCAACAGAACTAGAAAAGTAGCTGGCACACACAAAAGACCAGAAATCAGCACGTGGCCATGCTCAGTGAAGTGGAAGACTACATCCTTTACCTCCAGGGCAGGGTGTCTAGAAGACAGACATGGAAGGCTGTGAGGGCCTTAAGGGAAGAGGTTAGTATGTGTGTAGTTCTCACTTCCAGTTTCTGACTCAGTGAGATAGATGGCCGCTTTATAAACACACAGGGGGTGGATTTAAGAGAGACAGAAGGAGTATCAAAGTCTTTGTTGGCTGATCTGAAATGTTCAAAGAGATTAAGCCTGGTTTTTTAAAAAATGAGTTTTCCTTCATCCAAGCAAGGGGAAAATTATTTTGAAGGCTGAGAACAAATCCTGAGGGGCTAAGGTCAAGTAAGCCTGAGGCCTCAGTGCCAGATAAAATGCTGGCTTTCCCCACCAAGCTATTTTGTAGTCAGAGTTAATTATTAAGAGTCATTTTTATTAAGTCCTATTTATAAGATTAATATTTGGTTTATATTAAATTTACAGATGAGGGGCTGGGGATGTGGCTCAAGTGGTAGCGCGCCCGTCTAGCATGCACGCGGCCCAGGTTCGATCCTCAGCACCACATACCAACAAAGATGTTGTGTCTGCCGAAAACTAAGAAATAAAATGTTAAAATTCTCTCTCTCTCTCTCTCTCTCTCTCTCTCTCCTCACTCTCTCTTTAAAAAAAATAAAATAAAATAAAATAAAAAATAAATAAATAAATTTACAGATGAAAGGTGAGGGAACAATGTGAATAAAACCCAAACCTACTTCCTAGTTCTCCAACCTCCCATTTTGATAAAATTTGACACCACCACTACCACCACCCCAGTGGATCCCTGAATCCCAAAGGGTGACTCTATGAACCACATTTATAGAGCCCAAACAGGGTCACTGATTTCTAAAGAGCACTTCTAGAAAGCTTTAGTTGTGTGCCTGCTATGATCAATTTCTTTTGGTTTATTTCTATTTTTACATGAAGAAACAGAAGAGAAAGAAAATAACATTGAACTTCATAAACACTGTAAGTGGAAAATGCAATGTCTTAAATAAAACTGTATTTAAAATTGGCAAAAAAAAAAAAAAAAGAGAAATAGAAGAGGTTGTCAACACCGATTATCACTCAGACTCCTGCTATATCCAAGTGGCTGCATCACTTCTCTCTTGAGGAACATAAGGGAAAAACATTTCAATATGCCAATATGAATCAAAGCATGTAGATTCAATCTCACAGGAGTAAGAGTAACATCTAGAGACTGAACCACAGCTAACTGTGCCAGCCCAGGACCCACGCTGCAAAAAAAAAGGGAAACTGCTAAATGACCATCACACCTCACGAGTTCTGTGTGCAGTTCTGGAGAAGTCAGGTAACCAGGGGTGACATCCTGGCTCTCTGGTAGCCCTTCACTGCCCTCTGCTGGAACACGGATGGCCTTGCTCGCAGCATGGTGGAAATCGGCCACCTCAGTCAGGCGTCTCTTCATGTCTTTCAACAAGTTGATATGAGCAGGACTTTGAAAAAACCTTCTTCCAATACAACCATCTATGGGTAACCTTAAAAAATAAAAGCACAGATCCATAACATTTCAACACAAGATCCTCTTTCTATGTGGCAGTCAATCAGCTAGGCAAGTTACTATGGCTGGATCCACACACCACTAAATCAATACCCGTTACTTCTACCTCAAAGGATATTTTGACGATGCCACAGATATGTACAGTAGTATCTCCTCATTCATAGTTTCGCTTTCAGTGGGTTCAATTACCTACAGTCCACCCTCGTCCAAAAATATTAAATGGAAAATTCTATAAATAAAAAATGCTTAGGTTTAAAAAAATTTTATTTCAGGATATATTCAGTATAATGGTCCTAATGCATTATTAGTTATTGTTACTCTCTTACTGTGTCTAATTCATAAATTAAAATTTACCATAAGTATGTATGTATATAAGGAAAACAGCACATCTATTGTTCAGTACTATCCATGGCTTCAAGGACCCACAGGGGATTTTGGAACATATCCCCTAGAGAGAAGGTGGAACTATATATGAAAGTACTTTTAAAAAGAATAAAGTCAGCATGATGGCACTGCTGATGCAGGAGGATCAAAAGTTCAAGGCCAGCCTGAGCAACTTACTGAGACCCTGTCTCAAAATCAAAAATAAAAAGGGCAGGGAAGGTGTGTGTGGTGGTTCATGTCTATAATCCCAGCAACTCCAGAGACTAAGGCAGGAAGATCACAAGTTTGAGACCAGACTTAGCAAGGCCCTAAGCTACTCGAAAGACCCTGTCTAAAAGACCTTGCCCAAGTCCCACAGTGGTCACACACGGAGCCTCTGTTTGAAGAAGTTTCTTTCTCTTTGCCATCTCCAGAGGTTTAAAGCACAGAGTCAGAGTGTGGGACAAAGAATGGTAAAGAAAAGCTGCTTCAAGATACCTCAAACTCAAAAAAAATCTATTCTAATAAATTTTAAACAGAGAGTGAGGAAGACTTCTAGTTTAAAGTCACCAAAGAATGATCCTGATTCACACTCCACTGTAAGAGCACAGTCTCAGGAATGGACTCAYAGGTACCGTACCCATATTGTGGTCCTGGGCGGTGAAGATACAGGAGGAAGAACTTCTGCCAGATGAGTGGCAGAAGAGGATGATCAGAAGGTGTGACCAGAGCCTGGTGGGCCCAGCGATAAATCAGCAGCCTCTGTAGGGATGGGACAATCGGGAGCTTCAGCTGGGCCTGGGCTTTCTACAACAGAGAAGAAGCTTTAGCTAAGAAACGGACACAGACAGTTTACTCTAAGTGACCCAAATGCAATACTAAACATTTTGTTTTCAATTCAATAAGAAAAAAAAGTCACACAAAACTCACTTCTCCAGCCCACTGACTGCCACATTAACCTCCTTGGTAGCAAGGCACATGCAGCAACTTTTTGCTGTCAAGACATTTCATAGACCCCAGAACCAAAATGGGTCTTAAGAGTCATCTAGTCTAAACTAACTTCTATTTATGAAATTCTCTTGCATGAAAAATGTTATAGAGCAAGGCCATAAAATGATATGAAAATCAAACAAAAGTCAATCTCACTGTCAAACTCTATCAGTCTTTTGAAATTTTAGATTTTAAAAGGACTTCCTGAATTCCTACTGAATTCCTGGAGAGGCTCTGAAACTCAAAAGCAAAATATATACTATGGCATCTAAAACAGACAGTCTTTAATGCTAACGATATAAATAAAACCATTAATTTAAATTAAAGGAAAAAAAAAAAGAAGATGGTCTTTAAATCCAAAGCCCTATTTCAGTCTTTCTCACACATTAGTGAGCCTAAGAATCAGGGAGTTAAAAAGAAATTCCTGGTTACAATTCAGACTCTCAAAAGCTGGGATTAGGAATCTAATTTTTAACAAGTTTTCAAGGGGATTCTGATGCACCTGGGAGACAATGGCAATTGCTTCAAGAAAACAGCAATCCCCTTCACTTGAGCAATGAACACACCTCTAAGTTATTGAGTATGAGGCCAGTTGCTAAATGAACTTTGGGAAGCCAAGTATACACTTCAATTACACAAATGTTTTTAATTAAATACTGGTTGGGTGTTTGGGATTTCCAAATATTCACAAGAAAAGAAAACACAGAAGTTCACATGTTAAGGTGAATCCCAAATCCCTCAGCACCGCAGTGTAAGCCACCCCACCACTCGAATGCAGAACTACTATTTGCACCTTCAGAGCTTGGTCAGGGGTAAAAGCAGAGTTTATAACCAATTCCCCTTCAACAACTCTTCTGAGCTGGGAGTCCTCTTCAAAGATGGATTCCATGTTCAGCACAATCCATGCAAACCAGACCTATGATGACACCAGAGAAAGGGGAAGGAAATGAGCCACTAACTCAACTGATACAATCATCCTGAGTTGAAGTTAAAATCTTTGCTAAGGCTGGGGCTGTAGCTCAGTGGTAGAGCACTTGCCTAGCATGCATGAGAGCCTGAGTTCAATCCCAGCGCTGCAGGGAAAAAAATGTTTTCAATGATCAATCTCAGTCAGCAAACATTTAGTTTGTAAAATTAACACATATTTAATACCTACCTATATTCTTGTCACATTTATAGAATAAAACAAAAACAGACAACTGGAAAATGTTAAACTCATCTGGAAAGTCTACTTCAAGGAGGATGTTCATTCTCCCAACAATATTTACTGGACAAGTTCTGTATGCGTGAGGGGCAGAAAAGAGGGCCAGACATGGGCTCTGTCCTTAAGAAATGTCCAATCTATTAGAGTAGACAAGACTAATATATAAATAACAAAAACTGTGAGCAGTGGTGAGGACTGCATGGAGGCAAAGGGCTGGATCAAAGAAGGCTCTGCATAGACAGGTGGGAAAATCAGGTCTCTGAGAGAAATTGAGGCAGAGGCATGGAGGTGGGGAAGCAGAGATGGGTCTAGGTGACAGCAAGGAGCCGGTTTCTGCTCAATCACAAGAGATATGAGGAAGAATAGGAAGTAAGACTGAAATGTTGATTTCAGTGATTTAAATGATGAAAGAGAGACATGATTTATTATACAGTCTGAGAAGTGGTAATAGTGATGGAAAATAATGCCACCAATAATAAAGATGACAATAACAAGGTCCAATACTTAGTGCTATGTGTTAGTCATGGTTCTGAATGCTTTACCTAAAGCAATCATATTTTCATTTGACAGTTGAAGACTGAGATGTAAGCAGGTGGCCCAATGCACACAGCTAACAAATGGAAGAACCAGGACTGAAACCTGGGCCATCTGGCTCCAGGCCGCCATTCTTAACCTCTCAGCAGTCAAGCTGTTGGCCCAACCTCTGTTAACGCCTTTAAAATAGACAGGGCTTGGCAGAGGGCTGCCAAGTGGAAAAGCGTACCTCTGTGTACTAAGTGCTAAACAAATGTTAGTAATTGCAGGCTATTAGTAATAGATTAATAAGGATGATAACAACATTGAAGTTGACAAAGATCACAAATGGTCCTCTCAGTGGACTTCATACCTGAGTGGGCATGGACAAGCCTTCTATGAAAGATGGAGTGATGTTGCCTGCCACGATCCAGCTCACCAAGGAAGAGAGCAGACTCCGGTCACAGTGGTAACCTAGAGCATTCTACACCAGGGAGGAGGGGTGGAACAAAGAGAACAGGATTTTTTAAAACTTTGTCATTGACTCTTCCAAGAGTGTTAGTGATTATCCCACTAGAGTGGAAGATGATGATACAACACAGATTTCAAAAATGAGCCAGCTGCACCAACTCTCCCAGGCAGTGCACTACAGAGATCCTTTCCTGGRTGTCCTTTCCTTTGAGTTGCATAGGATCTATGCTAATGGATATGATTGGAAAGACAAGATGCCCATAAAGCAAAGCTTTAAAAAAGTAGTGACCACACGGTAATACCAATAACTGTGCATTTAGGAAAAGCTTTTAGAAAACTATTATCTAGCCAATGATGAAAATGTAAACTAACAGGTTACCTTATGTTGCTGGTAGAGTAACTTCTGTACACAGTCCTCCTGCATCAGCTGAAAGGCTGTCTTACACAAGTGGTCCATGAGGAAGAGGATGGGTTGTTCTCGGTACCAAAGATGCTGGCTTATGAGAACCTGAACCCAGAACTCCAACACGGCAACAGGACCGACTTCATTGGGCTGCGTGCTTACAGATATATGCGCCTGTGCAGAAATGGCTTGGGTGACGTGAAAGGTAATAACCAGCCTCCCATTTTCAAAACAACAACAAAATGCCATCTACCTCCACTAAAGCCTCAATCAGTTGGGCTTCTCTGTGCTAAAAGCACTGTACAAATGATTTTAAATGTCCACATCATTAATGTGCTCACAYCACAGGCCTTGGGTTGGAAGATGGGGGAAAGTGTATTTAGGGATTTGCAAGGGCCCTGACCTGGATCATGCTGTTGAGAAGCTTCACGTTGTCCCCATAGCTGGCTCCTGTGAGGTGCTGTGCCACCTTGTGAGTGACCTGCTGCGTGACACCCTGAGGTACACCACTGTCCAAGTGGAGGAAGAGGAGGAAGTGCGACAAAAACCTGCCAAGCACACAGATCACACACTGTACCTTCTGATCAGGAGTTAGCAGAACTGCCAGCAGTTTCTATATTCATGAGGATATAGAAAAAATGTTAAATTGGCCCCATTTTTAGACCAAAGCTCTATTATGGGTTCTGATAAATCTTCAAGAATTTCAGAAGAWTAAACTTTTCACATTTGATATGGGCTAAAAGGAATTCTGTCTGCCTATAGAAGTTTAATGAACAGGCCCAAGACATACAAACATGAGCAGGGTAAAGAACATTAGAGGAAAACACCCCCAAGCATCCCAACCCCTCCGCACTCCCGCCTCCACTAATAAAAATAACAATGTGTTCCAAGTCATTTGATTCCCAAACTTCCCTAGCACCCAGGATGCCCAGGCCCTAATCCTTTCTTACTGCAGTCAGAGCTCCAAGGGAGGAATCTGGAAATACATACTTAATAAGCCCCTTCTGGTGACTCTCATCACCAAGCAAGTCTGAGACACACTGAATGAAAAGATACACAAAAGAAAAACTGTAATGTTCCCCTTGTGCCCTCCTTGGATGTACTACCTGTCCTCACTATGGGGTCTACATAGGGCCTCAYCTCCCCTTTCAGTACTCTTCATGAGGCCCAGCCAGATGCTCAGCTGCCCACTCCTGAACAGGTGGTCCTCTTCCCACTTCCTATTTATCCATTCACAACACTGCACTATGCACACCGTAGGCGACGAAAAACAACAYGTTTGGTTGTTGTTCCAATGACAAAGCCATTGCTGCTTAATGTCAAGAATACTGTTCCCAGGTGTCTCAAAGAAACAATTGCTCTTTTAAATACTAATAAATTCTAATAAGCCAGTTCAAGTTAAATGAGAAGGAGATGCCTTTTGTGACACTAAATTGGAATTGTTATTAGAATTATTGTTCATTAACCTGCATACTAAACTGGGACACAGAAGTTTTCTGCCTCTAAAAAATACATTGCTGAAATATCATTCTCTTCATTTTACTTCAGAAATCAAATGTAGTCATATTTGCTCACTGGGCCATTTCTAAAGTGTCTCCTGCCACAGACAGAACATACTTACTGCTCATTCTTCAGAAGGTAATACTGGCAAGGGTAAAACAAAGGTAGAATCTTATCTAGGACGTGGACCACTGTTCTCAAATGCCTCGACTGGACCAGAATTCCCAACAGTGGAATGCCTTCTGCACAGAACTTCTCAATGCTATGGAAAACAAAAAGGCAATGAGCATAAGGTAGCTAGTTCCTTAAATTCTATTCTTCCAGTGAGTGATCATACACTGTGGAGTACCTCAGTCTCCAACATATTTTTTAATGTCCATTTTTCACAAGAAAATACTAGACTCAGAATTCTGAAGTACAAAGGAACTTAAAAGTTTATCTATACTTTTTTTTATAGATGAGAAAGGATTAATATTATGCCCAAATTTGCATAATTTACTTGAGAAGGGTCAAAATGAGAACGAAGGTTTGCAAATTTCCAGTTCAGAGAGATTGCCACTCCCCTATTTAGCTTCTCAAACAGGGCTTCTTATAAGAGCTATGGGGCTCTTTGTTTGGCTATTCCCAAAAGTTACTCTAGCAAAAGAAAGATTTGAGGGGCTGGGGATGTGGCTCAAGCGGTGGCGCGCTCGCCTGGCATGAGTGCGGCCCGGGTTCGATCCCCAGCACCACATGCAAACGAGGATGTTATGTCTGCCGAGAACTAAAGACTGAATATTGGAAATTCTCTCTCTCTCTCTCTCTCTCTCTCTCTCTCCTCTCTTACTCTCTCTTTAAAAAAAGAAAAAAAGAAAGAAAAAAGAAAGATTTGAAAGTGAGATCAATCTGGCAAATTTCTCCTAAAACCATGTTTTCTCCCAGTACTGGGGATTAAACTCAGGGGCACTGTACCACTAAGCTCCATCCCCAGACCATTTTATTTCTCAGACAGTATCTCACTAAGTTGCTAAGGCTGGCCTCAAACTTGGGATCTTGCTGACTCAGCCTCTGGAGTACCTGGGATTACAGGCATGTAATCACTGTCCCCAGCTTCTAGAACCAATATGTCATAAATTTTTTTTCTGTACTTAAGAAATAATCTTAAATATAGGGAAAAATGTGGATGATAATCCATGTTAAGATTCACTTTTCTTATTTATTTATAGCTACAAAATTTATACACAGAAATGACTTAAATAAATTTAAGAAAAATCTATTCAATAGTAATCTTATTGGGTCACTTTTAAATAATACATATGGCGGCCAAAGACAACATGGAAAAATATTTCCACTATAATGATAATAGAGGAAAAGCCCATAAAAATTTATACTTGTAATTAAAACTAGTAGTAAAAAAAATTAAATAAAGAGGGAAAAACAGGGATGATGTCACATCAGAATGTTCACTGTATTGGACATCAGAATGTTCACTGTATTGGAGTGGCAGAAGTGAATGGTTTTTTCCTCCACTTTCCTAATCCTGCAGTTGAAATAAGTTTTTTTTTCCTCTAGAGGTGAAACAATGTGACTAATTTCAAATAACAATAGTGCAAAGGCTACACCATGAGGGAGATACTTACTATATTAAAAGTGAAAAACAAGCCACAAAATTACACATACATCATAACTGAAAAAAAAAGAGCAAAGGAAAAATACTAGATAAAAATAAATAGTAAAAAAAGCAACGTTCTAGTATGGGAAAGATGCTGCGTGACTTTCTGGCTATTATTCTCCATACTGTAATATTATATTCATATATAACTTATGTTCCTGTCTACTCCATCCCCAACCCCAATCTCATGCATAAGATTATTTTTAAGTTATTTCTCAACTCCAGAACATCTACATCCCARATGACTATGGTGCAATGAGCCTCAAAAGGAAACACTTATTCTCATCCTTGTTTCCATTCAGGATTCAGTAATCAGTACTAAACAGATCAGCATGTTTGCAGAGAACCCATAACAGGACTAAAGAGCTATAGACCCAGAATGGATACTAGCAATTAGAGAAATAATCATGAAACAAGTTCAGAAGACTATCCTCAAAGAACTCACATGTCAAGCACTGTTCTAAGTAAGATATATATATATTTTTTTTTCACTTGAAACTCATAAAGTCTGTTATCTTTATTATTTCCATTTTAGAGATGAGGAACTTGAGGTTCAGAAAACTGTTTATGACACTAKATTATTGCTGGAAACAATGTAAAAGATACCTTCCTAAAAGCTAAAAAAGTCTATCCTTCTCTACATCAGTTCTACCCTCTCTTACCCAGCTTTCAAATCTTTCCCAACATTTGGCCCTACCAACTATGTGATCTCTTTTATTCTCCATGAGGAATCATGGGCTTCATTCAGGAGTATTTCCTCTCTTCCCCTCCTCTCACCCTCCACTCAGACACCAGATGCTCCTTCCCACATTCATTCAATCCACCAACATTTGTGTAATATCAAGTATAAGTTCTGTAGGCACAAAAATAAACAAGACAAAGTCCTTACCTTTTATAAGGAAGCTCTACAGAATGATTTAAAATGCATGTTCTAATATATTTTGCGGTGTATATGTATGTGTATATCTGTGTGTTTTGTGTATATATACATACATACACATATATACACTATACATATGCTTATTTATTTAGTGAGAGTAAATGATCTTGAGTATATTTGGAAAGACTTTACCTTGATACCACTGATCCAGGCTTATTATTTAGCTCTTATTACCTCCCTATAGATTTAATGGAGACCTTAGCTCTTGGTAAGTAGAAGATGAGATTGCAGAATTTCTACCCATAAGGTTAAGCAACTCTAGAGGTTCAACTCAAACACCATACCTGTGGCCCACAGATGTCATAGATAAGGCGAGATAACAGCCAATGGGCATGCCAGCTTTCACAGCCTTCAAGAGAGGATGAAATGCAGGTGACTCTGTCATGTCAGGCACCATGCTGCAGAAGGGAACAGTTGGGCAATTCTGCTGTATTCCATAGTCATTTCTGTGCAGTTTTAACCTCAAGATCAAATTCCAGGCCCATTGGTTAAATGAGGTCTCAGGGGTTTCTCCATATCGAACAATACTGGCCAAATATGAAACCTAAAACAATTATTTGTTTTAAACCACATTAGTTGCACACAAATTAAATCAGTAACCTCATCTACTCATCCTTTTTTGTGATCAATAGTGCCTTTGAAAGAGAATATACTATTTGCTGCCCTACAATTAATGTTTGAGGTAATGCATTAAAGCAATTTCTCACTCACAAATAACCATTTGTACTTCCTTGCTAGTCAATTTGAGAATGTGATCAAAAGAGAAGTGATATAAAATATGATATTCATGAAATCATGTGCTGGTTAAAAAATATTTTTTAATTTAGTAATTAAGAATGAAAGGTCTTATTTAAGCAAAACATTTGCCAATTTGTGTGGGATAAAAACCACTATCAATTTCAAGCTACCAATAGTTTAACAATTGTTATGAGTTAGATATTAGGTGCCTCCCTAACACTCAGGCGTGAGAAAATGCAAAGTTTAGAGGTGAAATGCCTGGGTTATGAATCTTAACCTAATTAGTAGTTATTCCCAGACAGGGATTAACTGGATAGTAACTGTAGGCAGGTAGGGTGTGGCTGGAGGAGGTGGGTTCCTGGGGGCATGCCTTTGGGGTGTACATTTTGCCCTTTTGTTGAACAGAGCTCTCTTTGCTTCCTGATGGTCATGTCCTGAGGTGCTTTCCTCCACCACATTCTTCTGCCACGATGTTCAGCCTCACCTTGAGTCCCAGGAATGGAATCAGCCATCTATGGACTAAGACCTCTGAAACCGTGAGCCCCCAAATAAATTTTCCCTCCTCTAACTGTTCTTGTTAGGTCTTTTGGTCATAACAGTGAAAAAGCGGACTAAAATAACAATCTAGCTTGCAAAGTTTCTGAAAATTTAACAGTCAGTTCACCTAAGCTAGTAGAAGTGAGCTCCAGCATACATCACTGCTGCTCAACTTAAACTGTATAATACCAAAATGATCATAAAGGAGCTACTTTTTAAGAAAGAAGACTTTAACCATAGAAACCAATGTTAATATCTTAAACTGCCAGTGATGTTCTTAGAAAAATCTAAGGATCAATACTGTAGCTTCATATGCCCAATCTATTTGTAAACAAAAATTTATGTCTTCAATATAAAAGAGGAAGAAATACCTGCTTCATACTTTCAGAAATTAGCCCAGCATATGGCTTCTGTGCAAGGTACTTCTGATAAGCTTCTAGAACCATTAAGGCCACTTCAGAATGGACTGCTTGATCCAGATGAAGAATACCCTTTTAAAGAGAGAAATAATCACAAACATACCAACTTGACTTTTTAAAATACCTTTGACCCAAAATATAGACAGAATAGTAAAACAGGGTCTTGGATATAAAAACCAAATATTCTAAGCATTACATCCCCTAACAGTGAAGTTATAAATGACAAAAGGAAAAATTTTGAAATCTAAAGAGCAATTATACTGAACCAAGAGAGGTCTGAACCTGAGTCATTCCTCACCCCAGACTAAAACTGGTATCTTTGAATATAATCCTCCACCCGACTCTAGATCTCTACAAASATTGTGGTATAAGTTATAACTTAAGGGCACTGCCACAAACCAGGAAAATGCTTGATATTAATTAAAAAGGAAGACAACTAACAAATTAAGTCTACATTCCCTTTTTTGTTCCACTATCAATAATAATAAGATGTTCAATAATACAGATAAAGCATATAATCCTATAATCCCAGTGATTTAGCAGGCTGAAGCAGGGGGATCACAAATTCTAGGACAACCTCAGCAACTTAATGAGGTCCTCAGGAACTTAGTGAAACTCTATCTCAAAATTTAAAAATAAATATAAAAAAGGGAGCTGGGAATGGAGCTCAGTGGTAAAGCACCCCTGGGTTCAATTCCCAGTACCAAAAATAGTAACAATAATAACAACACAGATAAAACATGCTTCAAGAGCCTCAAGTAGCCTACAAATTTCCCACCCCATCTTCCTTTGCAGCTTTGAAAAAGTCAGTTCCTAACTCTTGCATAGAAGATGCTGCTCCCAATTCTAAGGCAGGAGGGAAGAGACTCTCACAGGGAAATCTTAATGCAGCTCTCTGGGGGGAGGGATCCTGGGGGCTCTGTTCACAAACARGAGAATGTGAAGGTGAAGAACAGCCCCTGATGCTTGCCCCTCTCCAGTCCCAGGAGGTCAGGGAGCCCCTGAGAGGAAAACTCCCTGGCTTCAGACTAAATACCAGGCATCAGATTAATGCAAAACACAAAAGACAACTGCCAGGATTAAATGACTTGCCCAGAACAGAGCTGGTTAAGAATTGTAGATGGCTGAGTTCTCCCCCATTTTTCTTTTAAGATATTAATATTTTTATCAAGGAGCTAACTAATAAGCCAATGGTAAAGAGATAGGAAAGGTTATGAAATAGACAAAATCACTTGATGTGGCATCTTTGGAGACATGATATCCTTAGTAATAAACTATTAATAATGACTATAACATCAAGTAATTAACATGTGCCAAAAACTGTCCTAAATGTTTACATGTCCTTACTCATTAAATTCTTCCAACAACACTATGAGGAAGGCCTACTAATTTCACTGTTTACAGATGAGCAACTAAGGTCCAGAGAATGCAGGAAGCTTACTCAGTGTCATACCATGAGGAAGTAACAGAACTGAAATTAGAACCCAGGCAGACTGGCTCAGAACTCAGGCTCCTAATTAATTGATGATGTTTTAGAAAACAACTCTGGCAAAGACATTCAAGAGAAATTACAGGAGAAAAACGGACCAGAGGCGGGGAGGCAAAAAGGAGTAAATGCAGTAATTAGCCAGGGATAAAACAACAGATATATGTGTTCTAAGGATAAATGGAAGAATTATCCATGTGGAAAAAATTTATCTTCATTTAGAAGATACTCATTCTGCAAAACAAAATTAAAGATCCTAAACTCCAATACAACTAAAAGAATGTACAGGGGGCTGGGGTTGTGGCTCAGCGGTAGAGTGCTTGCCTAGCACATGCAGGGCCCTGGGTTTGATCCTCAGCACCACATAAACAAATAAATAAATAAAGGTATTGAGTCCAACTACAACTAAAAAAATAAAAAGAGAAAAGAGAATATGCAGACTTTAGGTATAGTACTTGGAAATGTTACTGTTTTAAGAAAATGCTTCCCTGAAATTGAGGCTCATAGAATCCCCCATTTCTGGGGATGGTTTTAACACATACCTGTTCAGCAAATCCCCAGTTCAGTCCTTCTAAAATAACACAGGCCAATTTGTTCTTCACTGCTGTCAGGTTGTGATTCAATAACCAACCCCGAACCACAGCTAGCTCCGAAGCAGAAGGTCGCCAGAGATACAAAGGCAATTCTTTAAACAAGTATAAAGAAACCTTATTAAAAAGAAAACAATCATAATTAAAATCAGGATTTGGGGATGATCCTCTATTATCACAATGCATTATGACRCTGCCAAAATTTTTCTTCAAAAGAAAGCAGAGTTTCATTTGACTTTTAGATGAGTAAAATTGAAATTACAGATAATCAAATCAAATCAGTAATAAAATTTATGATGTACCAAAAGTATAAAGGTAATCTTGATAAAGATAATCTTTCAATATGTAAATCGGTTATGCTTCAATTTAGGTAAACCACCATGATAAGACACAAACTTAAAAATAATAAATCAAGGGATGGTCATTCAATTTATTTTTTAGATGTACTATAAATATTTATTCCATTTGTGGCATTTTAAAAGATTATTTCTATTTGTTTCAAAGCAGTTGTAGAGGGAGGTAAGGAGTGAATGGGGAACCAATGAAACAAGATCAATCAAGAATTTGACAACTTCATGTATAACTGGAAAAAAAAAAAAAGAGTTGATAACTGTAGAAACTAGATAATGGATACCCAGGGGTTCATTATACTACTCTCTTCTCTTGTCTGTTTTTGAAATATTCCATCACAACAAATTTTTAAAATCCTGTTTATAAAAAGTTTACAGCACTATTTTTTTAAAGAGAGAGAGAGAGAGAGAGAGAGAGAGAGAGAGAATTTTATTTATTTTTTAGTTTTTTCGGTGGACACAACATCTTTGTTTGTATGTGGTGCTGAGGATCAAACCCGGACCGCACGCATGCCAGGCGAGCGCGCTACCGCTTGAGCCACATCTCCAGCCCTATAGCACTATTTTAAATGACCTATCTATGTGTACAAAATTAATCAGTATTCATGTAATAAAGTTTTTTTCAAGGGAGAGTGATCAGAAGAGCCATTCATTTCATAATGTCTTCAACAATGCTGACCAATGGAAATACAATGCAAGCCATATGTGGAATTTTAATTTTCCTAATAGCCACATTTTTTTAAAAAATCAAAAGAAACAGGTAAAATCAATTTTAATATTTTATTTAAACTAATGTCCAAAATATTTTCTTTTGTTTTTTCATTCATTTTAAAATATTTATTAACTACCTATAAATTCTAGGTAAAAATGTTTATACCAACAATCTGAAAAACATAGTTTTCCTTCAAAGATTAATTAAAAGGGGAAATTTTCACATGATAAAACCATTATGATATTTCATATTTTAAGAACATTAAGTTATTTACAACTGCAAACTCATCTCTGTCAAGCTTTCCATCATGGTCAATATCACTCAACTCCCAAACTCTTCCAAGGATTTCCACAGGTAACTTAGAGTTGAGCAACACTGGCTTCACCTTATCACCAGACAAAAATCCATCCACTGGACTTAAACTATCAAAAATTGCATCATATTTGGCCTTATCTTCACTTTTAACAGCCCATGGAAGCTCAGCTGCAGGGGTTCCACTGGTTAGTAAAGGACTACTGGTATCATGAAATCTTGGTGGAGGAACAGCCAAGTTCAAGCTATTCAGTGAAACCTCCAGTCCATTCTGGGCACATGCTACAAGATGCAAAGCCACAAAGAATTCTTGTAGGGGAGGGGAGGGGGGATAGTAGAGGATAAGAAAGGTAGCAGAATACAACAGTTACTAATAGGGCATTATGTAAAATTGTGGATGTATAACCGACGTGATTCTGCAATCTGCATTTGGGGTAAAAATTGGGAGTTCATAACCCACTTGAATCTAATGTATGAAATATGATATGTCAAGAGCTTTGTAATGTTGTGAACAACCAATAATAAAAAAAAAAAAAGAATTCTTGTTTGCTCAGGATGCCTTTGCCATCTATGTCAGCTAAATCCCAAATCTTTCCAAGTATCAAGTCTGGAAGCCCTGACTTTTTCAGAAAAGCAGCAGCATCTGAAGCCAACAACCTTCCAGTATTGCCTGTATCAACCTGTCTATAGTATTTTTCATATAGGATTCCCACTTGATAACTGTGTCAGGGAGAGCTGGGCTGCCGCAGCCATGGTGTTTCCATCATACACAGGAGGGAAAGGAAGGACCTCCAAAATATTTTCAACATGAAAGTGCCACAAAAATTATTAAGATGTATGAAATTATTTTGTTCATACTGTCTTTCAAACTCAGTTAAACTAAGTAATTTACACTTAGAGCAATGTTCCGAGGCCTAGTGACTAGCATATCAGATTACACCAGAGGTTCTAGGGAATTACACAGATTTCACTAACAAAAAAAGAATGTGTCCTCTAAAGTAAGCCTATCTTTGAAACTCCGGAATGTCCCAAAGGCTTGATTCTCATTAACTTCTACCCTAACTCAGAGCAATCTCCACACAATGCTCTCAGGCTAGACCTCCAGAACACCAAGTTATTTTCTGATAGACCCCAAGGGTGTCAGTGGAAGTTCAGGACCCCAACCACAGCTCATTCCCAGACTCTGGAGCTAGAGGCTGAATTAAGATCAGCCCAAAGTAAAAGCCATCCTATTTATCTAATGCACAGTGGCTTGAATAAGTCCATCCAAAAACCTCAGCAAGTTCACAGAGCACAAGAGTACCACATTTATAAATGAACAATGAAGGCACCTTATAAATGTACTTTAAAAAACAATATGGTTCCAAGATTTACATTTACAATTAAGTATATATGGACATAATTTCCTACTAGAAGTATCATGGCCAAGTTGAAGATGTGTTGCCCAAAACAGAAAAACATTTGAGAGAAAACCATCATGAGCTCAATACAACTAAAAGAACCACATGACTTGGGTCTGGAGCTGTGGCTCAGCAGCACAGCACTCGCCTAGCATGTGGGAGACCCTGGGTTCTATCCTCAGCATCACATAAAAATAAATAAATAAAATAAAACTATTGTGTCCAACTACAACTAAAAAATAAATATTTTTTAAAAAAGAAGAAACACATGACTCACTATACATTTGTCTGGAATCCATTTCATTAAATCGTCACTCAAAAAGGTGTAACCAAAAAATTGCTGCTATATTGAACAGCATATAAAGGGCTTTTATTGCAATACAATCATCTACAAATATAATTGTGGGACACAATGCTTTTCTTAAAAGGAAAAGATGCCTTTTATTGCCATTATGAGGATGGTGGTTCCTCAAAAAATTAAAAGTAAAATTACCATATGGCCCAGCAATTCTACTTCTGGGTATATACCCAAAAGAACTGAAAGCAAAATCTCAAAGAGACATTTGTGCATCCATGTTCAACAGCAGCATTACTGATGATAGCCAAAAAGTAGAAGCAACCCAGGTGCCTATCAACAGATGAATGAATAAACAAAGGTAATATATAAATACAATGGAATATTATGCCTGCTTAAAAAGGTAAGAAACTGACAAAGACTACAACACAGATGAACCTTTAGGACACTGTGTTAAGTGAAATAAACCACTCCTAATGAACCACATACTTATTATCCCACTTATATTAAATGTCTAAAATAGGCAGACTGAGAGACAGAAAGCAGATTAGCAGCTGCTTCACGCTGAGGGGGAAGGAGGAACAGAATGATAGCTGAAGTGTAGGTGGTTTCTTTGTGAAGTGATTAAAATTCTAAAGTTGACTACGGTGACAGCTATATGTATCTGAATTTACTAAAAAACCACTGCCTTATACACTTTAAATAGGTGGATTCTCTGGTACATGAATTATCAAATAAAGCTGTTTTTAAAAACAATATGAAATTACAAAAGGGATTGCAATAAATGATAGAAATAAACAATATCTGTGTCCTGCTCAACTTAAATTACTACTTCTAATTTTGTGTTTGATTGTAAGATGGCCTTCTTAGTCAGTTGTTTCTTCCAAGTGTAAAATGTAAGAATTATGAAAGACAAACAAATTATGAGCCTGGCACGTAGTAACAGTAAATTTAGTTCTATTCATACTACTATGCCCTTAAGTGACATAGTCAAATCCAACAGCCTTCCTATTTTAGCCAATGTGCCATTATTTCATGATTAAAAACAAGATAAAAGCAAATAAAGAGCCAGTGCTCTTACCATTCCAACCTGGTCAATGGTCTCTTGAACTCGATCCAAAAGGATAGAAATTATCTCAGGATGAACAGCTGTAATGGCCCCCAAAAGCTCTCGACCAACCTTTGAAAAAGTCTCTCTGGTGGAGAGGGTGACATAAGATACCTAAAGGTAAATAGGAGGAGCAGAGTTAGCACTTTAAATAACAATTATCAATCAAAACACATTTCCATAGTTTTCTCAGATAAAACAGAAAGAATTCACATTGAGTCTCAGTTCACACCTTGTTCAAAAAGATGCCAGAAGGTTAGACAGCAAACTATCCACCAGAGGTTAGAACTCAGGAAGAGAGGGAATTCCTGAAAATGATAACATTTGTAACAATGACTTTAAGTACTGGATTCCTTTAAAAAGGAGGGTTCAGTCAGTCTCAGTGGCACTTACCTGTAGCCCTAGCTACTCAGAGGATGAAGCAAGAGAATCACTTGAACCCAGGAATTCAAATCTAGAATGGGCAACACAGTGAGATCCCATCTCATTAAAAATTTAAAAAAAAAAAAAGTAGATCCCAAAGTTTCTCAGTAACAATGAAACAGTCCTTTATGTCAAAACTTACTTAAACTTGAGGAAATCACTAAAATGATAAAAATCAGAATGTATTTAATGGAAATACACAATCCCTCCTCCAAAATCARATCCCTAAGATCCCTAACTGTAAGAGTTTTTAAAATATCAATGTTAAACTAACTCCTCTTTAACCACATCTTTCAAACTATATAACTCATTAATGCCAATAATATAATGAAATAGAACAGAAAGAATAAAAAAGAATAGAAAAATCTAAGAGTATATCACCAGAAAATTAATTGCTATTTCAATAATGCCCTCTAGGGTCAGAATATAATATAGAATATAGTTTTTACTGTGACTCATGGTCAAAACACTGGAAAACACTACTCAAGAGAATAAATATATGTTAACAATAGATCCCCGGAATGTCATTTAATGTATGTGAAAATATATCTCTTCGAATTTTTTTAGACTATAAAGATAGGAATTCCAGATCCATTAGTTTTAACCTCATGCCTGGTTACAAGTGTAAATGTAGGAACAGCTGAACAGAGTTCTGGAAAGAACTTAAAATCATCCAGGTCTGCCATTCTCAAACTGGAATACTGGGGGATAATAAACTCAGACAATCCTCTCCAAATATAGTTTTACTTGAGTACACTTGAATACTTTGAAGAAAGTATGATTTTTTTATTTAAAGAGATACACAATAGCTTAAAGTACAGAATGCACATGGCTTTTTGGATATACACACATCTCCAGTGGAAATACTGGCAGCCAGTTGGGGTTAGTCCCTAGACTCTTAGGGAATCCAAGTTCACTCTCCTCCATCAGCAGGGATTGCTCAGAAAAAAAGTGAAGAATGCAAGGATCTCATCCCAGTCTGTCATTTTGCAGATGAGGAAAATAAAGCCCAGAGTAGTAGTTTTCTTTTCTGATGTAAGATGGGTAATTAATAGTAGGGTCAAGCCAAAACTCAGGTTTTCTGATTATAGGTTCAATATTCTTTCAACCCTCTCATTTAAATTAGCTTGGAAGCCAGGTTTCCATGTTACTAGCAGGGATGAAAAAAGGAGTCTGACGAACAGTAAGGAAAACAGTATAAAAACTACAAATTCCAGGCTGTGCTAAATTGTCTACTCCTTATCAAAAGCCATGCATCAACTGTCAAGAGATAGTAGTGAAAAATGGCAGAGTATAATTCATGTTTTCAAAACTTTCTACAGCAAAAGGAAGCTCCTTTGATTCTCTATCTCCTTCTGAGTGCAGACAATAGCTCAATAAGTCATATTTTTTAAAAAAAAGCAACACCAAGCGGGGCACGGTGGCACATGCCTATAATTCCAGCAACTTGGAAAACTGAGGGAAGAGAACCCCAAATTCAAAACCAGCCTCAGCAACTTAGCAAGGCACTAAGCAACTTAGTTAAGACTTTGTCTCAAAATAAAAAATAAAACGGGCTAGGGCAGCTCAGTGCTTAAGCACCCCTGAATAAAATTCCCAGTACCAAAAAAAAAAAAAAAAAAAAAAATCAACAAATAACTCAAAGAAAAAAAATTTGCTGATTTATAAAAATAAATATTCTAACCTCATATATCTCCAGAACAATAATTTTTATGAAGTCTTCATCCACATTGGTTCTTCTGGCCTGAGCCATCTGAGCAAAGGTAGTCAGAAGACAAATCTCTTCCGAGCTATTCATAGAAGAAAGACACTTCTCAAAGTTCACAAAATGTTCTGGGTCTGCAGATTCATGTCAAGAAAATTAAAGTAGAGAGAGAAAAAAAAAATTCATGTGGTTTAATTACTCTTCTAAAGAGAAAGAAAATATAAAATTAAAAGATATTTTAAAACTTTAAAGATACAAAAGGTCTTTTTTTTGTTCTGAAATGGATTATACAGGTATCAGGAAAGAAGGCTGAAATTCCAGCAAACTAAGAGGAGGCATTTATCACCTCTAAGCCTCAGTTTCATCATCTGTCTCAAAATACTACTTAAAAAATTAAATGACATGCTAGCAGTTAAGTGCTTTACAAACTATAAAGCACTACTACTGCCACTAGGTAAGTCACCTTCCAAAGCAATACTACATAGGCTGGGGCAGAGCTCAGTGGTAGAGTTCTTGCCCACCRAAGTGACACTGTCAACGTCACAGGCATGCTTGAAACTACTGGATAATGACCAACCACAAAAATGAAGATACTCCTAATAAAATTAAGATTAACAAACTACTCAGCACAAACATGAGATTACAAATAAAAGTGATGGGCTTATAAGTGAAAATTAAGGATGAGATATTAGTTATAATCGTACCTGAAATACCCGTAAATGTAATAAACAATACAGAATATGTTTGCTAGTTCTGTGGATACTGTGTTACATCYTGTTGCTAGGAGGCAGTATTAACAACTTTGCAAGGCATGATAGAAATGTCTAGATGCTGCCAAGGGAAAATTTACAGAGAAAAGGGAATAAAGCTCATTTAGGAAATATATTCCTCTGATGGAACTTTTCACAGTAAGAAGGCAAAAAGCCAACAACTCTCTTCACATATTTGCACATTTGAGAAATCAAAGGTAGTTCACCAAATTTCCTGCAGTTTCAAATAACTCCTTGGGGCATTATCAAACCAATTTTCATTTCCTGTCCCCAAACTAGATTTATAATGGAAATTACTATACAGAGTGTTCTCAGAATAATAAAAAATTAGAAATCATTTAAACCTAGAATGTTTGAAGGTACAAGGGAAAAGCGTTACGTTTTTAAAGAATTCTATAAAAATAACAAATGGGTGAGATAAATTGCTTTCTAATTGGCTTTTAAAACATTAACTTTGGGCTGGGGATGTGGCTCAAGCGGTAGCGCGCTCGCCTGGCATGCGTGCGGCCCGGGTTTGATCCTTAGCACCACATACCAACAAAGATGTTGTGTCCGCCGAAAACTAAAAAATAAATATTAAAAATTCTCTCTCTCTCTCTCTCTCCTCTCTCACTCTCTCTTTAAAAAAAAAAAAAAAACATTAACTTTAAGGAAAACAACATAAACATATTTCTATATTTATCATCAAATTTGCATATAATTCTACTAGTGGTCATAGTGTTGATCACACTAGAAAGAAGGAAACAAAAAGAAGTTAAAATGAAACAAGCCAAGTTTTAACAATTCCTRCTGAAAAGTTCACTAGTTAAAATGTTAAAATTAACGGTAAAAATTTATTCTTTAGGAACTATCTGTGACTTGAGAATCACTTATAGCCATTAGGACAAATAAGAATTGGCTATAAAAAATAATTTGTACTGGGTGTAGTAGCACACACCTGTAATCTCAGGACTTCAGGCTGAGGCAGGAGGAATGCCAAGTTTGAGGCTAGCCTTGACAATTTAGCAAGACCCTGTCTCAAAATAAAAAAATTAGAAAAGGACAGGATATGCTCAGTTGTAAAGCACCCCTGGGTTCAATCCCCAGTACCAAAAAAATAAATAAGAATAAGAATTTATGATGTTTATTAATTATAAAATATAACAAAAAGGTAAAACAAAAAATCTTAGGCTTTCATAAACACAGTAAAAATCAAGTCTCTTAACAAAATTTGGGACATGAAAGATTAAGCAAATGAGAAGAGGCAAAAACAGCAAATTAGAGCAGGAAAGCCAAGTGTAAAGACAACCTCAAAGTTAGAACCTGATACGGTAGAGGAAACTATTTTGCTGCATCACAGTAACTCTGTGCCAGGTGATAAAGGCAGTAAGAGAGAAGATAACGTGCTACCACAGCCTGAAGTCCAGAGAGACAACTGCCAGCACAGGTCCTAAGCTCCTCAGGGAGGCCAGGCTGCTGCATAGCCTAGAATCACACACAGCATGGCTGAATATCTGCCACGGTGTGTAACACAGAGCCTCGAGGGTCCTAAGTATTGGATAAAGGGAGATGGAACTACAAAGGAGCCCTCGCCAAGACTAAACTGCCCAAATTTAACCTTCCAAGCCACTTCCAAAAGAAATGACTATTTTCTATGTTCACTATTGCACYCCCAGAATTAGCTGCCAGCGTGCAGACAAAGGCTATGAAATGTTCTCACCTCACTCCTTTGAAAGCCTATGTCCCACCATAAGAAGAATCTAATGCAACCATCTCCCCCAGGACAGTGCAGAAGCATTTTATGAAGAGTCCAGAGCTACCTCTGAACTAAAAACAACAACAAAAGAAACCCAGAGACAAAAGTGAATTCACGCAACACACACATACAAAAAAAAAAATTTAAAAATGGAGGCAAAAAAAAAATCATGAATGTTTGTAAGAGCTATTTTGCAAACAGTAAAGTTCAATTATTTTTATTTYACTTTATTTTATTTTTTGGTACCAGGAATCGAACCCAGAGGCACTTAACCACTGAGCCACATCCCCAGCAATTTTTTTTGGTGGTGGGGGGGGGGGTATTTTATATAGAGACAGAGTCTTGCTGAGTTGCTTAGGGCCTCACCAAGTTATTGAGGCCAGCTTTGAACTCACAATTCTCCTGCYTCAGCCTCCCAAGCCACTGAGATTACAGGTGTGAGCCACCATGCCCAGCAAAGTTCAATAACTTTTAAACCTTTTTAAATTTTAATATTTTTTCGTTGTTGGTGGAACAACATTTATYTGTTCATTTATTTATATGTGATGCTGAGAATCGAACCCTGTGCTTCACCCATGTGAGGCAAGCATTCTAGCACTGAGCCACAACCCCAGCCCTAAAACTTTTTAAACTTATGGTTTTCTTTTAAGTAGCATAAAGGTTTAAAATTTTGGAAAATAGAAGTAGTTTTTGGTATGTTCTGAAATCCTATTAATATTCTTTTATGTCTTCTACCATATATTTTTAATGTACACATTAATTATTTAAAAAATCATAACTATCTAATTAAATAGTCTGATTTTTCTCATTTTAACATTATAACAATAGCAAACAAACATCCTATAGTTCAGTGTTGGTGTAATATTAATCCTTAATTAGGTTTTCCCAAAAATTATTCTTAAAGCATAAATGTCTACCTCTTTACCTATTTCATAAAAACAATACAGCTTTAAAAAARAAAAGGCAGCAAAAAGAGTGTTARTGGAAAACTGTATACGAAACCTTAACAAATTTTCAGACAATATATGTTAATTTGACCTAAATCATTTCACACATGCAGAAAAGTGGTTCCAAAAGTAAATATTATATCAACTTAAACATTATCTGGGACTAATCAAATTTGGATTTCATTTCTAATAAATCCAAGCAATGAAGCAGTGTCTTGAATTTCAAAATCAATCAGTACACAAAGTAAAATACTCTCTTAGTCCCAAGGCAATGACAGAGAAGTGCAGGAAGTCAGGAGAGCTGGCGCTGCCTCCCCAGGGGAGGCTGTACCTTGGAGCTGCCTCTTGCACTCAGCCGGCTGGAGGGCAGGGCAGAGCTGCTGCAGGTTCCCACACTCCACCTGGTGCATGAGGTAGAAGAGCTTCCAGAGCATCTGAACTGACAACGTCCCGAAGGGCATTTCAGACATAAACAGCCAAATGCCAAGTCTGTGTGTTTTAAAAAGAGCAGGAATAACTTTATATATTATTCAGTTTCACCACACTAAGAAAGTGGAAACAAACCCTCAGCATTCTCAGGGGAAAAAAAATAAAGAAGAAAGAAAAATTCTTAAATCATACTGTCACAATTTTTCTAACATGGTCATAAACACCTCAATGATGCATAACAATAACAGCAAAACTCATCAAGCATTTAGTCTATGCCAGGTATTGTTCTAATGGCCATATCATACACATGATATAGGTTATGTGATATATGATATACACACATATTTGAATATTGCTTACTCAAGTGCTTGGGACCAAAAGTGCTTCAGATTTTTAATTTTTTCAGATTTTGGAATATCTGCACATAATAAGATATATGGGGGATGAAAACCAAACCTAAATATGAAATTCATTTATGTTTCATATGTATCTTATACACATATCCCTAACGGTAATTTTACATGATATTTTTGGTGCATTTAACTTCAACCTATCACATGAGGTCAACATGTCAGTGCTAAAAAGTTTCAGATTTTGGAGATTTTTTATTAGGGACACTCAATCTGCACATAACATCAACTCACTCCATCCTCACTAAAACCAGGGCAATAATTATTGGTGTTATCCCCAATTTACACAGGGGGTTCCAAAAGCCCAGAGAGAATAACAAAAGCCTGAGCTGCATTTTGAATCAAAGATCTTTTTAAGACAAAGGTGACAGGCTGCTACCTAATGTGGATATGTGTGTTAGGTGGCATACAGGAACGCATGTACACACAACAACATGGGCAGTGGGTGAGAGAAATCAAAACCATTCATGGCTCCTCAGTGGTTACCAAATTAAGTTGAAACCCCTCACTTTCACATCCAGTGGCTTCTACAATATAGCTTGACCCATACTTCCAAATAGAGCCCTCTGCATTCAGAACATTAGAGCACTTAAACACACTGAAGAGCCACCACATCCAGCAACATTCCTAAATTTTAAAACCCTTATAGTAAGACAACTTAAATAAAATTCAGTAAATACTTTGTAACGGGCACTAAGCACATACTCTCTCTCACTGTATTAGGTATCTAATGAAATTCCTTTAGGTATAAAATTCTTGCCCTGCCTACAGCTGCCCAAAAGTTCATGGATAGCAAAACAGAATTCAGACTTGAGTTATTTTAAGAGAAAAAGAAACCTAAAGCAGATATCATTTTGACCAACAGGGAATAAACTACAAGTAGGAACACTAAAGTCCAAGAATTTCTCTAAGAAATAGATGAAACAGACTAAGACATTGATCCATGTTAGTCACTGACTTTCTCTCTGCTCTTTCTTATTAGCCAAGAAGTTCCATAAAGTATCATGTCTTACCTTTTGGCTTTCAGCACATGTAGGACAGCTCTCAAAAACAGCTCATCAAATTCCACCTGTAGTTTTTCCAAGGAGTAGGGCTGCAAGGCTGATCCCAAGCCTCCACTGTGGCTCACATATTGTGCCCAATGGTCACTCACRTAGCCAAGGGTCATCCTGAGCAGGAAGAAAGAAAAGACCGTACCTTTCATTCATTCACTATCAGCATCCTCATAATACATTTGAAGTTTGTGCACATATTGATTGAGCACCTATCATCTTCCAATTCTGAAGGTAGCATAACGGGCAAAATAAAACCCCTATGCTCCAGGAGCCAACTCTAGTGGAAGGCAAACAGCCCACAAAATAAAGTGAAAGAGTCTATCACAAGGTTGAAAGTGGCACTGAGAAAAATAAAGAAGGAGAGGGAACAGGGTATGTCAGGAGATGGAGGGGCGGCCAAGGGAAGGGGCAGCTGGGAGCTGAAGAGGCCTCACTGCGGAGGGCCATTCAAAAAACCATTCTACAATTACAAAGTATGAGAGGAATCTGCAATCAACACAAAGAAAAGTAATCAGATGGAAAAACAAAAGAATAATCACAACACCCTACAATAATAACACATGGAAATACTTGCATAATAATGTAAGGAGTGAACATTGATCTTATAACAGCAATAATAAGATCTTTCCTACAGTTATTAAGAGAATAAAATAAAAAGCCACAGTCTTGGCACATAGTAGACATGCAGTCATACGTTATATATGTGAGCTGAAGAACAAATTTTACTTATTGCCTTATTTATCAAGAAGGATCAGAAAATGAATGAAGGGGTGGATTTCTAACAAAAACAAATAAAGACAGGCTTTCAGCTTTTAAGAAATTACTCTCCAAGTCACCAGCCATCCCACTTCCCACAATCTCACTCTCCTTACTCTGGACCAAAGACTTGCTTCACACCTGAAAAATGGGCCCATGCTTCAAAGGTATTCTGCAACCTTTACCTAGCCTCATAGAGTTGATGATTACATATCTAAARTAAGTGAATTAAAATTAATTTTGATTTGGAAACAAAAGGAGAGAAAGGGAGAAGTTTTGTAGCTTTATGGAGTTTTTTTTCTGGAGGGAAGTAGGTGGAAAAAATAATAGCCCATGTGGTGTGTGTGTTTGTGTGTGTGTGTGTATGTACATATACGTTTATACACACACACACACACACACACACACACATATAATGTATAGGCACATACATATATGAATAGATCAAGCAAATATTTTAACTGGGAACATTTATAAAATTCCCATCTGGTAGAAGGAATAAAAAATAATTCTTACTTTTGTAAGAACTAAGAGCTAAAATGTAAAATGCCCATCATCCCAACTATGCAGTACTTTTGTTTTACTAGAGTGAAAGCAAAGAGATGCACAAATGCAGTATACCTGATCATATAACCAATCCGCTTCACGAACTGCCTATAGCGTGCTCTGTTAAAGGTTTCTAACCCCACAGCCAGAAGTTCGACTAATGAGTTGGCAAAGGCAAAAATTTTCATCATCTCTTGAGGTCTTGTTGTTTCAGGTAAATAATCTCCTGGAAGTCAATCAGATAAAAGAAAAAATGGTAATTGGTATTAAAAAAATGGTGAAGGATACAGGCCTAAATATTTAAATAAAAAAACAAAGCCAAGATGGGGAGGAATTAACAATACCATCACTCTGGTTCCTATGTCAACACAAATGGGCAACTYGAGACAAAATACAAAATTAAAAACAATTCATTAAACTGGGCAACATGTGAACTAGCCATTTAAGCACTAAGTGGGAAATTATAAGCACAAGACAAGGGCAGTATGGACTAGGCAGGCACAGGAAAATCTGTAAAATCAGGAGCCAACAAAAGAAGCAGGACTTGACACTTGAGCTTGCTACTACTATATTTTCTTTATGACAAAAGAAGTTAGTCTACCATTTGCTTTAAACCCAAGAAGATGTTGAAAGAGTTCATGGAATGGAAACTGTGAAAAAAGGATAACCAAGTCATCTTCATTAAGGAGAATCCAACTAGTCTCAGGATCTTCATCCTAGGAAAAAAAGATGCAAAGTCACATCAGTTAATTTGATCTGATCATACTGTGGTCTTGAGTTACAGGAGCTAAATTATCACAGGTCTCCATGGCACACATACAGTATGCTCCTGAATCCTCACAGACTTTTCTTCTAGGACAGAGGGTTACAGGGTCGATTTCACAGGTAGCCTGTAAATCTTCTGAAATTACAAGCATAATTTTATATGTATCTGGGTTATATCCATTCTCCAGAGGCTGAAAGAGCTCTCATTAAATTTGCATCCCAAAGAAGACTAAAAAAAAAAATTCCTCCAGAGTGGGGACCTTACGGCATGGCTCAGTGCTTTGACAACATCAATTAAAGAACCGAGTAGTAGAGTTCAAATTATTTTAGCTACAATTCTCTTTCTCCCAAAATCAAGGTCTACAGCTCTACTCACAGACTTATGGGGAACCAATTAACATTTGTTACAGATGACTTAAGTCGGCTGTCAATTAGTGCTACTGACAGCAGGATAAAAATAACAGTGCTCACACAGAGTAGGGGATATCTGAGCCTCCAAAACTGAGCCTCCAAAACTCCAACCTGTTTTTAAATAAAACTAGCTTGCCTCAAGTATTTCATTACAGTATCACAAAACAGACTAGTACAGTATCCAAATGGTTAACAAATAAGAGTCTCAGAAACTCTACATAAAACAGATCTCAATTCTGGCAGTATACAATAATCACCATGCAAGCTCTAAAACATCTTGATGTCTTAGTGTGGGCCTGAGCAAGGTTTACAAGTTGACCGTGATTCTAATACAGAGCTAGTACATAAAAACCACTGATATGGATGATCCATAGAGCCTTTCTCCCTACAGCCTTTTCTGATTAAACAAAACTTTCTCATAGACTCCATAAATTCCTGAATTCACTCAACATTTAGTGAGTTCTAACCAAGAGCCAACTATTAATGCAGGGTCCTTAATCATTATCTGTCTCTGAGATTAAATTCAGGAAACCTATCAGAAAAGAAGACTACTCTTTTAAGAAAGAACACTCTAGAAATAATAATAATAATAATATATATATATATATATATATATATATATATATATATATTTTTCTACTCTACTCCTTAAAAGAATAATTTGTACCAGCTCCTGGGAAGCCTCTTGAAGATTTTTCAGTCTCTAGCAAAGGTGTTTTCAACCATCTACATTACCTACCACTACCAGCTACAAGTCTCAGGAATCAAACAACTGTGAAGAGGGTAGGGAGTCCCATTCTGAATGAGCACCTGAGGACATACACTTACAATCCACAGCTGCCATGGCTCTCCATTCTGAGAATTGTACACTGCAGACCTGTCTCCCTCTAAAGATGGATTTAGTAAATCTGGTCAATGGAACTACTACGTAAGAACACCAAATCAGGATTCAGACCAGAAAGAAGCACTAGAGCTGAAAATGAGCTGAAGTAAAAATTCCTCACCCATACACTAAACATGCATACAGCAGAATGAAAACTTAACAAGCATTATCTCAAGAAGCTGAATTTTGATCCTTAAAATCTCATCAAACATAGAAAACTAGTTTCTGCCCTTCGCATGAGAAGATCTGAATAGGCTGTCTATAATAAGTTAGAGTCTTAGCTCTTCATTATTCAGACTCAAGATTATCTGTAAGCAAAACTTCCCAACTCCAAGAACCAGTTACTATATAMAAGAAAATTCTAATATAAATTTCACATAGTCTGGCTCTATTTCATTTCCAGGTTCCAGATCTTCCTATCCAAACAGAAGGATACTCTAGAGAAGAATGAAGGTACAGTACATGGGCTCAAAGCACTGGCTCTCGAGGCTCCATATTTAATGACCATTCAATCTGGGATGAGTTACTTTACYACATGCACCTCAGTTTCCCATCTGTAAAACGAGGATCACAACAGTACTTACCTCACAGGGTTGTTGGGAGAATTAAATAATGTGAAAAGTGCTTATTTCTAGCACAAAAGAATTCAAAAATGATGAATTAAAATAATGCAGACATGGTTACCTCTTCTCCTCCCTCATCCACGAGTGTCCAGGTCCCAGATGCAGGCCCTGAAGAGGATGACTTCCACTCACTGGGCTTCATGTGGCACATGAACTCTGCTCGATTTCTACAGGATGGAAATTACTCCAATCACATAAACATAGAAAGCTCCACAAGTACATTCTGGATCATCTTTATACCCTAAAGAACTTTTGCATTAACCTAATTTTTTAAATATTTTTAGTTATACATGGATGCAGTATCTTTATTTTATTTACTTTTATGTGGTGCTGAGGATCAAACCCAGTACCTCACATATGGGAGACAAGCACTCTACCACTGAGCCACACCCCAGCAGCCTAACCTAATCTTCAAACAGTTTAAATTAKTCAATGAGAAATAAGACCTGCTGATAATCAAAGACACTGAAACCCACCAGGCACAAAGGGACACGCCTGTAATCCCAGCTACTAAGGAGGTCGGGGCAGGAAGACCACAAGTTCAAGGCCAGCCTCAACAACTTAGCAAGACCCTGTCTCAAAATAAAAATTAAAAAAGGAATGGGGGTGTAGCTCAATGGCAGGGCACTAGCCTAGGAGGCATGAAGTCCTGGATCCAATTCCCAGTACCACACACACACACACAAAAAAAAAAAAAAAAAAAAAAAAAAACTAAAACTTCACTGCTTTTGGTAGAGACACCACAACCATTCTGAATTAGCAATGATGAGCAATTGCAGAAGAGCAGTTACAGCAGCATAACTCACAGTTCAGAAAGCCTGCTGCAGCACCTCCACTCAAACCAGGCTTAAAAGTGCTGCCAGGGAAATGCCTTACTGAACACAAAAGGGCAACCCTCAGGTAACCTACAAACTTGCTTAGGGCCCAAAAGTACACAAAAATGCAGAAACACCTGTGTGCCAAAACATACTAACAAATGCAGAAGCGGCCCCCCACGTAGGCAGTGAGAGCCAAAGTTGGGCTTCCCCAGGCTGCTGGCTGCATTTGAGGAGCAAGATTAACCAAAACTTTTCTTCTCCTCAGTCCTTTGTTCCTCTCTCTGCATACTCACTCAGTCCTCTTCAACAAAATGTTTTTCTCACAACTTGCAGCTCCACACCCCTAGTGCTGGCCTTTCAATAGGACAAGCTCCAGTCCTGGACTCCAGCTGCCCACAGTATGAAGTACTTATTCATGACCACCTGTACACATCAATGACCTCAAATTTTTGACCCTAGAAAATAGCTCTGCTTTCTGTATTTTCTATCTGTTAGTGCTACCTACACCCTCCTGGTCACCTGGACTAGGAAGTTGTTATGGCTAACCCATTCCTTCCCCACATTCTTTGTTTAATCAACTAGTAAATTCTTTCCCAGGAAGATGCCCTTTAGGTTGCCCTCCTCTGTCACACTGCCATGACCCKGATGCAGGCCCAGAGGGAGGTAGGCTTTCCAGGACTCAAGAGCAGGTAGAAGTAACACTGCTCAAGGCCACCTACACAAGGACACCTCCATGGTGGGGGTTGAGTTCCAGAGCCAGGAGAGCCAGATGTCTATAACCACCCAATTAAACAGAAGCACATACTTTTCTTCTGACTCCTGACTGTCCTAATCTTCCTCAGATACAGCTCTTACTCATACTAAAAAATCCTCCTTGCTACAAAGGACAGACCACACTGAATCTAGATTCCTCAGTCTTAATTTCAAAGTCTTCTATCTTCCAACCTCCACCTCCAGCTATTTACCTTTAAAAAAAATTGTAGTTGTAAATGAACATCATGCCTTCATTTTATTTATTTTTTTATGCAGTGCTAAGGATCAAACCCAGGGTCTCTCACATGAAAGGCAAGCAGTCTGCCATTGAGCTACAGCCCCAGCCCCGCAGTTATTTACCTTTTATTATCTTCTCTTGCACATGCCTTCACCCCAGCCCAGCTGATCTGCCTGTCCTCTGTACAATCACAAGACCTGGGGCCTTTGCTCACAGTGTTCTCCTCACTTACAGATCTCCCAGTGAAAACCAACCTATTCTTTCAACTTAGCTCATCCACCATGGAACCCTCTTTGACTACTCCACTCAGCTCTAATCTCAATGTTTCTGCTGCAGCAACCCAATTTGGCATTTATATCTCTTGTGTGTGCCCCCCCTACCCCCACACAAGATCTTCTTCTAAGGAATATATCATCTCTTTTAAAGTCTGTGGACCTTTCACAATGACACATACAAGAGAAAAACTCACTCAAAAGAAGAACCCAAAAAAGGTTAATAAGCAGTTAAAAGGGTCATTTTGGGGCCATGGGCATCAAACCCAAATAAAATCTGCAATGTTAAGTTCTAGGCTAACACTTCTCTTAGCAGTTCTTCTTTGCATCTGGACAGATAAGGAAGCCAGTCCTTTGACAGAAAGAAGTCTTTCAATTTCTACTTCACAAAGTTCTTCCACACTTACTTGACAGGAGACATCAGTAGGGCAAGTGACTGCATAAAATGAAAGACCCCTGATGGGTTATTCAACACTTTGATCTGAAATTGGAAAAGGAAAAAGCATAGTGTAGAAAATCAATTCAAGTGTTCATAATCTTAGTTCACAAGCACTCTAACAATGAAGCTGCTGTCAAGAGAACAAAACTGAAACYGGCACCCAATCCACGAGAACAGACACAGCTCGCGGGTTATGGCACCATCTCAGCTGTGCTCAGAGGAGAGAAGCTGAGCAGCTGAATCAAATAGCTGTAACAACATGGGATGTTGGAAGTTGTTAAGGCTGACCCATTCCTTCCCCACATTCTTTGTCACTATTCCAATCCAAAGAGACACAAACAAATGCAAAAAAATCCTCCTTCTCTTTAAAAAGATTCAGACTACTTGCCACTAGGAATACTTAAGGAAAGGAAATATGGACAAGTTGAACTTGCCATACATTTTGGCTCCTACCCATCTACCCATTTTATTGCAATGAGCAATAAAATGACCCAAAGGCAAGCAGCTGAGAGGAGAAAGTATAAACTGAACATGTAACTCCTAAATAGGTGAGGGTTGATCATACAAGCCTGAGATCTCTGCTAGTATGCTGGTGAATTCTGTTTGACCTGCACCAACTAGGATAGGGTGTGATATGGATTAATGCAAAAAGCTGCATGGAGTACAACAGAAAAGATAATTCTGAAATGCTTTCTGCACAGGAGTTTTACAGAATTAACCACTACTGATGCTACCAAGCCAGGCTACAACTGAACTTTTGCAATTCCATCACAACTACATCAACTGTGGGTGACCCAAGAAGTTTTGGCATAATAACTCCTTCAAGTATATACTATTTTAAAATTTTTACTTTAAATATAAATAACTCTAAATAGCCTTTTAAAGCAGTTTCTTCAAGAAAAAAAATGTCTAAGAAGACCCCTTCCCACTCCCTCAGCATCAGGAGGCACACATCATACCTGGATGAAAGGAACAGCCCACTTACTAACTCCAGCTGGGCATCGAAGAATATGGTTCAGGAGAAAGAGGTGATCTCCAGGACAGCCAACTCTTTGTAACACTGATACCTGAACAAGAAAGGACTCATGGCTTCACTAGTTTAAAAAAATTATCTAGAGCTCTAGCAAAGTCATTCACCCAATGTTAAAGTACATGCAATCTTTTTKTAAAAAAATATTTATTTTTTAGTTTTAGGTGGACACAATGTCTTTATTTTTTATTTTTATGTGGCGTTGAGGATCAAACCCAGCGCCTGCGCATGCCAGGCAAGCTCGTTACTGCTTGAGCCACATCTCCAGCCCCCAAGTACATACAATCTTTAAAGAGTAGCCAGACATAAGATAGACTATTGAGTGAGTTTCTCCCAGAGGCCTATGAATCTATAAGCTCCGTGATAAAAACATCCTAAGTAGTTTTCATGCAGTCTAATTTTTATTTTCTGGCAAATTAAAAATCACTAACATTCCTGGCCACATGTCAATTGATGTGCATCAAGTCATTTAATCTATTCTTAGTTAGTAATAGTTTCCCAAAACCAAATATATATGCTTGGAACATCACCTCAATTTCAAGAATTCTAGAATGAACCTAAAAAACACATACACAAGGCAGCCAGCCCCACTGAAAAAGAGAATCGATTAACGAACACCCACTCCCTCTGTAATAAACCTAACATCATTCCTAAATTCTCCAAATCCTGATACACTTCTTCTTTCTCTTGAAGGTTTTTTTTTCTCTTTAAGTTTTTTAAAGCCACTTCAATGGTGCATACCTGAAACCCAGCTATTTAAGAGGCTGAAGCAGGAGGATCACAAGTTCAAGGCCAGCCTGGGCAACCTAGCAAGACCCTGTCTCAAAATAATAATAAAGGGCCAGAGATGCAGCTCAACAGCACAGGACCCCTGGGTTCAATCCCCAATACCAAAAAAAAATAACAAGTTTTTTAAGTATGACTTCAATTTTAAACATACAATGTCAAAAAGAATTAGCTACAGKGGACTGGGATTAGAACTCAGTTGGTAGAGTGCTTGCCTTGTATGCACAAGGCCCTGGGTTCAATCCCCAGCCCCCAAAAAAAAAATAATAATAAATAAATAAATATATATATATATATATATACATATATATATATGAAAAAAATGCTCAATAATGCACTAGATAAATACTTATTACCACATTTATGAGAGAGAAAAAAATGCTCAATAATGCACTAGATAAATACTTATTACCACGTGTCATGATCAAAGAAAAGTTTCTTAAGTTACTAGGGAAATAAAATAAAGATTGCTGTGTCTACTTCTGTTCCCTTACCAATTTCTGCAGCCAGAGAAGAATATCCTCATGGAACTGAGTATCTTCATTTACTCTCCTCGTGAACATGAATAAGACACTAATACACTCCTTCAACTGACACAGATCAGAAGGAACGCTGTCTATCTGTTTAGAAGCTATAAATTAAAGAGAGAATTAAAAGTGTTCCCACATGAATGGCATTTTATGGGAGGAAATTTTTGGAATCTTTGCTTAAAACAAACCAAACTATTTAAAATATTTGATRCAGATAAAAATCCAAAGAAAAAATTCTATCAAAATATCTTAATTTCATAAACCAGACTCAAAAAATCAAGGGTCAATGTTCGCTCTCATATGTAAAAGCTAGAGCAAAGGGCAGGGGGCAAGAAATTAAGGGTAAAAAGCAGGACGGGAGTGGGGGTAGGCTGGATATCATAAAGATATAGGGAACACCAGTGGCATAGAAGGGTTGAGAGGGAAGGAAGAGGAACAGGAGAGGAAGAAATGCTCAATAAAATCTGACAAAATTAAACTATGTGCACAGATAAACAGTGAATTCCACCTTTATGTATAGCTATAAAGCACCAATTAAAAATGAATTTAAAAAATGAATAAAAGGAAGACCAGTAGAGTAGAAGAAGGGGAATGGGAGAGAGAAAAGGGAAGCAGGGACACTGGGGACTGAAATGGAGTCACTTAAATTAAATTTGTCAAAATGAACCCACCTATATGGATAATTATAATGCACTAATAAAAGCAAAATGAAAAAAGATCTTAATTTCAGGGCTGGGGCTGCAGCTCAGTGGCAGAGCACTTGTCTAGGATGTGCAAGGCCCTCGGTTCAATCTCCACATCACCAAAAAAAAAGAAAAAGAAAAAATATTTAAAAATTTTTACTAAGTAGTTGAGTATTTCAAAGCAAAGGAAACTCAACTCTATCACAATGTATTAGTTCCTATTTAAGAACCAGCAGATCTCTGGCCTACCCCCAGCTCTTGGCATCCCAAACAAAAACTACATAACTCAATAAGCATATTTAATGCTTAATATATCATATGGCTAAGGCTAATTTTTTAAAACCCAACATAAGATAAAAAATTCAGAACATTATATATCTTCTGCTAAAAATTAAATAAAACAACCCAATAAATTAGACAAGCAAAAACAAAGTGGAAAAGACGGAATGAAAAAAGTATTAGTTTTATATTCAAGCTTTATTTGGACTCCACTTGGTAACAAGCACTAGACTAGAACCCCAAGAGACATTACTGGTAGAGAGGGAGCTTTCTGGCATCCCACAGAGGCAGAAAAAGGCAGCCATGGGGAAGGGAGGCCTAGCCCTGCTCCCAAGAAATATCATTAAGACCGGACTCCATCCTACACCAGAGGAGGCAAGATAAAACTGCAAATGCAAATGATTCCTTGTTAAGACCAATCAGCACACAGTTAATTCAACCACGTTATACACCTCAGTTCTTTTTTCCATTTTAGAACCTAAGAAAGAGAGAGACCTTCAATACTTACACACCTCGGCCTTGCTGGTGAACTGCTAAGGACCTCAGAACAGCTGAGCTATTGAGCAATGAGTAGATATAAGACTCCACTTGCAACCTTGAGAGCACAGAAGTGTAAGAATGAAGGGCCAGGGTCTGGTGGAGGTGCTCACATTTGGCATCAAATAGCTTCTTCAGCTCCCCCAGTGCATTTTCATTCATCTCTACTCTCTGGTATCGATGATAGCCAGAAACTTTCACTTGATCTGCACAGATACCCTATCAGTGGATTAAAGGGTAAAATATGAAAACTGTTACTCTGCATTGAAGCAATCAGGCAGCAGGTAGAAGATACACAGGCTTCAGTACCATTTTCAAAGAGTTCATAATGGTGGTGCAGGGACAATGATACTGTGTAAAAAATAACACAAGCAAATACACCACCATCTGCCAAAGAGTATAAAGCAATCACGAGTTCAGAGATGGACGGAGTAACCCTAAGTCAGTGGGGAAAAGTGCAAGAAAACAATAGAGCCTGTCCCTAAGACTCTCACATGATTTTACCTTCTATTTAATGAACATTGAAGTCAACGTGATGTCCCCTTGACCTCAAAATCTCTTTGGATCTAGCCCCATTCTTCTTTGTGTTCAAAAGAAACCACCCTCCTTCTTCAATACTAACTCCTCCAGCTGTGTTCTTGTTTCTATCCTTTCTTTTTCAATATTTCCAATGTTTCTCTCTCCACAGTCTCCTTCCTATCCTCAAAGAAAGTTACCCAAGTCTCCCAGTGAATGAGGGCTATGGAATTAGAAATCACCTGTTTCTCCCCTAGTACCTCCTCCTGCTTCCCTCCAAAGTCAAGCTTGTCAAGACTGGAGTGGTCTTCTCTTCCTTGCCATCTCTCCAAGGTAACTATGAAATGGATTTCTTATGGTCACCTTGGACTCCAAAGGGTTACATCTAATGGACTTCCCTGTTCTCAGCTCCTCTCAAGCCTGATATTCTCCACCCATTGAATGTTCATGGGATTATGTCAAAGATCTCAAACTAATGGTCCATGGGCTGAATCTGACCTGGACACATGATTTGCTGTGGCTTAGACTGCACATATGTTCATGTGTTTAATTAAGTGCCAACACTGCCAATTAGGATCCTTCACACAAAAATGTGGGTTTCTAGCTTTTCTGGTAAAATCGTGAAGATGTGGCAATCTTGGACCATCACACCCTCAAAGCTACAATCAACTAGAACTCCAGGACAGCTGCCCCCTTGAGACCAGGCACAAGCTTTCCCAGTAACCACTGTCCCACTCAAAAGCTTCATTCCCACAGGTTATACATYTGTCCCTGTAGTATGTGACCTTGTGATCCCTGTATTGTCAACACTCTGGGTTAAGACAGGATCAGCATGGGTATGCAGGCCCGGATGGCATCAAAAGAATAGCAGGTCCACTGCAAATTCCCCAGGCTCTTGAAAGCTGTACAAAACAGTAGGTAAAATACCTGTACAGACAGCTGTTCCTCCTTAAAGTGCCAGAGTCGGCTTTTAGCATTTTGGCAATCAGACGTCAGAGTAAGTAGTTCAGCTTCAGCCAGCAGCAACTGCTTCCTACATCGTGAATAGTTCAAAAGTAACTCATAAAATTCATGCCTGTCCTGATGAGCCAAGCTGTCAAATTCTTCTAAATATGACTCAACATTCTCTAGCCATGAACCAGGCTCCAAGATTTTCAGCTGTTCTTTAGTAAATGGTACCAGTTCTGGCTGAGATGGAAGTTCTGGATAGAGTCTCTCACTACAAAGTAAGGGTTTCACTGCCACCAAGGCTGGCGCCTCTCCAGCAATTTCGGTTGGCAACTGGGGATACAGTTTCTTCACTCTGGGTAGCTGAGACACTTCTCTGGCTTCATAASAACTCTGAAGACCAACACTTTGAAGCATCTCTGAAGAACAGCCCAGGGCTTGTTTATCTTCTTTCCTATTCTGAATTTCTCTGATTTGTATATTTTCTATTTCCTGATGAATAGAAAAATCAGAATGCAGTGTGCTTTCTGAAGGTCCACATGGTACCAACGTGTTTTCCTCTACTTCTGTAACACTCTTGGGGGTTTCTACTTTAGTTCCAACATTGTCTCCTGAGTTCACCTTCAGCCTGATTTCATCATTGTCATCCCTAATGTAAGTTCTGGACTCTTCCCCTTCTTTAAGGGACTGTGTGTTACATGTCAGGGATCCTTCATTGCCTAGAGTCAAGGAGGTGAGTGGTACATCAAACATTTCACTTTCATTTTGTCCACTGGCATCACTATTGAGCTGGGATTCAGTTAACACCTTTAGATAGTCTCCTTTGAATTCACAAGCTAGAGTAGGGATTTCCTGCTCTCTGGAGGTTTTTGGAAGAGAGATTTCATCAGACTCCTCCGTCCGAAGGGTTTCATATTTCTTCTTTTCCTAAAAGCAAGATTTATAATGTRAAATAATTTATAACAATAATTGATGTGTTTAGTGTAAGGAATTTTGAAGCCTAAAATAAAATCTAAATTTTATCATTTAACAAACAGATTCTAAATTCATTTCATAATGGATGTATTTCATTTTTTATATTACCTAATTTTGAGTGAGCTGAATTTGCAGATTCACTAATCTAATCCGAAAAGAAAGCTATCAAAATAAGCAGCAAATTATGATCTAAACATGAAAGAAGAAAGTCTTAACTGGATTGTCCACCATTCTTTTTTTTTTTTTTAATTTGAAAATAGTCTTTTTTTTTTTTTTTATTGGTTGTTCACAACAGATTGTCTATCATTCTGCTAGAGGTTAAGTAAAACAAAACAGTCTCCAACTATCTTAGGCCACCAATATGTTTGTCTTCATCTTCATAAACATGTTAACTCCAAACTCAACCAGATGGGCTCAGACCACTCAAGCACCAAATCAAACAACCACAGTATTAGATTACAACCTACAGAATAAAATAAATATCCATGAGCCCATACTGACATAATTACCTGGATAAATAAATATGTAAACAAAATTGGTGGGAAGTGAAGCTCTTCCATATAGAAGAACTCCAATAAATATAGAAGAAATCAGTAAACTTAGTAGAAATGCAAAAAAAAAATAGGAAAAGACCATTAGGGAATTAAAGTATAAGCTCAATGGTACAGCAACTGCCTAGCATGTGTGAGACCCTAGATTTGATCTCCAACACCATAAAAAAAGGAAAAGAAAATCACCATTAGAACGCCATGATTATATTAGTCCATTTTCCACTGCTTTAATAAAATATGAGAGAGTAGGTAATTATAATTTATTTAACTGACAGTTTTAGACCTTCAAAAGCATGAAACTGGATCTGGTGAGAACCTCACACTGGCTCATCACATAACAGGAGCCCCAGCAAGAGCAAAAGATCACGTGGTGAGCCAGAAGCCAGAGCCAGAGCCAGGCTCACTCCTTTTATAACAACCTTYTCTTAATTAACAACCAGGGTCCCACAAAAACTACACCAAGGACACCCTACTAGGTCCTACCTCTTAAAGGTTGCATCATCTCCCATATCACCACGTAGGGACCAAACTTCCAACACATAAAACCATGTCCAAACCACAGCAATGGTAGTAATTGCAAGATTGACCAATGGATGTTAAAGTGAGTAAGCAAGAGCTTAACCAGGAACAGGTCATTTGCATATCCTCAAAGCATCTCCTCCCAAATATTTAGTGATTACAAAGGGAAAATGATATATTTCARTAGAAAACTCTGGCAAACAAAAACTTAACCAAATAACCAAGGTTAGCATCACTAGTAATACATAATACCATTAGATATTCACTGATAAAACATCCCAAGAAGAACTATTGCTTAAGTGATGTCCTACTACAATCTCAATCTATCATGAGAAAATACCAGATGAAAACCCAAGCTAAGGGACAATCTACAAAATAACTTAAGTGTTATGGTCATGAAAGATAAGACTGAGTAACGGTCAGATAGAGGCAACTAGAGATAAAACAACCAAACACAATTTGAGATCCTGGACTGAATCCTGGAACAGAAAAAGGACTTTAGTGCATGTATTTTTAAAATCCAAATGTGTCTATATTGCACTAAAGTTAATATCTTGGTTTTGATAAATGTTCTGTGCTATAGAATGTACAGTGATATAAGATAATAACCCAAGTGGATGTTGGGTAAAGAGCATATGGACTCTCTGAATTATATTTACAACTCTCCACTAAGACCAAAATTATCTCCAAAAAACATAAAAATGTTAACCATTGAAAAAATAAAACAATGGTTTAAAAAAAAATCTCCAGCATTAATACACCAACTAGGTAACATAGGAGGCCCAGCTGACTAACAAGAAAAAATTATGGAAAAATTTTAAGTAACTGTTAAAAAAAAGTTGCTACATTCAAACAAACTAAAAACCTGACTAAAATTACTCAAATCTTCCTTTGGCTATGAAATTTTAAGGAAGAGCGTTATACAAGTTGTCAGTATTTTGTTTTGTTTTTGGTACTGATGATTGAACCCAGGAGTGCTCCACCACTGAGCCACACTCCTGCTCTTTTTTATATTTGATTTAAAGACAGGGTCTCAYTAAATTGTTTAGGACTTCACCAAGTTGCTAAAGCTGGCTTTAAAACTGTAATCCTCCTGCCACAGCCTCCCAAGCTGCTGSGATTACCAGTGTATACACTGTGCCTGGCTTTATTTTTTAAGACAGGGTCTCACTAAGTTTCTCAGGCTGGCTTCAAACATGCCATCCTTCTGCTGCAACCTCCCAAGTTGCTGGGATTACATGTGTGTGCAAATGTGTCCAGCATGATGTTAATGATTTTGTATTTTTGTGCTCTGAATGTCAAAAAAAAAAAATTGACAGTTGAACAGTCAAAAAAGTAGGGCCCTTCTCTGTTAGGAAAAAAGATAAATGTTTTTGAAATGGAATTTGAGGTCAGTCTGCTAAAATGACCAAAGCTGCCAAACATTTACAAGTGTAATGATTCAAGACTGAAAGTGCCTCTCCAAAATTACTTCACTCCACCCTGTGAACGTCTGGATATTAGATTCAGACTTCAGCCATACAATGTGTGTCTGATACAAATCAGTTGGTTAAGCTGTCTAAAATCACAAGTAATAGGAAAATATGAGTGTTAATTAGAAAATGAAAAAGGAGGCTGGCTCACTTTGTCAAGTGTGATGTTTAATACACTTATTTAAAAAATAAACTTATTTCTCAGACTGGGAGGTCAAAAAGAAAAAAATAGAAGGGAAAATGGTTACTAGAGTGCAAGAAATGTTGGTGTACTGATCAGGGCAGAGGCCAATTTTAGTAACTGGGACAATTAGAAAATAAAATTAATAAAAAAATTTCACTCTCAATAACACAGAAAAAATCAAGTACTTGAGGATAAATTGAACAAAAGAAGTAATATTTGTAYTCAGAAATTACAAAACATTATTGAAAGGAATTAAAGAATATTTAAATGGAAAGGCAGTCCACGTCTTTTGCAATATTAAGATGGCAATACTCCTCAAGTCCATCTACAAACTTAACACACTTCCTCGCAAAATTCTAGCTGCCTTCTTTTAAGAAATTTACAAAACTGTGTAATATGATGTATTAAGAACTATGTAATGTTATGAACGACCAATAAAAAAAAAAAAAGAAATTTACAAGCTGATCCTTAAAATTCACACAGAAATGCAAGGAAGCCAGAATAGACCCAAAAATCTTGAAAAAAAAAAGTTGAAGAATTTATACTTTGCGAAAACCTACTACAGCCAAGCATAGTGGCGTACACCTGTAATTCCAGCAATTCAGGAGGCTGAGGCAGGAAGGAATCGAGTTCAAAGCCAGCCTCAGTAACCAGCAACTTATCAAGGCCCTAAGCAATTTAACAAGACCCTGTTAATTATTATTCAATATAATATAAAAGGGACTGGAGATGTGGCTCAATGATTAAGCACCCCTGGATTCAATCCAGGTACTAAACAAACAAAAGAAACCTACTACAAAGCTACAGCAATGAAAATGGTGTAGTGCTAGTATATGGACAAACAAGCAGATGAACAGAACAGAACTGAAAGTCCAGAAAGAAAGCCTTGCATTTATGGTCAATTAACTTTTAACAAGAGTGTCAAGATCATTCAATAGGAAAACAATAGTCCTTTTAACAAACAGAGCTAGAGAAACTTGGTATTCTCATTGCAAAAGGATGACTTTGGATTCCTGACTTATAGACCAAACTTAATCAAAAAGATTCACAGACCAGAGCTAGGGATGTAGCTGAGTGGTAAAACACTTGCCTCATGCATAAGGCCCTGAGTTGAATCCCCAGCAACACCAGCCAAAAAGAAAGAAAGAAAAAAGAAGAGGAAGAGGAGATTTGTCTCCTGTCTGACTTTAAAAGGAAAGCAAAGCAAACAGTCCAACAGAATAGGAGATGATGTTTGCAAATCAAATAAGAACTTTATACTTWAAGTATACAAAGAATTCTTATAACTCAGTAATAAAGATATAAAACCCAATTTTTTATTGGTTGTTCAAAACATTACAAAGCTCATGACATATCATCTTTCATAAATTTGATTCAAGTGAGTTATGAACTCCCATTTTTACCCCAAATACAAATTGCAGAATCACATCAGTTACACATTCACATTTTTACATAATGCCATATTAGTGACTGTTGTATTCT